AGGCATACTGCACAAGACACTACGTTTGCAGAGAGTGTGGAGACAGCCATCCAACCTTTGAGTGTAAACTTGGTAAGGACGATGCTAGGTGTTGCGCTCATTGCAACATGCCCCACGCGGCCAACTTTAAAGGATGCAAGAAGTACCTTCAAGTAGCATTCAACATGAGGCCTCAGCCGAGGGCCAAAGATCCCTTTGTACCTGGCTCTAGCAACACACCCCACCCTAAATCACTTCCTTACAACAATGGCAAGCAATCATACGCGAGCGTAGCCAGGAACAGCTTACCAGTCGATCAGTTCGAAGAGCCCCACAAAAAGGAAGCGAACCCTTCTCCCACCTCCGCCGCCAGCTCAAGTGGTACTTTGGAAGCCAAGTTGGAGCTTCTCTTCTCAAGGCTGGACAGAATGATGTCCCTTGTCGAGACCCTCTTGCAGGCGCTTCTACAGACGCGCACCTCCTCCTCTGCTATTCACAATGGGTGTCCTTAAGATAGCTACCTGGAACGCGAACGGGGCCTCCTCCAAAGTCAACGAGATACTGGCCTTTATTGAACTACACGAATTAGACATGCTCTTGCTATCTGAATCACATTTCTCCTCTCGGTCTACCTTGAGAATACCTGGATTCACCCTACACAAAGCCAACCACCCAGATGACAGTATGCATGGAGGCGCTGCGATCTTAATAAAATCCTCCATATCCCATCAGCCTTTCTCTACACTATGCGAAGACAACATCCAGGCAGTCACCATTCAGCTGTCCGCAAGCAGAGGCTCCTTCAATGTGGCCTCTATTTACTGCCATCCAGCCTATAGATGGACCGAGGCCGACTTATCGTCGTTATTTCCACATTTTGGAGCCAAGTTCCTAGCAGCAGGCGACTGGAATGCCAAACACAGACAGTGGGGCAACTACAGAATGTGCGCTAGAGGCAGGGTCCTGTGCAATGCTATGACTGATGAGGGTATTGATATTGTAGCTTCTGGAGAAGCCACTCACTACCCCTATCGTGCTAATGCCACCCCAAGCGCTATCGACTTTGGAATCTCCAAAGGCTTTAGACCGCAACAAATTTCAGTACAAGTACTTACTGAACTGTCGTCTGACCATTTACCTCTGCTCTTTGAGCTAAATGAAGACGCTCAATTCTTCAAAGGCGTTTCGAAATTATTGCCTCCACATGCTAACATAGAGGCTTTTAAAGCTCATATAGATGCCTCTATTGATCTCAACGTCCCCATTACCAATTGTAATGAGCTTGAGGATTACACAGTGTCTTTTACTTCCCTCATCACTGAAGCTGCGCGGCAGGCTACCCCAGCCCCACTTCAAGCTAGTACCAGGACGGTAAGGAGGACGACAATTTTGAACCCGGAGGCAACCACTCTACTCAACCAGAAGCGCAATCTTAGAAGGCAGTACATTGCGTCAGGTGATCCAGCCGTGAAACAAATGCTATCAAGCGTCACTAATAGACTGCACCGGCTGTTAGCCAAAAATCGGCAGAAAAACTTTGACACCCTGCTGGAAGGAGCTGGCCCAGACAATAACAGTGATTTCTCGATTTGGAAGCTCACTAGAGGTATGAAGAGACAACCGTTATTCCAGTCACCCATCCGGAGTCACAGTGGCCACTGGCTCAAAACGGATTATGACAAAGCGAACGCATTTGCTGCGCACCTCTCCTCTACCTTTACCCCCTTCGAGCTAACAGCCGATCATCATCGCGCTGAAGTTGCTACCTTCTTGGGCTCTCCTGTTCAATCGGCTCGCCCCATAAGACACACTACGCCACAGGAAATCATGTTGCAACTGAGGGCCCTACAACAGAAAAAGACCCCGGGACATGACTGCATCGATAATAGAGCGGCGAAATCTTTACCACGCAAAGGAGTCCTTGGCCTAGTAAAAATTTTTAACGCCATGCTTAGCTTAGGGTACTTTCCTAAGCTGTGGAAGCGTGCACGGATTGTCATGATCCCCAAAGCTGGAAAGCCTCCCATGCATATTGATTCCTATCGCCCAATCAGCCTGCTGGCTACCTTTTCCAAGATTTTTGAGCGCATCCTCCTTAGCCGACTGATGGATCTACCGCAGGTAGTAAATCACATACCGGCGCACCAATTTGGTTTCAGGAAATCCCACGGCTGCCCCGAACAGGTGCATCGTCTGGTCAACCAGATCACACACGGCTTCGAGCACAAGCTGTACACCATCGGCGTTTTCCTAGATGTCAAACAAGCATTTGACAAAGTATGGCATGAGGGCCTATTATATAAAATAAAAAATCTTCTCCCTGCGCCTTTCTTTGCCATCCTGAAATCCTTCATAACTGATCGGACCTTTGATGTGGCAATAAGAGACTCCCATTCCAGCGTGTGTGAGATCAATGCTGGGGTTCCACAGGGAAGTGTACTTGGACCCTTTCTGTACACGCTGTACACTGCTGATATGCCGACCCCCGGCAGCAACAATGATGACGACTCCGCTGCCAAGCTGCTCCTGGCCACTTATGCTGACGACACCTGCACGCTAGCCTCCCACTCATCGCTGCAAACTGCAACAAATGCAGTTCAGGTCTGGCTCCATGCTATGGAGAACTGGTCTGCGAAATGGAACATCGCTATTAACTGCGCCAAATCCGCCCACATGACCTTCGCCCGCCGGCACGGTACTTCGGTTGGTCTCACCTTCAATGGAGATGCCATCACCAGTGTCACCTCCCATTGCTACCTAGGAGTACATTTGGACAGAGCGCTAGTATGGCGGGCCCACATCTCGGCAATCAAAGCCAAATGCTTGCAGAAGCTACAAAAGCTTGACTGGCTCCTGCGATCGAAAAAATTGCACTTTTCAAATAAGGCCCTGCTAATTAAAGCCATCATCACGCCAACTTGGACGTACGCCATTCAAGCATGGGGCACTGCCTCTAAGCATCAGCTTGAGAGGCTTAGAGTCGTGCAATCACGTGCAGCTCGGCGAGCATCCGGGCTTCCCTGGTACGTCACAAACAGTGCCATCGAGAGGGACTTTCGACTACTACCTATCGGGGACCAAATTAATATACACAGCAGTCGTTACGCTGACAGGATTGTGGCACATCCAAACCCCCTAGCGAGTGACCTAGCTGAGCCAATTTCTCTGCGACGGCTGAAGAAGCTACATCCCACAGATCTCCCTACTCGTAAGATCGTATAAAATTCCCACTTATTTTGTTACTTCGAAACTCGTTATAATTGTTACTTAGTATTTAAGGCTACTATGTATGCATAAAATTTCTTTCTCGTTAATTACGCTAGGTTAAGTTCAGAAGGCACTGAACAGATTCCAGTGAATAAAATATTATTTAAAAAAAAAAAAAAAAAACACTTGTGTTTCAGGTCGAGTTACAGCATTTTGTATTGGAGAATTGAAAAATTTAAATCATATATATCTTTTCATGTTTCCATGTTTTTATACCCTTGCAGAGGGTATTATAATTTCAGTCAAAAGTTTGCAACGCAGTGAAGGAGACATTTCCGACCCTATAAAGTATATATATTCTTGATCAGGATCACCTCCTGAGTTGATATAGCCATGTCCGTCTGTCCGTCTGTCCGTCTGTCCGTCTGTCCGTCCGTCCGTTTCTACGCAAACTAGTCCCTCAGTTTTAAAGCTATCTGCTCGAAACTTTCCCAAAAGTTGTCTTTCTATTGCAGGTAGTATATAAGTCGGAACGAGCCGGATCGGGCGACTATATCATATAGCTGCCATATAACTGAACGATCGGAAAAGCCATAACTTTGGTGTTTTTAAAGATAAGAAGATGGGACTTTCTATGGGTTTTATTTTTGGCCAATCAATCCGACATACCGAATTTCATAAGGATCGGCCGACTATATCTTATAGCTGCCATATAACTGATTGATCGGAAGTGCCATAACTTTGGTGTTTGTAAAGTTAAGAAGTTGGGATTTTCTATGGGTTTTATTTTTGGCCAATCAATCCGACATACCAAATTTCATAAGGATCGGCCGACTATATCTTATAGCTGCCATATAACTGAACGATTGGAAATGCCATAACTTTGATGTTTTTAAAGTTAGGAAGTTGGGATTTTTTATGAGTATTAAGAATGCATCATATAAATAATATTGGAGAATATAATTTACAGAGTATTCTGCAAGGGTATATCAACTTCGGCTCCGCCCGAAGTTAGCTTTCCTTTCTTGTTAGATCTTGATTTTACAATGTTGTTGTAAGCAAACGGTATATTTTTTCTTACTATTTAGTTGATGAGTTTTACTAAATAGTACAAAGTTTGCTTTTTGTTTCTCTAGGTAAATCGATTGTCCATTTTTTCATTATTTTTTAACACTTTTAGTACTTCTTTGCCATAATAAATGACGCTTGGTTATTTAGTTTTTAAGATATTCTACATTAAAGAGGTCAACATTAATACAAAATTTCCTTTATTTTGTACCCTTAAAATTGGTCATATTAAAAGGGTATTATAATTTTGGTCAGAAGTTTGTAACGCAGTGAAGGAGACGTTTCCGACCCCATAAAGTAAATATATTCTTGATCAGGATCAATAGGTGAGTCGATATAGCCAAGTCCGTCTGTTTCAATACACGTGTACGCAAATCAAGTTTGAAAAGCGCCCCGATCCCTTTTTTTCTATTTTTATATGTCTGCAAGGGTATAAAAAATCCGGCTTGCCGAATCTTCCGTCCTCGTTTTTTATGTTGCTTATAATAACTAAATTTTTTTTTGATAAACCCAAAGGGCTTTCGAAAATGAGGTGGGACACAACAGATTTAGACTCATTAAAAATTAAGGGCCTGTGCGATAACTTGAATTGCTACTTCACGAAACGCACAGGCTTCCGTTTCTTCTCGTTGTTAACTCGATTGGGAGTAAACGAATCAAAATTTTTATCGATCGATTTCACCACACCCCGTCGGTTTCTTATTTTCTAGATGGTCTTCAATTGCCAGTAATCAAAGTGACTCGGGAGCGGTAACTTGCCTTCGAAAAATAAAAGAGTGTGAACGGAGCGAAAAACCGACAGCCGTTGATAAGATTTCATTAAAACCAATATATATAAATAAATGCGTTTAAGATGCTTTTAACGGAGAATAGCTACGAATTGCTTTAAATATGTTCAGATTAATATTTTCTCTTAATGTTTTCATTATTCTTTTGTACAATAACTGTGCGAAAACCATTCTTGTCGAGGAGATAACCAAATGGACGTTGGGGAATGAATCCTCCTGTGAGTTGCCGTGAATCTTTCTGACTGTTTGGTTTATTTGTATGCTTGGCCCGAAAGATAAGATAAGATAAGATTAGAACAGCTTCGTTTACGTTGTCTTTTTGATGGCGGTTGTATGTGGGCTAATTAATTGGCTATAAATACTGCTTACTATAGACGCTGTGATTTTAAAACAACTTACCTGCTCTTTGTTTACTCTACCCCATTATCACCAGCCCTGAGGATTGACGTGCCCCGACTGCCAAGCGGAGTATACACAGCGCTGAAGGATACCTACGGAGACTTGCTAGCCCCGGGAAACGACGTGTCCTTGCGGTGGATAGCCAACCAGTCGTGGATTTACAGCGCCGGCTTCGACAGTGGGTAAATAGCGAGCCTTATCGTTGGACAGGTTGCCTCATTACTGACCCCGACCCGCAGGCGCAGAAATGGGACACGACAACCAGGTGAACCTGACGCTCCACGGCATCGACACCGTTTCCAGGGTGCGCTTAAATGGAGAGCTGCTTGGGGAGACGGACAACATGTTCGTCCGCTACTCGTTCGCCATCGGCCACCTGCTGCTGCCCAGCCCCAGTCACAACTCCCTGGAGATTGAGATCCTATCGCCCCTGCAGGAGGCCCACAGGCGCGCCCGGGAACTGGAGGACCTGGGCGTCACTACCGGGCCCATGAGCTGCCCCAGGGCCCGAGGCGACGTCGAGTGCCGGCGAAACTACTTGCGCAAGATGCAAATGAGTTTTGGCGGCGAGTGGAACCCAGCAGCCCTTTCCTCGGGCATATGGAAGCCGGTGGTGGTGGAGTACTACGCGGTGGCAGTGCTTCGCGACATTGATGTGGCCATTAACCGGAACGACACCCACTGGACCATGGATTGCCGGGCCTTCCTCAGCTCACCTGCGTCGGAGGACTTTTACGCCCAATTGGTGGTTTATGCCAAGTAATTGTAGAGAGCACCTGGCACGTTTCTGTTGGATCACAGGGCTAATATTGCATCGTTTTAGTGAGCTCTTGGATGAACGCTTTGTACTCGAGAAGAAAGTGGTCTCCTTCAAGTCGCCAGTGCTGGAGTTTAAGATACACATCCCGCAGGTAAGGCCAGTCAAGAACTTGCCGAAGACCTAGTCTTATACCCACCTTCCCTAGGATCGGGTTACCCTGTGGTGGCCCAATGGCTATGGGAAGCAGAAGCTCTATCCAGTCCTTTTCTCAGTAAAGTGCTATACCAGCGAGGAGGGTCCCACCCTAAGCTCGCGCACTGAATCCCAGAAGCTATTGAAGATTGGGTTCCGCACCATACAGCTGGTCGAGGATAAAGACGGTTAGTAATCTGGAAAGTGCCTGTGCTCAGCGACACCTACTTTTTAATGGTAGAGAGATGCTTTTGTGGTCGGAATAATTCTTTATTTGAAAACACAGTTTAACATCCATATATCAAAGCACCATCTGCGCATCCTATTTCGCTTTAAAGCGATGCGTTTATATAATGTCATAATCTTTTTATTTCCGAGAATCTAGACATTGGCAGGACCTTTTTCTTCCGCGTCAACGGACACCCGATCTTCATGAAGGGGGCGAACTATGTACCTGCCCACACACTTCCGGAGTTATCATCGGATGCGGACAAGGGTAAGCACGTGGTCACTACTTGTTAGAATTTTCTTCTTACTCCTAATGCGTTCCAGTTGAATACCTGCTTAAGGCTGCACACGATGCCAACATGAACATGATTCGCGTATGGGGTGGTGGTCTATACGAGTCGGACACCTTCTACAACTTGGCGGACTTCTACGGACTGCTAGTGTGGCAGGATATGGCCTTTTCCCAAGCAGCTTATCCCCTGGCGAATGAATTTGTGGAATCGGTGTGCGTGGAGACGGTGCAGAACGCACAGCGCCTCTCATATCATCCCAGTTTATCCTTGATCGTTACCAACAATGAGATCGAGCTGTTCCTGGCGACTAACAAATCCGACTTTGGGGAAAGCGCCGCACAACTGGAATCCGATTACAAAGCTTTGTTCACTGACAGGATAATGGAAGAGTTGAAAGTAATCACTCGGAAAGATTTCAGTCCACGCCCTGGCCCCATGATCTCCACTCCTTCACTGGGTATCGCAGAGACCGGCCAGAATCTGGAGATCAACTTGCAAAGTCCAAATTATGGTGATGGTAAGTCTCCGCCATGTTATACTTTTTTGAGGCATTATGCTGGTACATTTGCATCTAAATGAATGACTTTTGATGATAACTTCCTTTTAAAAAAATAAAAATGCAATTCTGTTTTATATATTACTAAGAGGAAAAATAGAATACCGATGTAACTATATTTCTGAAGATCATTTTAATATTTATGCTAAACGTTTACTTGAGTCAATTTCACTAAAATAATGGTTGAAAAGTATTTACACCCCGTATTCGTTGAAAAGTATGTAACAGTTATAACGAAGCGTATCGACCCTTTAAAGTATATACATCAAGTAGGATAGACATCTTGCGCTGCGTAAGAAAACATAGAACCTTCATGCTAAGTCCCTCTGGGATCCGAAGTTTACGAAATAGTGTGTATGTCTTCATTATTTCTTTTATAGAGAAAGATCAAAGTAATAATGAAGAAATGCCTTCTAAGTCGTGTGTTTTTGTCTGTGTTTCTATATACAAATAGTAGAGTTGAGCCAACTCGGTCCTGAATTCGGTCCTGAATTTTAGCTAAAAGTAAAAAATAAGAAATAATCAGTTGTTTTCAGTAGCTCATTGTCAAATTTTATATCCGTTTTGACTAACCGACTATCATATCCTTTTACAGTGCACATTTGGGGGGACAAAGACGGTTTCAGCCCCGACACTTATCCACACGCCCGTTTTGTTTCGGAGTTTGGTTACGCCAGTCTTCCAGTGATGTCCTCGTGGCAGCGGGCTCTGGGAGACGGGGCAGAAGGAAGCAGCCAAGAAATTGCGGACCTCATTCGGAGCCGTCAGCACGATCCCAAGGGGTTCATACCGATGCTCCAATCTATAGCCTACCAACTGCCGTTTGTCCCCCAGAATTGGGATAAGAATATCGAGAAATTCATTTACTTTAGCCAGGTGGCTCAGGCCATGACGACCAAAACGGCGGTTGATGTATTTCGTAGCCTACGCGGCGGAAACCACACGATGGGTGCTCTTGTTTGGCAGCTTAACGATGTTTGGGTGGCGCCCACATGGTCCTGCATCGACTTCTATGGCAACTTGAAAATGGTCTACTACTGGGCCACGGAGTTCCTGGCCCCGACGAGCGTTATAGCGCTGTACGACAGCAACTCGGACAGCCTCAACATCACCCTCACCAGGGAGGACTTCGCAGAGCACAAGGACTCGCAGCTTTACTATGTGCTGGTCAACACGTATCTATGGACGGACTTGGTGGCCAAAAAAACGATAGCTCGCGCTTTTGGACTCGTAAGCAGATCAATACAAGCCATCTTTGTTTTTACTCACCACATCTACGGAAATTCACAGGGCTCCAATGATATTGAAGTGCGGCAAATACCACTGGAATATTTGCTGTTCGAAAACCATTCGAAGCAGGAAATATTTTTGGAAGTGGTTCTGGAGGACGAACATGGCGAGCCCGTGGCTAGGAACTTTTTTTATCCGGTGCCTTTGAAAAACATTGTGGGCATAAAAGATCCAGGATTAACAGTAAGTGTCCGTAAAAAAGAAAATTATTACAAGCTCTAAAAGTTTTTTCACCGATTTCTTTTTCGAGCAGCTAGAAGTTTCAGGCCAAGACTGCAGAACGGCAACATCGCCCTTTGCCAATAGCTTCAGTCTGCGCATTACAGTGAAGTCCCCAGCACTACTTGTATACCTTGAGTTGTCCCACCCGGACTACATTGAAGAGCAGCACAAGTTCTCGACGAATGGCTTTACTCAGATACAGCCAAAGAAAACCATTCACTTAGTTTTCGAAAACGACTCCAAATGCTTGACGTTAACTTCAGGTCACATTAGAGTTCAGACGATAAATCAATATTTAATATGAATTATGCTTTAACAAGTAATATACTTTATTGTATCAAAAAATATACAAATAAAATCGTATAAAGGATTTCTACTCTGTCTCTTCAACTCTACCTTAATGCACTAAAATTGGACACAAATACGACTTTCTTAACGAGGAATTCCCTTTTCCTCGAAAAAAATCGATTCTTCTTTAAAAACTTGTAAGATACACATAAGAGACAGGACATTTCTTATGTATTTTTTAAATATACATGGAGTGGGCAGGCCTATTTGCCTGATATTTGTAGAACTACTACTGCATACAACCTTAAAAAGTTATTTTAAAGTAAAACAAGAAAGGAAGCAAACTTCGGCAAGCCAAATTTTAAATACCATTGCAGGTTTTACAATACGAGTACATTTACATTTTTATGCCTATATTGTCGATTTTGCTCTGCATTTTGCCATCGTTTTTATGGCAGCTATTAATAAGCTGTCCGATTTTGACAAAAATAAAAACGTAATTATGATATAGTAAATAATTACTATATGTCAAAGAAATATTTTAATAAATAGAAAAACAGCAAAATACATTTTTTTATTTTTATTTTTTTTAATTGTTTGATTTTCCTATTGGAGCTATGTATATGATGTACAGTGGACCAAAAAAGTTTAAGTACACTCGTCATCTCTCTGTTTCTTTGAAATTCCCCTTCCAAATCTAACGGTGATCGCGAATTCTTCCTTCAGTCTACTTCTGATGCTTGCATTTTTATGCATTTTAAGTTCATTTCATTTGATTTTGCTGGAGTGAGAGGTCAAGATGGGTCGAGGAAGCTAAATTTTACTTGAAACTCGAAAAATAATTTTAAAACATTATTTGGAAGGAAAAGGAGCTCGTGCTATTGGTAGGATGCTTCAGAGGTCTCCATCCAGCGTGCAAACTATTATTAATTCCTACGGGAACTCTGGAACCCTCCAAGTAAAGCCAAGATCCGGTCGTCCGAAAAAATTGACCGATAGGGATGAACGCCAAATCCTTGGCTCAGGAGGAAATATTTCGAAGCTCATGCAAAACAGTTCACCCTCAAACTGTTCGAAATGTGCTCCACAAGGAGGGGTTCAACGCACGAACACCTCGTAGATAGCCATTGATTTCCTTGGTAAATCGAAAGAAGAGGCTAGATTTCGCATACAAATATGTAAACGAGCCGGAATCATTTTGGTACAACGTTATCTGGAGTGATGAGACCAAATTTAATATTTTTGGTTCAGATGGCTCCCAAAAAGTATGGAGGAAACCCAACACAGCGTTGGAGCTTAAAAATGTAACACCAACCGTTAAGCATGGCGGCGGTAACGTGATGGTCTGGGGGTGTGTTGGGACAGCTGGAGTTGGGAAACTTGTGTTTATAAACACTATAATGGACCAGCATCTATACCTTACAATTTTAAAGGATAATCTTAAGGACAGCGCGATTTGGTAGGTCAGATTGATTGGAAAAAAATAAAACCCATAGAAAATCCCAACTTCCTAACTTTACAAACACCAAAGCTATGGCATTTTCGATCAATCAGTTTTATGGCGGCTATAGGATATAGTCGTCCGATCCTTATGAAATTCGGTAGGTCGGATTGATTAGCCATATAACTGAACGATCGGAAAAGCCATAACTTTGATGTTTTTAAAGTTAGGCAGTTGGGATTTTCTATGGTTTTTATATTTGGCCAATCAATCCGACCTATCAAATTTCATAAGGATCGGCCGACTATATCCTATAGCTGTCATATAACTGAACGATCGGAAATGCCATAACTTTGGTGTTTGTAAAGTTAGAAAGTTAAGATTTTCTATGGGCTTTATTTTTGGCCAATCAATCCGACCTACCAAACTTCATAAGGATCGGCCGACTATATCCTATAGCTGCCATATAACTGAACGATTGAAAATGCCATAACTTTGGTGTTTTTAAAGTTAGGAAGTTGGGATTTTTTATGAGTATTAAGAATGCATCTTATAAATAATTTTGAAGAATATAATTTACAGAGTATTCTGCAAGGGTATATCAACTTCGGCTCCGCCCGAAGTTAGCTTTCCCTTCTTGTTTATATTTATTTTTTTTAATTTTGTGATTTTCCTATAAGAGCTATATGATATATGTAGATGGCCGAAGAAAAACAAAAAAGTTATACTTTCTTAACTTTAAATTTTAATTTTTCGATTTTCCTATGGGAGGTATATAACTCCCATATAAAAATCGAAAAATTAAAAAAAATAAAAATCAAAATGAAAAAAAAAATTATTTTGCTGTTTTTCTATTTATCAATATATTGCTTTAAGAAATAGGAATTATTTTCTATATCAGAATTACGCTTTTAGTTTCCGCGCGCTGGTGCTCTTGGGTCTGCTGTTGCTGCTCCCTCTGTAATTAATTTATCTGCCTGGCCGGAGCGATCAGTTCATGGTGGGATTGAAGACTCCTGTCCTTAAGGGGGTCTTCTAGTCTAGAAATTTGAGAAAATCGAAAAATTTTTTTCATAATTCGATAGTTTTGATATTCAAAACAAGAGAGAACGCTATATTCGGGTGCCCCCACTATCAGATACCCGTTACTCAAGTAAAGCGAGTGCGAGGGAGATGGAGATAGAAACTTTGATCACACATAACTTTTTAACGAATGGTCCGATTTGAAAAATTTCTTCTACATTTCGATAGGTATTGATAAACACAATAAAACTGCATTTTTACTTTTCCGAAATATTTAAATTTTTAAAATCGTATATGAGCGATTGTGACCGTTAAAGGGGGCGTGGCACCTTTTTGAAACAAACTTGCGCTGCGTAGGAACTCCTAGAATCTGCATGCAAAATGCCAATCTTCTAGCTTTTATAGTTTCCGAGATCTCAGCGTTCATACGGACAGACAGACAGACAGACGGACAGACAGACGGACAGACGGACATGGCTATATCGACTCGGCTAGTGACCCTGATCAAGAATATATATACTTTATAGGGTCGGAAACGCTTCCTTCTAGCTGTTACATACTTTTGCACGAATACAATATACCCTTTTACTCTACGAGTAACGGGTATAAAAAAATATCTCCCTAAAAGGATTTTTCAAAACTCAAATTATTTTAAAAGTTATAGCCGTTTTATTGACGTGGCAACTAGACCGGTTGAGCGAACGACTGGAACAATAAGTAGCTGGAAGCCCGGGCTACCTTAGTATGAATAAATTTCTTTCCTTCTTTCTATAACAATACCCCTATTTCCAGTATACTACACTAATCGTTTGAAAGTCATTGTATGAAGCTGGAATAGCTGATTAAGGGAATGTAATTTATACGTAATATTCTATCAGTTACGCTACCCGAAACTTAACGTAAAACTTTAAACGCGTTTTTCTCGAAACTACTTTTTTTGATGCGGTCGCCACTATATCTCAAGATCTAATCAGTCGATTTACTTGAAACTTGGCATGAATATTCTTTAAATATATCTCTATAGCCGGAACCAACAAAAAACAAAAATTTTAAATTTATAATATTGGAAAAATTAGTGAACACAAGAAAGGAAAGCTAACTTCGGGCGGAGCCGAAGTTGATATATAAAATTATTCATATGATGCAGTCTTAATAGTCATAAAAAATCCCAACTTCCTAACTTTAAAAACACTATAGTTATTGAATTTCCAATCGTTCAGTTATATGGCAGCTATAGGATATAGTCGGCCGATCCTTATGAAATTTGGTAGGTCGGATTGATTGGCAAAAATAAAACCCATAGAAAATCCTAACTTAACAAACACCAAAGTTATGGCATTTCCGATCAACCAGTTATATGACAGCTATAGGATATAGTCGGCTGATCCTTATAAAATTGGGTAGGTCGGATTGATTGGCCAAAAATAAAACAAATAGAAAATCCCAACTTCCTAACTTTACAAACACCAAAGTTATGGCATTTCCGATCAAGAAATTTGGTAGGTTTGATTGATTGGCCAAATATAAAACCCATAGAAAATCCCAACTTCCTAACTTTACAAACAACAAAGTTATGGCAGTTATATGGCAGCTATATGATATAGTCGTCCGATCCCGGCCTTTTCGACTTATATACTGCGTGCAAAGGAAAGAAGGGTGTGTGCAAAGTTTCAATTCGATATCTTTAAAACTGAGAGACTAGTTCGCGTAGAACCAGACAGACGGACGGACGGACAGATGGACAGACGGACATGCACACTTTTGACCAAAATCATAATACCCTCTGCAAGGGTATAAAATTTTTTTTTTTGGTGCTTCATGCCATAGCGACAATCGTACTCATTAAGAATCTATCATTGTTTTATTTTTAAAATAACGACAAGCATAGAAATCATGGCGACGAGGACACGGCCTCTTTTTTTCACCTCTTCTTCAAGAACGAATAACTTAATGAAAACAAATTTTTTTTTTTTAATTTATTTTATGTGCTCCTTTAAGTTTAATAAACAAATGATAAAAAAAACGGATACTAAAAATATCTATTGCTTTATTTTTATTAATTGTTAAAAAAGCTCGAAATTCAAGCCTCTAGACTAGAAGACCCCCTTAAGTCTTCGATGCAGTCATCCCAGACATCTTACATCCAAATGTGTGGGGAGTTGTTTATTAATAATTTGAACAAATTTAAAACAAACCAGGGAAACCAGTGCCCGGCATTATAAGGCACCATCATTGACGGTAGATGGTGACTATTAGCTTCGAAATGGAGAAAAATTTGGTTTTTTAAATTATTGTAAAAGAACGGAAACATTTAATTTTAAAAGCACTGTAACTTTAAAAAAAATTTAAAGTGCTTAAGACTGTTAAAATTCTCTGTTTTTTGCTGTTTTTAACCTAAAAACAATAAATACATTTTTTAAATATCTCAAGAATGCACAACTCTAAGCCCAGGCGAGTGAAAATTTATAGAAAATTTAGTAATACAAAACTAAGCTTAAAAAAATGTAGTCTGTTTTGTTTAGACAGAAGTCAACAAAACCATAGAAATTTTATATAAGGTATGCCTCAGTCGGCGCACACAGGCACCTATTTGTGTTCCAGCGCTCTTTGAACACAAACCTTTAAGTAACAGCTGATATGCTCAGAGGAGCGTGACATTGAAATTAATTTCATTACCAATGCATTTTCCAGTCGCTCTGGCTCTCTCATACTCTCTCCACTCACACACTCTCCCACTCTCACTTGTCGCTCCAACGATCCAACGATCTGTTCCAAATCGTCGAGCGACGCATTCGCGATTTGTGAGTCGTTGGAACAACTCCTCGCTTTACGTAGCGCTCCAAGCGGTTCCGTACATATAGCTTTCTGATATATGTAAGCTAGTAAAAAGGGGAGCTAGTCTTCTTTTAAAAAGCCCCACTGAGTTGGGGCGACCCCTAATTGCCAGATGAAGTGCCGGAATGGATGCGGAATATTTGGTGCTTGCGGCGCTGTTCTGGTCGGAATTCTCGCATTTCTTATATGCGGAGTCCACTGCGATAAGGTAGAAGTTATAGAGCTGGGCAATTGGACGATAACTAATCAGAATGGCTGTGAGTATTAGAAAGTAGTTTGCTTTATCAAGAATATCAAGCAACGATTGAGGGAGATTAATTTAACGGCGAAATTGTTTACCAAACAATAAATGTATGTAGTGGTCCTGAAAGACTGGGTTTTCTTGTCAATATTTCTTTGTAGCCCTTACCATTGCAAATCAATCGTTGCCCTCGGGAATATACAGTGTTTTCGGACCTCAAGTGCTGGATTCCTACAATGACATCGGGCTGCGTTATCTGGCCCACGACAACTGGACTTACTCTAATGTCTTTCAGTGTAAGTTTGTTTTATTTACTTTCTGTCAAAAAATCCTTAAGGGGCATTATTGACTAAATACAGTGGTGCTCAATATAATGTCATTATTTCCTTATTTCTATTTCTGTCCTTCATTTGTTTTGAAATTCAGTTGCTTTGTAGTTCACAGAATTTAAAGTAAAGTTATTATTTAAATTCTTATTCCGTTTTCATAAGGTCATAGAAATAGCACCTCCGAATTTGCTAGTTTTAGTAGTTAAGATTAAATTGTAAATTCAAATCTTGTTTGATATCACATTTTTGCAGTTGCTAGGAAAAAAACTTAGTCCCGATTTAAAATATCTGGTCCGATGTTGAGAAAAGAGCACTTAAATAACAAACATTAAAAATATTAGGCTTTGGCCAGCTATTCTAAAGTTCTGGGAGAATATATGTACAACAAGAAAGAAAAGCTAACTTCGGGCGGAGCCGAAGTTGATATACCCTTGCAGAATACTCTGTAAATTATATTTTTAAAAATTATTCATATGATGCATTCTTAATACTCATAAAAAATCTCAACTTCTTAACTTTAAAAATACCAAAGTTATGGCATTTCCAATCGTTCAGTTATATGGCAGCTGTAGGATATAGTCGGCCGATCCTTATGAAATTTAATAGGTCGGATTGATTGGCCAAAAATAGAACCCATAGAAAATCCCAACTTCTTAACTTTACAAACACCAAAGTTATGGCATTTCCGAATAATCAGTTATATGGCAGCTTTAGGATATAGTCGGCCGATCCTTATGAAATTTGGTAGGTCGGATTGATTAACCAAATATAAAACCCATAGAAAATCCCAGCTTCCTAACTTTACAAACATCAAAGTAATGGCATTTCCGATCTATCAGTTATATGGCAGCTATAGGATATAGTCGTTTCGACATATATACTGCGTGCATAGGAAAGAAGGGTGTGTGCAAAGTCTTTAAAACTGAGAGACTAGTTTGCGTAGAAACAGACAGACGGACAGAGGGAAAGACGGACATGCTTATATCAACTCAGGAGGTGATCCTGATCAAGAATATATATACTTTATAGGGTCGGAGATGTCTCCTTCACTGCGTTGCACACTTTTGAGCAAAATTATAATAGGTACCCTCTGCAAGGGTATAAAAATGTAATTGGGCACACTTTAAAATTTAATAAAAGACCTGAAATTCCTGATAATGTGGTTTGATTTTTGCTCAATAGCCAAAAGTGCACATGCATTAATAATTTAATTTGTAAAGCTACAGGATGAAGTCAATTTTTCCCGCCCGGCGGATATCAGTTCCTTTGTCCTACTATGCACCTTTGAATATTGCTGCTAATATATTCTTTTCGTAAACGGCAAAGTTGACGTCCGCCACTACCAACGCGGCCACATCAACCTGACCTTCCACGGCATTGACACTGTGGCGGAGGTCCGTCTGAACCACCAGCTCCTGGGACGCACGGATAACATGTTCGTGCGCTACTCCTACGACGTGAGCTCCCTGCTCCAAGCGGAAAACTTGCTTGAGGTGGAGATCCAATCGCCCGTATTAGCTGCCCTGGCAAGAGCCAATATTCTGAACGAGACCAACAAAAGCGTGCCTCCGGAATGCCCCCCCGACCGATACCATGGCGAGTGCCACATGAACATGTTGCGCAAGATGCAAGCGAGCTTCTCCTGGGACTGGGGTCCTGCAGCCCCCTCTGCTGGGATCTGGAAGACAGTGGAACTGGAGATCTACGAAGTGGCCGTCATTCGTGACGTTGACGTGGACGTCAGCCGCATCAACGGCTCGCATTGGAATATGCATATTCGCTGCTACCTGGACGCGGTTGGCGGACAGGACTTCAACGGAAAACTGGTTCTGTACGCTGTGTAAGTAACCTTCCGCCAATTGAATCCATTGTCTTACTCATGGGCAATACGAGTTGCAGCGAGCTATTGGACCATCCGGTGGTTGTGGACACATACGTATTGGAAACCATCAGCCACTTGGCGCCAGTAATTGAGTTCGATCAGCCCGTGCCAATCGTGAGTACCGCCTACTAATTACATCGGCTCGACTTTGTGCTGTTCAGATCTGTGTCAAGTACCGATATCAATTCGCAGGAGAAAGTCAGAACCTGGTGGCCCAATGGCTACGGCGAGCAAAAGCTTTATCCGCTCCACTTCACCCTGAAGGCCTGGCTCGGCCCTGATGAACCCGAGGTTCGCTCTAAGACCAAGTCGCACAAGTCGCTCCGAGTGGGCTTTCGCACGCTCGAACTGATCGAGGTTCCCGCCCCAGACGGCGTAGGAAACACCTTCCTTTTCCGTGTCAATGGCGTGGAGATGTTCATGAAGGGCAGTAACTATATACCATCCCACATCCTACCCGAAATGCAAACAAATGACCAGAGTAAGTCCATTTCATACCATCAGGGTTTTAAAATTACTTTCCTTTCTGTGTTAAGCCAAAGTCTTCTGGAATTTTTTGGTCTACGATCTTCTATCAGATTAGTATGACGTTAAATAAAAAACAAAAAAAGGTTTTCAGAAGATGTTTTATTAAACAGAAAGAAGAACACAATTTTTTCAATCCATCTATTTGTCTAGAATATTTATTAGGACAGTTATTTATAATGACCGGTTTTGATCAAATTATAACAGAATATTTAGAGCATACTTTTTAAGACGACATTTTTTGTCGCTTTTCATTCGAATGGGGGAGTTCGAGTCCCCTAAACCCTATTAATACAACAAAATAATACTTACCAGCTTACCGATATTATTGTGTAGTTTGTTTTAAGAAAACATTAAACAACTCGAAATTATCCATGTGTATTGTATTTAAAATTTATGTATTCGATCCGCGAGTTTGATAATTAAAATAAGACCGCTAGGAATTTGCGATGCGTGCTATGAATGCCAAGCTATGGTGAATAACGCCTAAAAGTTTGTTACATTGTTTATGAAGCTCCAACGAAATTTTCCACATGGAAACGTTACTCACAGAAAAACTAATGCATCAAAAGCTAAGCACTCAATTGTTAGCAAACCTCTTTCGTCCCTCTTTTCTACATATAAACGCAGCGCTAATAGAAATCGAACCGTTTAGATCCCAAATTATTTTATCTGTTTATCCCATTAATAACGCCTATCAACTATAATTTTGACTTCAGATTCTGAAAGTACTCAATGAAACTATTTAAAACATATTTTGGCTTATCCCGCGTTTGCCATACTTTGTTGGTTATTGTTGGAATTGTAGGAAGGACATAAAAAAAAATAATAATGATATTTTTGTTAAAGACGCCACACATACATAATTGGGCCTTGTAAAAAAAATGTACTAAAAAAGTCTTTTAAAAAATGTTCCCTTTTGAGTTTGGCGTATTTGGCAATGTGCCATTTGATATTTATTATATATTTGCAGATTTTGGAGTCTGCCTTTTTGTTATAATTGATTAATAATTCGGATAATTCGGAAACATAATGGAAATAAAGACCTTAAACGATTTAATAGTCGGTTTGATTATTTCTACAAAAACATTATTTTTTGTATACATGTATGTGTTCTTACAAAAATCACTTTTAAACAATAATTTCTTTGCCTTTATTTATTGCTCGAAATGATATCAGTTAATTTATAAGGTTCACATAGTATTGATTAATTTTTTTTTTTGTTTGATAAAAACGAATATTCTTTGAGTTTACTTTTAGCTAAATCCGCTTACTCTTTTTTCATATATTTAAATTTAAATGTATGATTTATTTCTTCAGTTTCATATACCCGTTATTCGTAAAGTAAAGGAATAGTCAAGCAAATTTAATCAAATTTAAAAATCGACTCCAGAACGTGTACGCTTGTTGATTAGTTTCCGGTGCTTTCAAATGAACATTTAATGTATAGGTCCAAGAAAAACCCAGAGTAATAATATGTATTCTTCATTTAAAGTTTCCCATTTATTGAGGTCCGCCAAGGAAGCGCATATGAACATGCTGCGGGTGTGGGGAGGCGGCGTTTACGAGTCGGACTACTTCTACCAGCTCGCCGACAGTCTGGGCCTCCTGATTTGGCAAGATATGATGTTTGCCTGTGCAATGTACCCAGTGGGTGACGACTTCCTGTCATCGGTGCGTGAGGAGGTTCGGCAGAACGCCATGCGGCTATCGCACCACCCCAGCGTGGCCATTTTTGTGACCAACAATGAAAACGAAGCCGCCCTGGTACAGAACTGGTACGGCACGTTCTCCGAGCGAGATCGCTTCGAGAGCGAGTACCGGGAGCTCTACCTGGCCAATGTGATCCACGAGCTAAAACTGGTATCGCATAGCTCCCGACCCAAGCCACTGGTTTCCTCGCCCTCCAATGGCAAGGCCAGTGAGCAGGACAACTACATTTCCAGCAACCCCCAGGATAATCACAACGGCGATGGTAAGAGGTGATTTTGTACAATGCCCCACTCTGAAACGGATCTGTTCCTCAGTACATTTCTACGATTACCTAAGGGACGGCTGGGATCCGGGGATTTATCCACGTCCTCGATTCGTTAGTGAGTACGGCTTTCAGAGCTTTCCTGGCGCATACGCCTGGCAACGTAGCAATATCGACAGCGACGACCTTCTCCATCTGATCAGTCACCGCCAGCACCACCCCTTGGGGAATGTTCCCGTGATCACCCTGGTGGAGAGACACCTTCCGCTTCCCTTGCCAGAGGAAGATAACTACGCCAACGCCCTAATCTACTTCAGCCAGATCGCCCAGGCAATGGCCACCAAGGTGGAAACGGAGCTGTACCGCAGCCTTCGGGACACTCCGCACAAAACCATGGGCGCCCTTTACTGGCAGCTGAACGACGTATGGGTGGCGCCGTCCTGGTCCGGCATTGATTTCTACGGGAACTGGAAGGTGAGCTGGTCTTCATTGCAGCACACTTTTTTGTTTGAAGCTTATTCCAAGTCATTGTTATCCTACTCTGTCCATCCACCACAGATTCTTCATTACTGGGCTCGGGACTTCTTGGCGCCCATTGCAATCGTGGCCCTCTACGAAAGTTCCACGGACTCGCTGAACATCTCGCTTATCTGCGACCAACTGGAGGTGGACACGCGGGAGCTGACAGTCGTAGCCAATGTTCATCTCTGGTCCCAGCTCCTGCCGCGCGAATCAACCTCCTGGGCAGTTACCCTGCGCCCCAATGGCGTTCAGTACGACAAGGTCATCCCAATCGCCGACCTGCTGCAGGGGCAGTTCACCAAAACCAACGCTTTTCTGGAGCTCCAGCTGCGCCGCGGCCAGGAGGTGATCTCCAAGACCCACTTCTTCCCCAGCAGCATTTCCGCAGCAGTCGGGTTAGAGGACCCCGGCCTGGAGGTGAGTATGCCCCACTGTAGCCGGACCCCAAGCCTAATTTCTACCTCCGCAGTACGAGATCGCCTCGCGGAACTGCCTCAACACCAGCGATGTCATCCGCAACAGCGTCAGCATCACCATACAGGTGAAGCGCCCAGCTGTATTCGTGTACCTGGAGCTGCTGAAGCCATACCGCTACACCCTGTCCGAGAACGGCTTCATGCAGACCACGCCGATGCACGTCGTCTACCTGACCTTCGACGCGCCCGCGTGCTCCTGGCTTCTGCGCAAGAGCGACATCCGGGTGCTGACCGTCAACGACTTCATGAGATAGACCGAACGTCTTCCTTGACAACTTTAATTCAACGTTTATAAATAGCTTAACAATAGACAAATCAATAAATAGCAGTAACCGTTGAGCACCCGACACCCTCCGTTCTGGTCCACTCCGCACCTATCGGTCGAAGCTGGGCATCTGCGCCCTCGGCGGCGTGTAGCCCTCGGGATATGGCACCAGCTGGTTGTTCAGGACGCGGGCGTTGCGCCAGGTCTTCACCTTGTCCTCGGCACTGTCCGGCACTCGGACGCCCTCGATGAGCGTGACTGCGGGGCCGTCCACGACGCTGTGGGTGCTCTGTCCGATGGGGTTGTGGTGGGGGCTCCCGTGCCCGGGGCTCTGCACTGGACGCCGCGTGTGGGCGACTCCCACGGTGGGCGTGGCGACTCCCGCACTGGCCGTCACCACCACGGAGTGCGGCATGTACGTGACGTACTTGGACTTCTGCGGCAGGGCGTTGTAGTTGTAGTTGTGCTTGGTGATGAGGTTCTGGGGACGGTATCCCTGGGAGGACTTGGCCCCGCTGCTGGCATAGGCACGGGTGTCCCTGTCGCCCGCGAAGTACTCCTGCACGTCGGAGGCAGCGAGCTCCATGTCCCTGGGAAAGCTGACCGAGGGTCCCGGCGCCAGGCGCTGCACCCGCGGCAGGATCTCAACGGAATGGTCCAGCCCGAAAGGTTGCCACTGGCGGTCTACGGCCAAGGAGAAATTCTTGCGGGGCACTGGATGCGTCGGAATCTGGGCGTAGGCGGGCTGCCAAGACACGTCCGCGACGAGCTGGCGTCCACGGCGCGACTCTCCCTGCGCCGCCTGGTACTCCAACTCCACCGCCTTGCTCTGCGCCTTGGCCAGCTGGAGCTGGATTAGCTTTGCGTGCCGCTGCTCGGCCTCCGCCTTGCGCTGCCGGAAGTCGCCCATCTGCTGGGCCAGCTGGCTCTGCTTGAGCAGCGCCGGGCTGTGCTCGAAGGTCAGCTGGCGACCGCTGGCCTTTTCCGCGGGCCGAATCGTGGGCCGCTTGACGTCCGCGCTGCGCACGAAGAAGGAGCCAGCCGCCTCCTCGGCGCGGGCCTTCCTGCTGTTCTTCCCGACCAGGATCTCCACATCCTCGCCCTTGCTGGACTTCACGTTCACCACCCGCACCTTGGAGGGGTCCAGGTTACGGCCAAAGCGGAGCTCAGTCCGAATCAGGGCTGGCTTTCCGGTTACGCTCGGGCTGCGGCCTTCCCCAAGATCCGGAAGGGATTGACAGCCTGCCAAACAGACCAGAAGGACGATCACGGCATGCAATCCCGACCAGCGAGCCATTGCCATTTTCTGGTGAGTTGCGTGGGCTGTGGGGTGAAAGTGATGTAGCCATTTAGTTGAGAGTTAGACAGATTGAGTGTGATCGTAGTTAAAATTTATTTCTTTTTTTAGAAAAGTGTCTTCAAAAACCTAATAATAAGTTGAGAAAGAAGAGTTGAAAAATTGCATATCAAATCGAACTACTAATAGGGATTTTGCTTTGTTAAAAGTCATGTTACAGCTATAAATTTCATTTTGGTTTATTGCGTAATTTTTGAACTTAACATAATTTTTTAAACTAATGGTATTAGGGTATGAAAAAAGCACCATTACTATTTATAAGCTCTTAAGCAAAGGCGATGGCCTAGCGACAATCCCGACACCGTCAAACAGTTCGAGTGGTTTCCTCATGCCAGAGCGCCAAACGAAAGTTGCAGTTTTAATCGGTGTTTCGCTTTCTGAGCCCAACGCACCCAGCACAAACACGCGAGTGCAGTTAAGTCTGCACAGATGCACTGATGGAACCAAAGCCGGCTATTTAGCCGGCTGTGAATAGTTTAATTACGAGCCCGCGGGAAATTCAACGAGGTGTTGAACGAGACCACCTCTGCGTGCTGAAAAAAAGGCGGTCAAGCATGCCCATTAGATCATTTTTGTTGCAGAAAATAGCAAACCGCAAGCTTACTTCCGCCTAATGGGAGCGATGTTCCAATATGTTTGCTGTAGTGAGCGTTTCCTATAAATAAGCTTTTTAGGTAAACACTCCCACCCACATTAAAAATGGTGTATTCAGGAAAATGTCATCGACATTTTCTGTAATTAAGGCCATATTTTTTTATATTGCAATCTGGCAATGTTTGAATCGTCCTTTTACATATATTTACAACAATGGTATATACCATTTAACATTACGAGTTCTGGGTAATCGTGTTCAAAAATCTTCCTTAAAACAATAAAATTGCCATAAATTAGGGGTTAAAACGTATATACGAGTATATGAGTATATTTAGTCCCAAACTACCATATATGTTTTGATACCCTTGATTGTAACGCAGTGAAGGAGAAATTGAAAAAAAATTAATTTGCTGTTTATCTCTTTATCAAAACATTCCTTTGAGATATAGTAATTATATTACGCTTTTAGTGTTATCAAAACCGGACAACAATATCATATATCTGAAATAGAATCGATGCCAAAATCCAGCCCAAAATCGACATAGTAATATTATATTTTTAGTAATATAGGTATAGAAATCGAAACGTAGTCGTTTTGTAATAACTGCAAGGGTATATAAACTTCGGCTTTCTTGTTGTATTAATGAAATCGAAGCCTTGGCGAATTTTCTTTTTGTTACAAATTTCTAGTAGACAGACACATTTGTATTAGTGTAAGTTAGAAGTTTCACATTCAAGATTAATTGTAAGGATGATACGTCGGCAGGTGTAACCTGTACCCGAAAGTATTAATTCCATTTGGACGTTCATGTGGACAGGGCTAGTATTTATGCTGAATAAGGATAATATATAAGGTCGAAAACACTTTCTGCGAGAGGGCAATGGAACACTTATCTGATTATTAACCAACTTTGCGATTAGATGCTGGCAAAGATATTACGCATACGCTGCAGCCGCGCTAACATCAAGCCAATAAGCCACTAATGAAGGCAAATTGTCCGACAAAAAGCAAAAAAGAAACAATTAAGTAAATTGTAAATTGCATTTTCAATATAAGTGCGCGGCAAAGTTCGCGACCGCGATTGTGATTGGGACTGGGACCGGGACTCAAAATGGAGCTCGGGTGGTTAACCAGAGACTGCGACTGCTCTTCGACCCAAATCGCTCCGCTCCGTCGGCAAGACTTTCACTTTCAACTCGACGCGGCCGACTGCACCAAGTCGCGTCTGTTTTGCGATGATTCCGCCGCAGCATTTGCTGCTGTTTGTGTCTTTGCGTATGTCTTTCAGAAGGCAATGTACCCTTTCAAGAAGCTTGTGAAGCTTAGAGGAAAAAAATGATGGCTTGCCCTTTTTGAGTACTATCAGCATGTATTTAAAACGGAAGACCACATCACATATACGCAAAATTTGGCATTGTCGAAGCTAGCTTTCTTTTTGGCTTTTGTAATTTGGTACTTAACAACTAAAAAAGTAATATATTATTTACAGAATTAAACACCTTTTAGCAAGGTGAGAAAGGTGTTATGAACGCACCTTCGACAAACAAAATACTGGATTTCAAATTTTAAGGCAAACATGATTATACATTTATTACAAAAAATGTAACAGGTTTTAAAATTGTCTTAAGAAGCAGCGATGAGATTTATAAACAGCGACAAAAAACAAACGGCAGAATCATTTATATCTTACTTGCAAGCGTTACCATATATAACACTCTTTTTTGACATCCTCAAAAAACCATTAAGAAGGTGTTAATTACTTTAACTGATAAACTTAATGATGCACAGCTTTTAAACATACTATAAAAATATTTTCTTCTTTTAACAATCAAATACATTTCAGATATAATATTTAAAATATTTACAAGGGCTCAGTTTGGGAATCGTGAATGCTAAACACTTTAAAAAAGTAGTAGTAAGCATATAAAACAGATTAAATAAAGATTATGTATGAAGATAATGTAAAGCAGAAATTATATTTATTTATATTTAAACAGTTGTGCAAAAATTAAAAGTTATTTATTAGGCAAAATAAAAAACTCTTGAAATGTTTATGTTATTTATTCTGAAAAGATTACTATGCCAACTATGAAAAGTACACCGTACTGGCTTCCCAAGCTTAAAGAATATTATTGTCCATTATAATTACGATAAAGAATAACCTATCGTTAATAGTTACTTTAGTATAGATTAGGTGTATAGGTGTTCGCATTAGCGTCTTGCCCGGCTCATCGTCTGCTTTGATCAAGGAAAAAAATCAAGAAAGTCACCAAATGTCAATGCACACAAAAAATGTAAAAACTATGTGAAACGATTAATGCATTTGAGAGGCTTAGTTTTTAGAAGGCCAAATAAATAAAAAAAGGAACGATATTCTGGAGTTCCCTGATTTTAACACTATACATACTAAAAATTCGCGTTTGTTAGGCTGGTGTACTTTCTGCAGCATGTATACATACATGCATATAATGTGCTCGATTTATGTGTGTATAAATAAATGTAATCGAAATCAAATAATTTTAATTTAATTACTTGATAAAAGGCAACAGTACGTATGAATGAAAATCTTTAAAGGTAATAAAGGACCCTAAAACAGTGTTTTTTAAAAAAAATTCCTGTCGTATTCTTTAAAGTAACCAAATCGTTTGTTTAAAAATTTGATTACCTTCTTAAAATCTTAGCTTGCTTTCGTTTTTCTAAGTTTTTCGGATACATTACTTTTGAATATTTCATTTGGAAATAATCTAGATCAAATCGAATACACAGGCCAACAAATGCTTAATCAGGATTTTCTAATCTCAGTTACCCTTAAAACAAAACAAGAGAGAACGCTATAGTCGGGTGCCCCGACTATCAGATACCCGTTACTCAAGTAAAGGGAGTGCGAGGGAGATGGAGATAGAAACTTTAATCATGCATAACTTTTTAACGAATGGTCCGATTTGAAAAATTTCTTCTACATTTCGATAGGTATTGATAAACACAATAAAACTGCATTTTTACTTTTCCGAAATATATAAATTTTTAAAATCGTATATAAGCGATTGTGGGCGTTAAAGGGGGCGTGGCACCTTTTTGAAACAAACTTGCGCTGCGTAGGAACTCCTAGAATCTGCTTGCAAAATGCCAATCTTCTAGCTTTTATAGTTTCCAAGATCTCAGCGTTCATACGGACGGACAGACGGACATGGCTATATCGACTCGGCTAGTGACCCTGATCAAGAATATATATACTTTATAGGGTCGGAAACGCTTCCTTCTAGCTGTTACATACTTTTGCACGAATACAATATACCCTTTTACTCTACGAGTAACGGGTATAACTAGCTCAATGTGCTATTGACATATAAAATCTGAAATAAAATATTTTTATTATTTTTTTTAACAAATCTTTATTATGGATCTATTCATTTAAAGGTTCTTTAAACAAAGGATCGCCTCAATATACAATATGTTAAAAAAAATTGACCAATACAGGTTGTTTTTGTATGATTCCTCTGACGGAATTTTTTTAAAGCATGAAATTACCTCAATAGTTATGTTATGTTATGACCCATAACGAGAATTTAGTACATTAAGTGGACTAATAATAAGTAAATTGACTAGATCGATTGAATGATATTATTCCCGCCTTATATAAATAAAATATCTTTCAAATCTATGAAGTTTGGCATCCTTACTGTCACTACATTCCAATTTGACTTCGAGAGATTTATCTTGTATGACAAAAATGATTGATTTTATTTTTTGGGCAAATACCCTGAGTTAATTTTCTGAAACATTCGCAAGCAATCGAAAGAGTAGCGCCCACGTTTCAAGAATCTAAATTTAGATAACTAAATTTGTTGCAGAAAGCGCAAGCGCTCCAAAACGAGTTTTGAGTTTGCATCGCCCCAATATCTGAATCAATAGCAGCTTCCCCGCTGGCCGCCAGCTGCAGTGACAATGCGCACGTTCCAAAGCCTCGACTGAATCGCTTTTTCGGCCACTCTCGGCCATCGGGGATTACATCACTGGCGCGATGAGAGATTTGGGCCATGAGTGAGCGGCGGAAGCGCGCCCGAGACATTTGTCTTGGCCATAACCCTTGTTATGGTCATAAGCGGAGCATAACAGCAGCCAAGCGATTTGGGGTCGAGTGTTGAAATGCAGCCTGCAATTATAATTTCCTCTGATTCGAGTCGTCGGAAATTAGTGGCGGAAAGTTAGCTGTGCACGTGCACTTAATATATCATCTGGAATTTCTTCCAATTCGCGTTTCCACGTCTTTTGCATACAAAACAAGACGCGACAGGCGGCGCACACTTAATGACGGGTTCCCAGCCGATGATGCAACTCCCGCCCTCGTGGAGCCCAGAATGTGTGGCCGGCGAATGCAACTCTCTCCCTGACCCACCGGGGCAGGGCCAATCTCAATTGCGCTTCCATTAGCTTCTTTGGGCCCATGTCAGGTGTCAATCAAGCCAAGCTTGCCTCCCAACGCGTCGTGCATTGTGAGGAGATCGGACAACAAAGGCTGAATTGAAATAGCGGCCCCGCCCACAACGATTCCCGCCTTCAGCTGAGTGCATCCGAATCGAAGGGGTCGGCTGCATTGGTACACAGGAAAAATTTACCCATTAGTTTACACATCATTTTGGACCAGATACCACATTATACAAATATTTTCGAATGTCTATATGTCTGCTATAAAATCAAAATGATATGATATTATCGTGACTTACTGCAAAAATAAAAACAAATCTTATGACAGCAGTTTTGACAGAGTGGGATATACATAAGTATATGTAAAAGATACTTTTCACATATCGAAACGATATGAACAATTTAAATAGCTATTTAGCCCGTGAATATCTAGAGATATTTTTTGAATACCAGCCTGCTTTTTTTCTGTGCAGTTTGGCCAAAGCCCGGCAATTGAACGGTCGCTGGCTCTGCTCATTGTTATCGACGATTGTGGCTGTTTCTGTGGCCACCAGATGGTGCAGTTGCTCGCCACTGCCATGTGCGAAATGCAAATGCGACTGCGGCTAACGAAGCTCGCTGCTGCCTCGACTCGTAATATTTTACTTTTACTTTTTATGATTAACATTTCCCACCCAAAAGTGAGAAACTTAACATGATTTTTGTCCGTCGTTCACTTATCCACATTCGTACTTTCTGCGCAGACTCTGCGCAATGAAACGAGAAACCCAGAGATCGTAAACTTCGAAGATAGCACATTCGCCGGGCCGCCCAGCGATATGTTTTTGTCTTCTGTGCCAGCCAGCATCTTTTAATTACACGTGTTAGTCACTGCCCCTCCGCTTTCCCCCGGCCTGGGTGTTGGGACTTGGGTCTTGGGTCTTGGGTGTCGCAATTGAAAGTGAAACTCTTCTTACTTTCAGCCCGAGTCAAAGGTTGGTGGGCCTGACAGGGCCCACTGCCTCCTCTCATCTTCGCGACTTCGCTACTTCGCGTCTTCGGAGGCCCACGCACGAGCTGAAGTGTGAAGTGTTGTCATCGTCTGGATGAGTGCGCAACTCGAGTGCCGACTCATACTCGTTCAAAGTCGCGAGGCGGAGTGGCGGCCTGAGGTGAGCAGATCCCACTTGGGGTAGGTCGGGCGCCGCGATGGGAAAACGGGTCCAAAACGACCAGATGTCTACCGCTGAACTCCCTCGAACCGCCGGCTCAACCGGGGTTTCCCGGAAACTTCTCAAGAGTCATATAAACAGCTACGGGTTGTGGGCCTGCTTGCTGGAAAATCCAGTATTTGATCGATAGCCTTACATACTGCTACGATTGACGGCACTTATCTGAAGACCGCGGAGCAAAGGGCTCTCAAATAGTGCGCATACGCAGCGTGTTACACTGCACCTACTGCAAACCTACGAGCTGCGTCATGAACTCACTTTTCTTTTCCGGGAAGCTCGATGTAAAAGAAGCTGCGCTTTTTCCGCAGCACAGGATATAGATCGGGATAGTGATGATCGAGTACTGACTTTGTTTCCCTCGCAAGCGGTGGCGAATCCAATGTGCGACAGATCGCAGCGCGAACCGAAATACAACTGACGGCGAATGAAAAACTCTTGCTTGCAAGTTAAAAAGCAGCGAGCTGGAAAACAGCAGAAAAAAGTAAAATTATTATGTATACATATGTTTAGAGGCCGACGGCGCAGCGGCCGAGGCGGCAGCAGAGCGTCAACGAACAGCGAAGGTAAATCCCGCGATGGCGATGTCGATGCAGGCGATGCCAGCTAAGCACTCGTACTCAGTCGACGGCTGGAATAGGCAGAGACACGCCGGAGTGGAGCCGGCCGATCCCGCCCGATCCGATCCAATCCCGACCCTCCCCTCCCCGACAGCGCTATCGGCCGGGCCCAGAGACACCAAAGTCGAGCCATCCAAAGCCAAGGCAAAATTGCTCTCGAAAACAGCAACATTAACTTTAACTGAGACCGAGGCGGTAAACAAAGCTGAAGCACGCCAAAAAAGAGGCAGCCAAAATGAGCCAACAATTGCGCAATTGCGTCGCTTCAGAAACACCAACGTCTTTTGGCTGTCGATTTACCATGGGACAAACGATCACTACTCGAAAACGTAGTTTATAACTTAAAATCAAAACAGGGTTTTTCTCATAGCTTTTAGGGGGAAAAATATCATTTAAACAAATAAAGTAAAACATTTTTAAAAGTATAAGTAAAAATACAGTGTTTATATTGGACTCTCTTTTTGCAAATAAAATGTATGCAAGTTTCCCTCTTTAGACTTTATTTTTAAGAGAATCAATTTTCCATTTCTGATATACTAACTTATGTTAACTTTTTATAAAAATATTTATATAACATTTGATATCTCGTCGACGAAATAACTAAAAATAAATTGGATTAGCTGAGTGTGTTCATTTTGTGCCCCCTTTACTTACTTTGGCTTGTAAAACTTGGGGCAGGAGCCGATAGGTTGACAGTAAATTTCGCTGTTCGATTTTAACCAGCCAAAGTGGTCGAATGCCCCACAGTGCATTGGCGTGCAGCTGCGGATCTCCCATCTTAAGTATGTGTGCGCTTTGTCTCAATCTTGTTTTTTCATTTTTTGGCGATCTGCAAGGGGTTAAACAGCTTGTCACTCAAACTAGACATCTTCACTGTCGTCTGTTGATTCCATGGAATTCGGCAGACACAACCAGGTAATCGTCAGCGTTCTACTTTTCTGAACATTTTTGAATTACAAAATGTATTTATTAGGAAAATAATTGTTTGTTGAGTAATCAATAATATTTTTAGGAAAATTACATGGTCAGGCCTTACTTTCATTATTCAGTTTCGAATTCCCTAAACAACTTGTTTATTAATCACTTTTTTACTAATTTGCTTCTGCATATTTTCATATATGTAAATAAAAAAATTATTTTAACTTGCAGTTGTTTATGGCCTGATGGCCATATTTATTTATTTAGTATTAACTAAATAGTATATACAAATTAAAAACAAATAAAATAACTTTTAAGCAAGAAAGGAATCTAACTTCGGCAGGTCGAAGTTACCATACCCTTGCAGTTGTTACAAATCTACTACATTTTGATTTCTATGCCCATATTACTAAAATCAATAAAGCTATGTCGATTTTGAGCTGCACTTTGCCATCGTTTCTATATTGTTGTCAGATTTTAATTTAATTAATGCCCTAATTCCAAAATATTTAAATATTTCCAAATCTTAGAGAAAAAAAAATTATTAAAAACAACAAAGTTAAAATTTTTTTGAATTCTTTTTTCCGGATGTTCCTAAGGGAGCTATATGATATAGTCGCCCGATCCGGCTCGTTCCGACTTATATACTACCTGCTATAGAAAGACAACTTTTGGGAAGCAGATAGCTTTAAAACTGAGGGACTAAGTTGCGTAAAAACGGGCGGACTGGGAGATGGACGGAGAGACAGACGGACATGGCTAAATCGACTCTCCTGGTGATGATGATCAAGAAATTATATACTTTATAGGGTGGGAAATGTCTCCTTCAATGCGCTGCAAACTTTTGACTGAGATTATAATACCCTCTGTAAGGGTTTAAAAAGGATACAAGACAGAAATTTTGACTAATGGCCAGTGCACTATAGGAAATCAAATTAATCGGACCAAATTTTACCCCTGAATTGGATATTTGAACTTTTTATGAACTTTCATAATTAATCAATGATTGGTAAATACTTAAGCTTAGTTTATAGCATGTATACGCAAAGGTACTCCACATGAAGACTTTTATTAATTGTTAACTGCCAATTAGTTTCCACCCACTGTGCGATAGGGTAGGCCACTTAAATAACGAAAAAAAAACTTTAGTTTAAAAAATACCCATAAATTTTAAAGTCGATATCTTTAAGCCTGGAGTTAGTGGAGTGTATTGGAAAACGTGGTTATTTCTGCCTACGTACATTGGTACAATTTGAAGTACACAACTTCTTACCAAGGTCAATAATTCAATACCTCTTGCCTAAATAGATTCGAAATTCCATTTACTCTGGATAATGTGTAGTAATATTTGGAAGGCATTCATTTAGATTTATTACGCCCATTTGGTAACTACCTATGTTACCAACTTTTGATTCCGTCGATTTTGCTGTCTTTAAATGTGTAGGTCTTAAAACAGTCCGCGACGCATACACTTGGTATCTTCCCTTAGAAACTTGACCCAACCCTTTTCAACGCGATAACCATTTGCATCTTGGGAGGCTAAAGGTCGGTGCCTGCCACTCCTCTTTTAAAAAGGCGAAAAAGTAATTGCCATGAGCGCGATCGTTAACGAAAGTGGTCCGAAGAACGATTACATCCGTTTGGATGTGCGTTGAGATCTTAGCAGTCGCTTCATCACTCACAAAAATTTTAAACCGTAGTGGGGCTATAGTTTTACTGTCAATTTTCGCATTTCCATGGAGCCAGCGCTGCTGGGCGGGGGCTTCGAATAAAATGGTTTTTAATTAACAAAAATTTCACTTTTTCACTTAACGTGTAATGGATGGAGGCATGCATGGATCATGGTGAATAATAGCAAGTGAGAAAAAGAAGGAGAAATATTGTGGGGCGTACTAACTAAAGCTGCTCCCATCGGCCAGTTTATTATTGAGCACATTCCCACGTTTTTGAGACGTTTCCTGCACCGCCCCTCCTTCGGACTCCAGCTCCACGGTGTCCTGATCCTGCAGAGCGTCGCGCACGAAGAACACCCCGTTGGCGCCGAAGCGCAGGCAGTTCAACCGGTACTCGAAGAACTGGCTGGCAAGGACCTTGAAGACCACCGACAGGCAGACCTGCAGGTTACCCTCGCCGAAGGACCGGATGTCGTAGAGCCGCAGGCAGCTGAAGAGCGGGAGCGGCAGGAGCAGCGGGACGCAGTAGTCGGGCGGATTGCGGGCCGAGAACCCGAAGTTGGCCACTTGGCGCTGGTTCAGCTCGACGCTGAGGCGCAGGCCCAGGTCCACCCGGCTGTACTCGAGGGCGGCGCACAGCCGCTGGTTGAGGGCCTCCCCGAATCCCAGGGACAAGCCCAGGCAGCAGCGGCAGGCGAACTCGGCGCAGGAGCACGGCTGCCAGAGCTGCGGCAGCTCCACGATGTTCCCGTTCACGGGCTGTCGCCTGGCGCGTCGCAGAAAGGCGGTGTAGCGCAGAGGCTCCAGTTGCTGGCCACTGAGGGGGTTGTAGAGGACCAGGCGAGGAACTGGAGGGGGGTCTGGTCCAGCCAAGGGGTAGAACTGGGCCTCCGAAGGCGGCAGCACGAGGGCGGAAAGCAAACAGATCAGTGGCCAGCACATGGTTGCTCCAGTTCCAGTTCCAAGGTATTGGGGTTTTCCGGGAGCGTGTTGTCGGCCGCAATTGTCCAAACAGAATGCTTCTGCCACATCGGAATTTTTCCAAAGCCCTGGCCGTTTTACCGGCCCGCCAAATGGCTCGGAAAATGTTTATTGTCTTACATTAGGTGGCTCTGGTCGAGCCGACAACAAGTGCAATTGCCTAAAAACTGTGTCAATGTTAGATCGGTGCGGTCGATACAGCTGCGTAGTTTGTTGGAGCCTGCACTCCCTTTCGCAGCTAATGGCTACGCTGATAAGGCAGAGCGTAATTTGCATTTCAGATTCCAGGCGTTACGTGAAGCTGGCGAAGTGCAAACAGAAAATTGCACACTTGACACTCCAAAGCGTGTCAAAATTACCTGCACAGCTCAATTTGCGCAAACTTGCGGCAATACGCATATCAGCCATCATCAGGCCAAGTGTAACGTAACGGAGCTCTCATTCATCCAAACACAGAAAGACAATTTAAACGCTTTATTGAGGGCTATACCCTAGGAAAGGCTTACATCTATTGCCGCAGTGATCGGAGGGGGCGGAGAGGGAGGAGGGGGCGGAAGCCAAGACTGGGGTTTCCCAACTATGTAGCTGTTGGCTTAGTTTCGAGACCTTATTTTGCCAACTGTACATAGGAAGCTCGGCTCTTTCGTGGCTGCCATGCGAGTCGAACTTCAGATGTGGACCTTGAATTGAATCAAAGACACACGAATGGTTAAACAATTATTCAACTTTTGATGCACATCCAAAAATGCGGGAATTTACACAGCCGACTCAAAGGGCAAAGACTTTTCAGAAAAATAGTTTAAAATATTTCCATGCTGGTTAAAATAGCCTTCTGAAAATACACACTTATCTGTTAATGAACATATACAAATTTGGTCTTATATTTTCTATTTGCTTACATTTTGTATCGTGAAATGTGAATAAAAGACAAAAGTGATCGCCCCTCTTCTGGAGAACTTACTCTTGTGGTTTTTTTATACCGTTGGAAAACTTAAAAAATTTTCAGTCGAGACAATGAACAGATATTATTCTGGATTGAATCTGATCAAACGAAAGGCATTGAAAATCCAATATTCTGAAACCAACCAAATGTCTCGATCTTTGAGAAAACGGACCCTCAACGTGTCGTGAAGGATAACGTGACGTAAACAGAATATATTTTAAGCTTTTACGCTCAATTAATAGTTACAGTTTGGATAACTATAAAATTGTTTATCTTACGTAGTACGTTTACGTTCGAGTTACCATAAAAATGTTTAAAGTACTATAAAAAAAGGAAAAAAGTCCTCCGCCAATGAATACTAGTTAGTTAACTAGGCTTATATTAAAATTTCTTTAAGCACGAAAATGGTGAATCAACTTTAAATATTAAATCTTTTATTTAATTATAAAATTACCTATTCCAAACCACGGAGTAAACACATTCGAAATAGTAAATATTTTGCTATGAAAAGCAAATTATAATTAATTATGCCCACAAATCAATTTGGGCTTGAAAATTGGGTTTTGTATGTTGGCTTATGACTTTTTAACGAAATTATTTGTAATGGTCTTAAAAAAACAGATATGTCCTTTTTTTCACATAACACTAGTTTTCCTGAAAATTCAAATTTTACAATTTTTTCTTTTCCCCCGACTGTTGGTAAGTGCCCCGCATATCGATAAGAGCGATGTACAAAGGTATCGATAGCACGCCAGGGCTGCGGCAGAACGTTATCGGAGTCCGCCGAGTCCAATCCAGTCTCCTGCGGAACTAGCACCACCGCAGCCCTGTACATTGTTCTTTTTATTTTTTGTGGCCACAGTGCACTCGAAATGTTTTAGACTGTTAGCGGGCGCCAGATAATTCAAGTGAATCAGTTCGCGACAAAGAACGCACTTTCGTTGGCCACCAAAATGGGCGAGTTCTTCAAGTCGCTCAACTTCAACTACTTCTCCTCCAGCGAGGGCAGTCCATCTGCCAACGGGGCTGCGGGAGGCGGAGGTGCGGGAGGAGCAGCAGGTGCTCTCGGGGGCAGGCTGGACAACGACTTCGTCGGCCAGGTCGTCGAGGTGGCTGGCCACAGGCTGCGCATCAAGTGTGTCATCGCCGAAGGTGAGGGGCGTGGGCGGAGCGGTGCGGGAAGGGACCGCGACTCACAAAAAATCAATAGGAAGTGAAGCCACCAGCAACCATCCAACGCTCGCGGAAAAAGAAGCCCGAACCGAGTACTTAAATGCGCTTTGTTTACGCTTTCTGATTTCGGGCTCAGCTGTTCCGCCAGTGCAAGGCTAACATCCGCTCAGTGCGTTGCCACTTACTATTTTTCCCAGTTGCGTTCCATGACCTGTGAGTCACTCATGCCAGACCAGAGTGATCGGATTTTCACAAACCAGTTCTTATATAAGAACGACAAAAGTTACCAACTCTAGCGGATGACAATGGGCAGAACCCTACAGAAAATTCGTACATAGATAGCGGACTACCAGCTAGCAACTCCCCCTTTCGCTGTGCCCATTGCAATTAGCATTAGAGCAGCCCCTTATCAGTGCTGTTTTATCAACCTCCTCTCCCGCTTCCACCCCTTTTTCAGGCGGATACGCCTTTGTGTACGTCGCCCAAGATGTGCAAACTGGCACCGAGTACGCCCTCAAGCGTCTGATCGGAGCCGATCAGCAGGCCTGCAACGCTATTATCAACGAGATCGGCATCCACAAGCAGGTCTCTGGCCACGGAAACATTGTTGCCTTCGTGGGGTCCAGCTACGCGGCGCCGTCGCCTCAGCAAGGGGCCCAGTACCTGCTCCTTACGGAACTGTGCAAAGGTAAGTGCGGAATCAGGTCAACCTGTATGTACGCAGGCCTTAATTCGTGTGATTTCAGGGGGCTCGCTGGTGGACTGCTTTAGAGCTAACAACGCTGCTATCGATCCGCCCTTGGTACTGCGCATCTTCTACCAAATGGCTCGAGCTGTGGCCTGCCTGCACGCACAGTCACCGTCGATCGCCCATCGAGATATAAAGGTAAGACTGCCCAATAAACGAAGCTTGCGATGCTAACCCCACCGAATCCATTGCAGATCGAAAACTTCCTCATTGGCAACGACAAGCAAATCAAATTGTGCGACTTTGGCTCAGCCACAAAGGAGGTACTTTCGCCGACGTTTGAGTGGAGTGCCAACCAGCGCAACATGCTAGAGGATCAGCTAAATACGGTGACAACACCTATGTACCGGGCTCCCGAAATGCTCGATACTTGGTCCAACAATCCGATCGGGCCCAAGGCCGACATCTGGGCTCTTAGCTGCATCCTTTACTTCTTGTGCTATCGCAGACATCCCTACGAGGATGGCGGAAAGCTGCGAATCATTAACGCCAACTACATTCTTCCGCCAGACCCCCCGTACCAGTGCTTCCGAGACATTATCAGGGGATGTTTTAAAGTGAACCCCGCCGAGCGGCTAGACATTGCCATGGTGCTCGAACGCCTTGCAGCCATTGCGGAAACAAACAATTGGTCACTCAAAGGACCTCTAGACCTGCATGGAATCCCCATCGATTCCTTACCGGCTGAAAGCCCCGCTCGAAAAAGTTTCATTCAATCGGAGTTTTACACCGAATCGCCTACTAGTACCATCCCCCACACAGCGCCCCCTGCCGCCACCGCTCCATCTTCCAGTAATGGACACGGTAGCCTGCTGTCGTCGCTGCGTGGCGGTGCTGGAACGCTTTTCAAAAACATTAAGGATACATCCACCAAAGTAATGCAGACTATGCAGCAGTCTATCGCCCGCAACGATCTCGACATCAGCCACATCACCTCTCGGATTTTGGTTATGCCCTGTCCTTCTGACGGCTTTGAGTCGGCGTACAAAACGAACAACATCGAAGACGTTCGGCTGTCTCTAGAGAGTCGTTTTGCTCCACAAAAGATTAGCATTTACAACTTTGGTCAAAGCACAGTGCCCCGACTACCGCCACCAGTGCGTACAGTTGAGGCAGGATCAGTTTATGGGTGTCCACAAGCGCATGCTCCCAATCTACAGGTATGTAAAGGACAATCAGTAGAAATTAGCCAAATTTCGTTGTTTATGCTTTTTTTTCTCATATATCTTTTTTAATTTAGTTTTTAATGTAGCTTTCTTATGTGCTATTTAACTAGATAGGAAATAGATTACTGCTCCCATATATTTGAAATATTATCTATATACTCGAACATCGTCGAACAAAAATTTTGTTGTTTCTTAAGACACTTTTCTATATGACGTTTTAATACCGTTCCTCTGTATGGAATTTTGTAATTTTGGTCAGAAGTTTGTAACGTAGTAAAGGAGATATTTTCGACTCCATAAATTATAATCTTGTCCGACTGTTTGCTCGAGAACACAGGTCAGTGCCACAAAAAGTGAAAAGCAGAAAAATATATGTCTATGAATAACACTGCAAGGGCGGGATTTTCATTTTCATGAAATTTTGTGGTTGAATTTTAATTTTAATTGTTAATTGTTATTTATTATTTTTATTAATATGCCTCATAGCAGCTAAATAAATGCCGTAGCCTTGCCAGGCCGCGCTTGTTAAATACTTTGTTTTTTACCTAATAACGATTTGAATCTGTTGTTACATCAGGGCCTGTTTACCGTGTCAGCAGACATGTACAATTTTCTGAAAGCCGATCCGAAATCGATTGTAATCGTGCAGACCGGGGACTCGGGTGGGTGCTCTGCCGCCACAGTCATCTGCGCTCTGCTCATGTATGCAGATTTGCTGCAGGAGCCGGAGGACGCGGTGCAGGTGTTTGCTGTCAAGCGGCACACCATAAACCTGCGCCCCTCCGAGTTTCGCTACCTGTACTACTTCGGTGACATCCTGCGCCCCACACCTCTGCTTCCGCACTACAAGAACACCAATCTTGTGTCGCTTAGCTGCCAGCCCATACCCAGAATGACCAAGGCTCGCGACGGCTGCCGAATTTACATAGAGGTGTATTGCAACGATAACTTGTTGCTTAGCACACTGCAGGACTACGAAAAGATGCGGTAAGAATAGAACGGGTTACAGCGAGATACTTATACCAAAGTCTCTTTTTTCGTTGGCCGACATTTACAGTTTGCACCAGGCCGGCCCCGGGAAAATAGTTCTGCCGGTCAACCTAACAGTCTGTGGCGATGTGACGGTGGTTTTGTATCATGCCCGAAAGGGAATGGTGCGACCACAAGGCCTGAAGATATGTCAGTTTCAAATAAACACGGGCTTCATCCCCGAACCAGAAACACTGATCACGTTCAGCAGCCAAGACCTTGACGACCTGCCAGATCCTGAACAGGTGGCCCCAAACTTCTGCGTGTCGCTCTCGCTTACTGTGACCGAGTCGGAGTCTCCTCCCAGCCATAAGCCGCCATGGTTGCCAGCCAAGCCCACTCGATCACCAGCCGCCTTGTTTAGTTCGGATCTGGAGTTCGCAGAGATGTTGGACAACTTTGGTAAGTGCTCGTGCTTGTTGTCTTTGGACGTTGTGATCAAATTCTTTGCTTACTCTAGTAACCAAGCCCAGCACGCGTTCATCGTCGCCGCCTGTCGCTCAGAAAAGTGATCGTGCCAGCTCTCCACTCGTTTTGCCCGATGTTACAGAGACCGCCCACGAACCTCCGATGGCTGTGCCAGAGCCTTCCCCGCCCATCGACCTGCTCAATTTGAACCAGCAGCATAGTGATGCACCAGCAGCGGATCCTTTAACTAGCGCCAAACCCAGCACAGATGCCAGCTTTGACTTGTTGGGGGCCTTCGGTGATGACGACTCCTCGGGCATAGGATCAGCACCGATTCCTGATATACTTCCACCACCGCCAATGCAGCAGCTGCCGACAAAAGTAAACACAGATCTGTTCGACATCTTTGGCTCTGTGGACCAAGCCAATACGCCCAGCCTGAAGCCATCAGCCGGATCAGACATACCGCCTTTCGTTGGCACCCTGCCAACTTTTGTAACCAAGCCAGCCGTCACCAGAAACGATCCCTCGCCAACACAGCCGCCCAAGGCAGCTGCCGATCCGTTTGCAGATATCGCCAATCTTGCTTCAGGACTTAACATAAACTTCAACCGCAGCACGCTGAGTGGCAAGTCCCCTGTCGGCAGTAGTCCCCAACCGACGCAGTTCTCCAGCCCCACCCACAGGCCATCCCCATCCTCGCAGCCTCAAGGGAATTTTATGCAGACACCGCCGCAGCAGCAATCACAGCCGATGACAACGTCCACTAGGGGACCTCCGCAGCCACAGCCGGTCCCTGCTCAATCGCGGCCAGACTACAGTCGAGTCCATTTCGATTCGCCAAAGCCACCGCAGCAAGCAGGTTTCGGCGGCACCAAGGGCTCCGACATATTTGCAGACATTCTAGGCCAACAAGGCTACTCCTTCGGCAGCAAAATGAACCAGGGTCCGCGATCGATCAATGAAATGCGCAAGGAGGACTTGGTGAGGGATATGGACCCCAAGAAAGTTCGCATTATGGAATGGGTAAGACAGTAGCATACTACAATAAAACCTCTTTTTAATATACCTTTTTTAGACTGACGGTAAGAAAAACAACATCCGTGCGCTTCTATGCTCAATGCACACAGTGTTGTGGGACAACGCCAAGTGGCAGCGATGCGAAATGTCCACCATGGTAACTCCGGTGGAGGTCAAGAAGGCGTACCGGCGAGCCTGCCTTGCAGTGCATCCTGATAAGGTGAGTGACATCTCACGGAAAGGAAAATGCTTTAATCCACTTTATTTTTCAGCATAATGGAACCGAAAACGAGGAGATTGCCAAGCTCATTTTTATGGAACTGAACAATGCATGGACAGATTTCGAAAACGATGCCACGCAGCAAAATATGTTCAATGCGTAAAACGCGTCCTATAGCTTATGTTTATCGCAATTAGTCCTAATTATCGTACTCTTAGCGGAATCTAGTGTAAATTCTTATAAAAGTGTAAGCTTTAATGTGTAAAGTGAATGTATTGGCTTATGCCATTAACGGCGCAGGCAATTCAGCTAGCCCAAAAGAACCCCTTTGAAATTATGAACACATGAGGACATTTTACTTAATTTGTATAATAACAAATCCAGTTCAAACATTCCTATTGCATCCAATAGCAGTCCCCCACAGAAAATGTCTGTATATTGAGAAAGATACTCCCATTCCCTCAGACCTTGGCGATCATCCCCTAAAAGATTGCACGCCTTATTCATCATCCCATAGAAATCAATGTTTCGTATATGAAATATATACACTTTATCTGCAGCAATTAGATTAATTACAATATATCCTTGACCCATATATAGCCAATATGTGATTAAACTATAATTGATGGAAACTAAAAGTATAGTTTATGTACAGAACTGTTCCGAGTATAAAATGTAAAACGAGTAAAGACAAAGTTAGTTTTACTTCTTAGCAGTCCAAGTGTATAAAAGAGAGAGTATATTGGAGGTTATCTAAACGCAAAATTCCGGTTCAGCATTTAATGTTTGTCGCTATAAAAATAAATTCTCTATATACGTTTCCTCGTGAAATGCCACTGTTAAATTTGTAATTACCCTATTCTGGTTGGCATTCCTTTTTAACTCGCTTGCCGGCCACGAAGACCTCTAAAATGTTTCGATCACTGCCGGTGTATATGAACTTCTCCACCAGCTCGTCGACGTTCAGCCTCCGTACGGGATGTTCTATGACGCTTACGTCCACTAGTAGCGCATCGAACTCCTTGCCCAATGCGAAGTTTCCGGTCAGGTGGTCCAGGGAGAGCGCCTTGGCGCCGCCCAATGTGGCCATGTATAATGCCTGCTTGTACTTTAGCTGCACGTAGCTGGGATCTTGTGTTTTCGCCTCCCCAGTTCCGCGGATGTTCTGCTTCTTGAAGAAGTCCAGGTGCTTGGACACGTCCAGCGCGCGCAGCAGAGCGTCCTGAATTGATACCGAGTTTCCACCCGAAACGTCTGTGCCAAGGCCCACGGTCACGCCGGCATTTACCAGCCGCTTGACGTCGCACAGTCCCGAGCTGAGCATCGTGTTAGATGCGGGACAATGTGCCACCGAGCAACCTCGAGTTTTTAGGAGTGCGATTTCGTCGTCCTCCAAATGCACGCCGTGAGCCATTACCGTCTGCAAGAGAAGGCAGTTATAAACGAGGGAGCAAAAACCGGAGCCTGAATGATGTAACCTTGTTAGTGAGCAGTCCAGCCTCGTCGTATGCTCCGGCGTAACTGGTCTTAAAGATCCCTTCCACCACCGCGATCTCCGCAAGATTCTCGCTTATGTGGCTCTGAATGTGCAGGTCGAATCGCTTCGCTATGTCACCCAGATCCTTCAGCAGTCCTTTGCTGCAGCTGAGGGCAAATCGTGGGGTGATCGTGGGCAGCACCAATGTGCTTTCGAGATTCCTCATCTCTTCCACGAACTCCAGAGTGGCGCTGGCCGACTCCTCCGCTGTCTCCCTGCGTAGAGCAACATTACTGGGTTGACCAGACCAAGTCCGTCACGCTCGGTACTCACACGTAGAAGTCGGGACTGTTGCAGTCGGAGCAGACCTTGCCGACGAGCGCTCGCTGGCCTTGGCGCACCGCCTCCCGCGCCAATGTCAGCGTCGACTCCAGGTGATTCGTGGCGAAATAGGATGCCAGGGTGGTTCCGCAGCGGAGCGTTGCTTCCTGATATCAGTTTATTATTACTATAACCATTATCAGCAATTAGAAGCGTTCTTGGCGCGTACGTTTGAGCGTCCCATATTGATAAGAAATATAAATGCTACTTACGACAACGCTCTTGTAGACCTCTTGGGCGTATTGCTGATCAGAGAACTTCGCCTCTAGCGGGAAGGTATACGTGTTTAACCAGTCCAGAAGTGGCATGTCCAGTCCCAGGCCCACTTGCGCGAACTGCGGGGCGTGAATGTGACAGTCGACGAAGCCCGGCATGAGGAACTGGTGCTCCGACAGCCGAATCTCGGTCAGATCCTTGGCCTGGACCGAATTGCTCGAGAGCCACGGCTGGTAGTCATGCCCCACTCCTATTATCTGCGTGAGAAACGCTATTAGGGCACGGCTTTATCGGAAGTGGTATTTACGAAGGACACCTTTCCATTGTCGTCCACTGCAAGGAATCCGTTTTCGAAGGACTCGAACTCGCTAAAGGACTTCGTGTGCACAATAGTTCCAAGAAAAACAGTTGCCATATCGGGGACTCTGGGTGCGGTACCAACGTGTTTCGAAACGTGTTTCTGATCGGACTTCGGAGAACGCAATAAAATCGATCTGCTCAACAAGTGTTTAAATTGTCGCCAAGGTGCACGCGTCTTACTGTGAATGCCACCTAATCACTTGTACGGGGATGAAACTTACTTAAAATTACCTTAAAGATTGTTCGGTACATTGCGCTTTAATCCAAAGGATAGATGATGTATGTAAATATCTTAGATAAGTTCACCTCGAGAAACGGCTGAGTCAGGTATTTATGAATCGAACTATTTTTATTTCTTTGCTTTTGAATTAGCTCAATACCAGTGCTAGTAAAGTTGGACTATAACTTGCTTCTTAAAACGATTTAAAAAATATTTTCTACTCTTTACCATACCTAAATACTTGGAAAGTATTACCTAACTACGTATAGTAGAAAATATCTTTACTTCTCTCAACACTGTTTATATATACATATATATAACATTAAAAGTTAAAAAATTCTCCAGAACTATCTCTCACTTCGGAAACACTGTTACAATGAACTGTTTTCTAAAAAGCTTGTTAATTTGAAATTCAGAGGCAAACTAGGATTTTAAAAATTGTTTTCACGCTTTTACTGTATGTACTTGGATAGTATTAGTAAAACGGCCCCCTTGGCTCACCATAAATAATGTATACTATTCTATGAAGAAAACGTTAACTTGGTCCACATTAGAGTTAATTTATTTTAGATTTTTTTATTGGACTTTATGAAAAAGCTTTTTTCAAGCGGTAAAATTGTAAATCATGTAAAAGTCTATTTCTTCACAGCTCCCATCCTGCTGGCGTCCTGACTCGGATAGGGTACTTGGCCAGGTGGCGGAGGAACCGATATAGAGTCGAGACTGACATTCGAGGTAGATGTGGAACTGGCGTTGCCATAAGGCGCTGCGTAGGTCGGCTGACCGTACATCTGGTATGCCGACGCCGGGACCAGGTTCGATGGCAGCTGGTGCAACTTCATGCCGGCGGGCATGACGTTGATCTGCTCCTGGCGCAGATTGAAGTAGTCGTTTGGCTTAGCGCTGGGCGGTGGAATTCCGGTGACGTCGAAGCGCCTGTCTGTCTTGGCGGCGGTGCCCTGTTTGGCCTGGGAGTGTGCCCACTTAATGCTCACCTTCCGGCCTTGAATCACCAGTTTGTTGAACGTTCGCTCGGCGGCCAGCTCGGCAGCGCTCCGTTTGGTGTACTGCACAAAAGAACATTGCTGGCGTGGCACCAACGCAATAGATCGGATTTCGCCAAACTGGTAGAATTGATCTCTCAGCTCTGGCTCCGTTATCTCCTCGGGAAGATTTCCCACGTACAAAGTTGTAATGTTGCGGTCCTCCGGCGGCTCGAGGGTGGGGAGCGAGGCTGCCCGCTTCATGATCTTCTCAGCCACTGGATCATTGCGTCCGTAGTACCTGTCCTTGATGTTCTGCTCGCACAGCGGGTCGTCTGGTTCGTTGGGCTTGTCGTGACGGTAGGGGCACTCCTCGCCACGCTTGCACTCTCCCTTCACCCAGAAGGAGCAGATGTGGGGCCTGTTCCGCTTGTAGTAGGGAGCCGTGCGCGCCAGCTTGGACAGCATCTCGTTTGCGGCGAGGGATCGGCCGACCGCACCGGCAGCCTCGGTGCCATCCCCGTCCTGCAGCTGGGCGTCTATGTTCTGGATGTAGTACTCCTTGTTCACGTCGCTCTGGGGCATGTTGTCCGCCACTTTGAGAGCGGCGTCGCGCACCTGGATGGGAAGACCGTACTCCAGGTCCAGGAGACAGGTCTGGCACACGTTTTTTAGGCGCGCACACGTCTGGCATATCTCTGTCTTTTTAAAGCGCATCCGGGCGCCAGGACACCAACGAAATATGGTGAATGGACGCGTGCAGATCTTGCATTCCTTTCCGAAGCGCTCCTTTATCATCCGCACGTACGGATTGTCGCCCAGGCAAGTCTGGCACAGGATCGGGAACTCGGCGTCCTCCCAGTTTTGCCGATTATAGGTGTTCGTGGTCTTTGACATAGACATGGCGACGGCAGGTCTGTTTCCTTTCTTAAAATTTGGTCGAAACTCACACAATGCTCACTTTTTACTTGACTAAAATGGTGATGGGAGGCCACTGATAACCAACATCGATACAAATATGGTTCATCAACAATCGATACCTTTTAGCTCGTGAATACTATATATTTTCGGGGACTGTTATTTTGAAACGGCCACACTATACCTCGGATTTGTTTACAATCAGGCCATCAAAAAGTCGAAGATACAGATTCGCTGAAATGGCACAGATTAAACGGTACCGGAAATCCTCGAAGTCCTCGGATGACGGGGAGCAGGACAACGAGGAGTATGTTCCGTACGTGCCGGTGAAGGAGCGGAAAAAGCAGCACATGATGAAGCTGGGTCGGATCGTGCAACTAGCCTCGGAGACTTCGCAGCCCAAGTCCTCGAGCGAGAACGAGAATGAGGATGACTCGCAGGGGGCTCACGACGCAGAGACTTGGGGACGCAAGTACAACATCAGTTTGCTTGACCAGCACACAGAGCTGAAAAAGATTGCGGAGGCCAAAAAGCTGAGTGCCGTGGAGAAGCAGCTGCGTGAGGAGGAGAAGATCATGGAGAGCATCGCCCAGCAGAAGGCGCTGATGGGTGTGGCCGAATTGGCAAAGGGCATCCAGTACGAGGAGCCCATCAAGACCTCCTGGCGACCGCCGCGCTACATTCGAGTCATGACGGAAGACGAGCGCCAGAATATACGCAAGCAGCTTAGGATCCTCGTGGAGGGTGAGAACCCAAGTCCGCCTATCCGCAGTTTCCGGGAAATGAAGTTCCCCAAAGGTATTCTTAACGGTCTGGCGGCCAAGGGCATCAAGACGCCGACTCCTATCCAGGTCCAAGGCCTGCCCACTGTGCTGGCGGGGCGCGATCTCATTGGCATTGCCTTTACCGGCTCTGGCAAAACACTGGTCTTCGTGCTGCCTGTCATCATGTTCGCCCTGGAGCAGGAGTTTAGCCTGCCCTTCGAGCGGAACGAGGGCCCATACGGACTGATTATCTGCCCGTCCCGAGAGCTGGCCAAACAGACGCACGAGATCATCCAACACTACAGCAAGCACCTGCAGGCCTGCGGCATGCCTGAGGTGCGCTCCTGCTTGGCCATGGGCGGGTTGCCGGTCAGCGAGGCCGTGGACGTGATCTCGCGCGGCGTGCACATCGTTGTGGCGACGCCCGGGCGCCTCATGGACATGCTGGACAAGAAAATCCTAACGCTGGACATGTGCCGCTACTTGTGCATGGACGAGGCTGACCGGATGATTGACATGGGATTTGAGGAGGACGTGCGCACGATATTCTCCTTCTTCAAGGGCCAGCGTCAGACACTGCTCTTCTCGGCCACCATGCCAAAAAAGATCCAGAACTTTGCCCGCTCTGCTCTCGTGAAGCCGGTCACCATAAATGTGGGTCGCGCAGGAGCAGCGTCGATGAACGTTACCCAGCAGGTTGAGTATGTAAAGCAGGAGGCCAAGGTTGTGTATTTGCTGGACTGCCTGCAGAAGACGGCCCCGCCCGTGCTCATTTTTGCCGAAAAGAAGCAGGACGTGGATTGCATACATGAGTACCTGCTGCTGAAGGGCGTGGAGGCGGTGGCCATACACGGCGGCAAGGATCAGGAGGAACGGTCGCGGGCCGTCGATGCTTACCGCGTGGGGAAAAAAGACGTCCTTGTGGCCACCGACGTGGCCTCGAAGGGCTTGGACTTCCCCAACGTGCAGCACGTCATAAACTACGACATGCCGGACGATATCGAGAACTATGTGCATCGCATAGGCCGAACAGGGCGCTCCAACACCAAGGGATTGGCCACCACGCTCATTAACAAGATCACCGAACAGTCTGTACTGCTCGACCTAAAGCACCTCCTCATCGAGGGCAAGCAGGAAGTGCCCGACTTTCTGGACGAGTTGGCGCCAGAGGCCGAGCACCAGCACCTGGACCTGGGCGACTCGCATGGCTGCACCTACTGTGGCGGTCTGGGCCATCGCATCACGGAATGCCCGAAACTGGAGGCCGTTCAGAACAAGCAGGCTTCAAACATTGGACGTCGCGACTATCTGTCAAACACTGCGGCGGATTACTAAACCACTACCACCACCTAATTATAAGGTTACTACTGCGCAGGAATAAATAGAGACGGAGATTAGTATTTTTAAATTTGTTTTCGCTTTGATTTGGGTTCGGTTTGTCACATATTGCACGGAGCTTTGCTTATCAATCATCCAGCAACTTCAGAGAGCGATCGCGCCTTGCGTGAGCGCGATTCGGGATTGAGCAAAATTTTATAAAAGCAAAGACGAGCTTTGGCTATCGTTTATTGTCTGAGAAGGAGCTCTACCTGTCTGTGCACCGGGATCGCATGAAATCGCGCTGACCTATTGACCTACTAATAAGTAATTGATTGCCCTATGTTATAGTTTGTGATACCTACCATTCTGGTCTGAAGTCCTCCAAAAATCCTTTAACCCTGTTTTTTTGAGTACGTAAATAGTAAAGCAAGAAACAATCGGCAAGTCTAATTCAGTACAATATAAAGCTGATTACATAAATGCAAAAATTTGTATAAGGATCAACAACTTTTAAAGCATTTATTTTGTTGAGCTTGTTTTGTTTAATTTGACGCTGCTTTAACTTATCAATATAGATTAAACTTAATGATTCTAAAGAAACCCAACGTACACAAATGATTACTAGAACGGAAGTCCCCAACACAATAAAAATACAAGTAATTTTAATTTATTTAGGAAAATAGGGTGATACAAATATCGACTGCCTTCTGTAGTTTTGGGTTCTTAACTCATTATTAAGTCTGATTAATGAATGAGCTGTCATCTTTTAACTACAGGATTAGCCTGGGTCTATATATGTACATACGTACATACATACATATATTCCCGTGTGCAAAGTACTATAGTACTATATTTAGGCATAATTCATTTTCAAATCTAGTGAACAATATGTGTTCTGCGAAAAAAACTAAAACTTGAAAATGGCACAGAACGTGAACGCAAATGGTGGATCAATTATTTTATGGTATTTCATGGGCATGATTCACATTTAAAAATATGTCTTTAGTGCAGATAAAGAAAAACTATGCGCCGTAAAGTCATTCATTCGCCCAGCAGATGGTATAGGCGTCCGATTTTAACATCCTCAACCACGAAGGAGGAAACAAGTGAATTGATCCAATGTGTAATAGTTCATTTCGTCTAATTTTTTTCCGCTGTATTATTATGTGATAACAGGCATCCGGTGGTATACATCTGTACCCGAAACTCAAGGTTTGAATAAATACAACATCGCTCACACCAGTTTGAAGTAGAGTAAGTGCGATGGTGGGTGAAATAAGTAATTCGACGAAGAAATTATTCATTGTCGGAGTTCGCCCTGTGACGAATTTTGGTGGGTCTATTATTTTTTGGCATTTTATAGACATGATTAACATGTTACAAGAATGCCTATTAATTCTGATATAGTAAATAATTACTATATCTCAAAGTATGGGAACTATAGGATATAGACGTCCGATCGGCACGCTCTTTTACCCTGATCAAGGTATGCATAAAACAAGAAAGGAAAGCTTACTTCGGGCGGAGCCGAAGTTGATATACCCTTGCAGAATACTCTGTAAATTATATTCTCCAAAATTATTCATATGATGCATTCTTAATACTCATAAAAAATCCCAACTTCCTAACTTTAAAAACACCAAAGTTATGGCATTTCCAATAGTTCAGTTATATGGCAGCTATAGGATATAGTCGGCCGATCCTTATGAAGTTCGGTAGGTCGGATTGATTGGCCAAAAATAAAACCCATAGAAAATCCCAACTTCCTAACTTAACAAACATCAAAGTTATGGCATTTCCGATCAATCAGTTATATGGCGGCTATAGGATATAGTCGGCCGATCCTTATGAAATTTGGTAGGTCGGATTGATTGGCCAAATATAAAACCCATAGAAAATCCTAACTTCCTAACTTTACAAACACCAAAGTTATGGCACTTCCGATCAATCAGTTATATGGCAGCTATAAGATATAGTCGGCCGATCCTTATGAAATTTGGTAGGTCGGATTGATTGGTCAAATATAAAACCCATAGAAAATCCTAACTTCCTAACTTTACAAACATCAAAGTTATGGCATTTCCGATCAATCAGTTATATGGCAGCTATAGGATATAGTCGGCCGATGCCGGCCGTTCCGACATATATACTGCGTGCAAAGGAAAGAAGGGTGTGTGCAAAGTTTCAATTCGATAGCTTTAACTCAAAGACTAGTTTGCGTAGAAACAGACAGACGGACAGACGGACATGGCTATATCAACTCAGGAGGTGATCCTGATCAAGAATATATATACCTTATAGGGTCGGAGATGTCTCCTTCACTGCATTGCACACTTTTGACCAAAATTATAATACCCTCTGCAAGGGTATAAAAATACGATTTGGAAAGATTTATGTCAATAGCTTTTACACTGCTCGAAATATCATCAATTCTTGCAAGGTACATATATCCGATTATTCCTATGAGAGCTATAGGATATAGACGTCCGATCGGGGCGCTTTTCAAACTTGATCTGCGTACACATGTTTTAGGACGACTGTGAAAGTTTCATCGCTAGCTTTTAAGCTGAGCTCGCAAACGGTATTGGAACAGACGGACGGACGGACGAATGGTCCCTATTGATCCTGATCTAGAATATATATGTAGACTTTATGGGGTCGGAAACGTCTCCCTCACTGCGTTACAAACTTCTGACCAAATTTATAATACCCTCTGTATAAAACATGCAAAACTGCAATAAAATGAAAAACTTTTACATTTTATTTTTTTATATTTATTAAAAAAGTTTTACGAGACAAAAAAAAAGCCGTATAAGGGTGTATATCCAAAAACGGACTAATAACCAATTATAAAGGAATACAATTTAATAGTATTCCAGTTTATATAGTGCGTTACATTAGTGTAGACAGCGATTCCACGGCAGTCTGTAGTTCCAAAGCTGGAACGGACCCCCAAATCAAATTACATGTGGGGCTGGTCAACCCACCTGCACAAATTTGGGATTCATTAATTGGCCTTAAATTAATTGGCATTTCGAATGATTCAAATTGGTTAATGTTGCTGTTTGAAGTTTTAGGCTGTCCTTGCCAGTTATAGTTTTACCCCAATTTGTGACATAAAATCTTGTTGCAGATTTTGTCCTGACGGCAGCAAGTTGTTTAATTCCACCTCCTAAGTATACAATGTCAACCAACCCAGATTGTTCATCGGTGGGTTGTAATTCAAGCATTCTCAAGATTGATATCGAATGGTTAATTCCTCACCCATCGTTTTACATAGGACCATATGAGAATGACATAGGTCTGGTCAAACAGGCTCAAAATGTTATTTTTTCAGGTAATGGACTTAAATTAGTTCATGAACTTAAATTAGTTAATTACCTGAAAAAATTAAATTTTGAGCTTGTTTGACCAGACCTACGTCATTCTCATATGGTCCTATGTAAAACGAAGGGTGAGGAATTAACCATTCGATATCAATCTTGAGAATGCTTGAATGCTTGGTGTTCATTTAAAGCACATTGATAAAACAAAACAAGAAAGGAAAGCTAACTTCGGGCGGAGCCGAAGTTGAAATACCCTTGCAGAATATTCTGCAAATTATATTCTCCAAAATCATTCATATAATGCATTCTTAATACTCATAAAAAATCCCAACTTCCTAACTTTAAAAACACCAAAGTTATGGCATTTCCAATCGTTCAGTTATATGGCAGCTATAGGATATAGTCGGCCGATCCTTATGAAATTTGATATGTCGGATTGATTAGGCAAAAATAAAACCCATAGAAAATCCCAACTTCCTAACTTAACAAACACCAAAGTTATGGCATTTCCGATCAATCAGTTATATGGCAGCTATAAGATATAGTCGGCCGATCCTTATGAAATTTGGTAGGTCGGATTAATTGGCCAAATATAAAACCCATAAAAAATCCCAACTTCCTAACTTTACAAACACCAAAGTTATGGCATTTTCGATCAATCAGTTAGATGGCAGCTATAAGATATAGTCGGCCGATCCTTATGAAATTTGGTACGTCGGATTGATTGGCCAAATATAAAACCCATAGAAAGTCCCAACTTCCTAACTTAACAAACAGCAGAGTTATGGCATTTCCGATCAATCAGTTATATGGCAGCTATAGGATATAGTCGGCCGATCCCGGCCGTTCCGACTTATATACTGCGTGCAAAGGAAAGAAGGGTGTGTGCAAAGTTTCAATTCGATATCTTTAAAACTGAGAGACTGATTCGCGTAAAAACAGACAGACGGACAGACAGACGGACAGACAGACGGACAGACGGACATGGCTATATCAACTCAGGAGGTGATCCTGATCAAGAATATATATACTTTATAGGGTCGGAGATGTCTCCTTCACTGCGTTGCACACTTTTGACCAAAATTATAATACCCTCTGCAAGGGTATAACAAAATTATAATACCCTCTGCAAGGGTATAAAAACAGTTTCAAAAATATTGTTTCCGCAATCGGTTTGCAGCAAATGGCCGGATCCTTCTTTAAAATGGAGTATACAGGCTAACTCCTAGTATAAAGACCTTCAAGCTTTATAGAATTCGTTTCGAAGACTGAATAAATGCCTCTAGCACGGTCCATTTTTATAGGGCAACAAATAGCGATAAGAACGATGGGTTTTTAAAATTATTTTTTCAATAAACTCTCTTTAGCTTTAAGTTTAAAAAATTATAGGTCACGAGTTTTTCTAAAAGTTGGGAACAACACTTTTATAGGACAACAAATAGCGATAAGAAGGCTGGGTTTTTTTAAAATTATTTTTTCAATAAAAATTCTTTAGCTTTAGGCTTAAAAAGTATTGGTCACGGGTTTGTCTAAAGATTGGGAACAACACTTTTATGGGAAAACAAATAGCGATAAGAACGCTGGGTTTTTTAAAAATTATTTTTTCAATAAAATCTCTTTAGCTTTAAGCTTAAAAAGTATTGTTCACGGGTTTTTCTAAAAGTTGTAAAAAACATAATGTAGGATATTTTTAAAATACTTATTTGTTACTATTCCACCTATTTGGAAGAGTTTGAACAGGTATTAAAACGACTGTCTACATATAGTTTAGTCATGAAATAGCCAAAAACAAGAAGGGAAACACAATTGATATGCGCATTCTCTGGATCTCAATACAATCAAATATGTATGTATAGTATATAATTTTAAGAATCAGTTTTCGACTTCAAAAAATGGCTTTGAACGTTAATGGTGCATTCAAAATTTATACATACGCCTTTTGTTTTAGGCGTGAAACCTAGTTTTACAAAATCAAATTTAGTTTTTATTAGCCTGTGTAATCTCTAATTTTAATTAGTGAGTTTGAAATCAGCTCGTGTTCGAAGACCGTAATAATTTCACTTTTTTTAAATCCCAATTTATTTTTAAATACTTCTAATATAGTTTTCCAAGACTTATGTATATATATATATATATAACTGTTTTTTGTTGCTTAATTTGATGTTGTTGTATTATTGTTGTATTCGAATCCATTTCTAGATTAGATTTAGATTGACTTTAATGATTTTCTATTAAATGTCGATTATAGGTAATTGATTTATTGCTTTAATAAACACATACTCATTATTTGTAGTCCCTATTTTATTTTCAAAAAAGCAAGAAAAAGCAAGTACATTCCAACTCTTCTCTTACCTCAAACATGGATTCAATTATAACATTTATATCTTTCTTCCCGACGATCCCGCCCAGAGCCACCTTTTAGAACCTAGTTGGCGGACTACTCCTTCAAAAGTTTTGAAGGAGTTCCTTAAAATGTTTTTATTTGTTTATGACTATTTGTTTTGGACTATTTTGATCAAATGCTTGTAATTGAGTTTTTTTTATATACTTTGGTTTTCGTGAGCCATTTGATCTATCTTCAAATTATAGGTTATGGGGCCAAACACTTTTATGAATCATAACTTATGCAAGCATTATGACACACTTCATTCATTAACATTTCGATTTCTATGCCTAATTTCTAAAAACAATGAAGCTATGCCGATTTTGGGCTGCATTTTGACATCTTTTATATGGCAGCTATATGACATTGTTGTCCGATTTTGACAAAAGTAAAAGCTTAATTCTGATATAGTAAATAATTACTATTTGCGCAGCAAATGGTATAGGAGTCCGATTTAATTATTCTTAACCACAAAGAAGAAAACCAGAGAATTGTTCCCAGGTGTATAGTATATAAACTTAAAAATTTTTAAATATATTTAGCGATTTCGTAAGTCCGAAAATAAAACAATGAGACTCCGAAATCTTCTGTCTGCTTTCAGTCTGTTCGTGTTGGTAGCACTCTCCTGGAGTCCCTGCTTAGCCGGCACCTTCAACGCCCGTCCAGCCTTCTCCGTGCCAACCGGCCAGATCCAGCCCAGCGGCCAGAACAGCAAGCAGGCGCGTTATGTATCCGGCCTTTGCCAACGCCGGCCGCACTCGCGTCCTAGAGATCTTTCGATCTGGCGCTTGTTGACATCGCTTGGAAAGAGTTCGCAGCAGTGGCGTCCAGAAGGCTGAGGACAAAGAGCGGGAAGAAAGCGGTGGGACAGCGGGCGACGCCTTTTCGCCATTAGCGGCTCGTGTTATAAGCTTACAGTAAGAAATGTATAGAGGCGTTGTTTGATCGAACATGCAATCGAGTTCCATGGTGAATATTTATTGCTAAATCGTTCGCTATCATTGTTTAAGGCTGTTGCGAGAGAGAGCTCTCGCAGCTTTTGCTTTGCACATGTAAGATCTGGTAGGAAACCAAAGTTAGCATCGAACATGGCTCTCAGCAGAGGTTTGGCAGAGGCTCGGGCTCTATATAGACTCTTACTCTGTGATGAAAGTGAACAGTTCGTTAGCTAGAAAGCTCCGATTGAGTTGAATCAAGGTTCTTACAGAGTTAATTAGCGCAATCTTAATTGAGTTTTTAATAGAGTAAGTCCTGTGTGGAATAAATCATTCGACTACGAAATTATTCATTTTCGGCGTTCGTCTTAAACGCTTGCGATGAATTTGGTGTTTCTATTATTTTAAAGCATTTTATGGGCATATTTCATTTGTAAAAATACGTACATATGTATCCAGAAAAAGGAAAACTCAATATGGAATTAATTTTTATTGCCCTGACATAGCCTAATTGCATTTTTATAACCTATACGAAGTGCTTAATATAATTAAATGCGGAAAAGGGACTTAGTTAGGGATATGGATGTGGCCACAGGAATTCCGCAATGATACAAAAAACTCTTGAGAAGACGAAGTGATGTTATTTTTTTTTTAGATTTTTAGGTTCTCTGCATTTTTGGTCTACGTCATTACCGTGACTCTCTTTCCACTTTCTCTGGTTTATTCCTGATTCCAACATGAAACCCGAGAAAGTGCACATTACGAAATGGGTAAGGCAGTGGCTAAGTAAGATGAAAACCCCTTTTCAATATCCCCTTTCTAGAGCACCGGTAAGGATATCCGTAGTCTTCTCTGCTCTCTACAGACGGTGTTGTGGCAGAACGCCAATTGGCAGCCCCTCATGATGTCCACCTTAAATACTTTGGTGGAGGTCAAGAAGGCGTACCGACAGTGTTGCAGTGCATCCTGATAAGGTGAGTGACAAGTCCCCGGAGAGGTAAATGCTTTAATCCACTTTATTTTACAGAATAATGGAACCGAAAACGAGGAGATTGCCAAGCTCATGTTTATAGAACTAAACAATGCATGGACAGATTTCGAAAAAAATCCCACGGCTATGGATGAATTCGGTTTAGTTCGCAATTGGTGTTAATTGTTGTCCTCTTAACGGAGTCTAGTGCAATTGCTTATGAAAGAGCCATCCGAGGACATAACACTCAATTTGTATAACAACAAATCCAGTTCCAACATTCCTTTTGCATCCAATAGCAGTCCCCCATTGAGAAATAGACCCTTAGATCCCTTAGACCTCGGCGATCATCCACTAAAAAATTATCCATCATCCCATAAAAATCAAAGCTTCGGATATGAAATATCCGCTGCAATTTTTGTCGCTATAAAAATAAATACCACTGTTAAATGTGTAATTACCCTATTCGGCCACGAAGATCTGTAAAATGTTGCGTTTGCTGCCTGTGTATGTACATATATAACCTTCTCCGTTCAGCCTCCGGACGGGTGTTCTATGATGATGACGTCCACTAGCCCATAATTTTTTTTGCCCAATACGAAGTTTCCGGTCCTGTCGCCGCCCAATGTGGCCATGTATGTAGAGTGCCTGCTTGTAGTACAGTTGAACATAGCTGGGATTTTTTGTTTTTTGCCTCTGTGGATGTTCTGCTTTTTGATGAAGTCCAGGTTCTTGGACATGTTCAGAGCGCGCAATAGGGCTTCCTGAACTGGCGGAGTTTTTACTCAAAACGTCTGTGCCAAGGCCCACGATCATGCCGGCTGGTAAACGCTGCTTGATGTCGCGCAGTCCGAGATTTATGCCGTCTTCATACAGAGATCAGTCCACCATCCGTTGAAAGGATGGTCTATAATTTAGTCTTCCCACAGAGATCCATTCACCATCCGTTGTACGAATGGTCCATAAGGTTTTGCCATTTCCCATTTAGTTCCCCATCCAAATTTGACGGACTTTTTTATGCGATAGTTAGGCGATGTTATTTCGGTGCAACTCTCAGTTCTTCTTCTTACAGTGAAAATTGAAACATTCACTACGAAAACGTAAACAATGAGACGTAAAACTTTTGAAAATGGAAGGCGCCAAAATAACAGGTATGAACAATAAATGCTGTTTATATTTGTAATAATTCATTGTTTTTAATTTCACAGTAGACTGGAGCAGCAGGAAAAGCAGACCGAAATAATTTCGAGGATGATAGACAGCCAAGCTAAATTCCAATCCGATTTGTTGGATATGTTGAGAAAATCAAAGAATTAAAGAATGTAGAATAGGTAGGTTAATTTAAAAATAAAATGAAATTTTAATGGAACAAAATCCAAACATATTTATATTTAATTACCTTTATTTTTTACCAACTAAATTTTGAGCAACTCCAAAAAGCCTTCTGATGGAACGGCGGTTGATCCCAAAGTGTACAAGGCTATATGAATCCTCTTTTCAAGAATACTTGCTTTTCGCCAGTTGGTTTCCTTCTTTCGCAAAACACCTAGTCGGTCCACCAAAAACAAAAAGGTCCTCTTCTCCATACGAAAAATTTCTTTGAAAAACTCGTCGTTGTATTCCGGTATATCCTTTTCCCAAAATGTCCCAAAATGTTTGATATAAAACGCATACTTAAATAGTATTTTTAATAGAATTTAAGAGCACTTACCATTTTCCACACTTCGTGGCATTTGCTCCTTTCGTCGACTTCCCACTCCTCTGAATTGGCTAGATTTTGCTTTCGAACAGATGCCAAAATAGTTGGTAAGTTATTTATTTAAGTGTCGCAGAATAGACTTCAACAACGGTCGCTTGATTTTTTATAGTCAAAACTGTTCAGATCAGCTGTTATAGGATGTGCTCTGTGGGAATCGGTGTTTCACATTTGTAGAAAATCCCAACCGTTTCGAACGGATGGACTCTATAGAAAGAGGGTATAAAGGCATATTGTTTTCAAATAGCAATTTGCGCCTTATCACACTATTTTAATGCTCATAATTCGTTTGTGAATCCAGTGTAGGTTTACATTTCGTGCAGGGAAAACACCCATTAGTGAAATTACTTTGTTTCGAAATCACCATATTATGATTATCGACGCTCGTGTATACTCAGTATATTTTCACGGTTGGTTATAATGAAGCGGCCACACTATACCGTGGGTTTGTTTACAATCAGTCCATCAAAAAGTCAGACACAGATAAGCTAGAATGGCACAGATTAAACGTTGCCGGAAATCCTTGAAACACTCCCAAGACGGGGAAATGGACAACGTGCCGGTGAAGGAGGGGAAAAAGCAGCACATGATGAAGCTGGGCCGGATCGGCAACTGGCCTCGGAGCCCAAGTCCTCGAGCGAGAACGAGAATGAGGACGACGCAGGGAGCCATGCTGAGACCTGGAACACAAGTACAACTTCAGTTTGCTAGATTAGCACACAAAGCTGAAAAAGATTACGGAGGCCAAAAATCTGAGCGCCGTGGTAAAGCAGCGTGAGGAGGAGAAGATTCTGAAGAGAATCGCCCAGCAGAAGGCCCTGATGGATGTGGCCGAATTGGCAAAGGGCATTAAATACGAGGAGTCCATCAAGACCTCCTGGCGACCACCATAAATGTGGGTCGCGCAGGAGCAGCGTCGATGAACGTCGCTCAGCAGGTGGAGTAGGTGAAGCAGGAGGCTAAGGTTGTGCTGGACTGTCAGCAGAAGACGGCCCCGCCCGTGTTCATTTTTGCCGAAAAGAAGCAGGACGTGGATTGCATACATGAGTACCTGCTGCTAAAGGGCGTGGAGGCGGTGGCCATACACGGCGGCAAGGATCAGGAGGACCGGCCGCATGGGGAAAGAAGACGTCCTGGTGGCTACCGACGTGGCCTCGAACATTAACTACGATGCTAGACGATATCGAGAACAATGTGTATCGCACAGGCCGAACAGGGCGCTCCAACACCAAGGGATTGGCCACCACGCTCATTAACAAGATCACCGAACAGTCTGTACTGGTCGACCTAAAGCACCTCCTCATCGAGGACAAGCAGGAAATGGCCGACTTCCTAGTCGAGTTTGCCCCAGAGGCCGACCACCAGGACCTGGGCGACTCGCATGGCTGCACCTACTGTGGCGGTCTGGGCCATCGCATCACGGTGTTCCCGAAGCTGGAGGCCTTTCAGAACAAGCAGGCTTTAAACATTGGACGTCGCGACTATCTGTCAAACAATGCGCCGGATTACTAAACCACTACCACCACCTAATTATAAGGTTACTACGACGCAGGAATAAATAGAGACGGAGATTAGTATACATACACACAAATGTAAGTTTCTGGGATTTTTTCAAATTTGTTTTCACTTTGTTTTGAGTTCGGTTCGTCACTTATCTCACGGAGCTTTGCTTATCAATCATCCAGCAACCTCAGAGAGCGGTTGTGCCCTGCCGTGAGCGCGATTCGGGCTTGAGAAAAATTTTATAAAAGCAAAGACGAGCTTTGGCTTTCGTTTAGTGTCTGAGACAGAGCTCTACCTGTCGTTCGCAGCGTTGTTTTCCCAATCGATCGCACCGGGATCGTCTGAAATCGCGCTGATCGTATTGACCTACAAGTAAGTAATTGATTGCCCTAAGTTATATTTTGTGATACCTACCGTTCTGCTCTAAAGTCCTACAAAAAATCGTGTAACCCCTTTTTTGTTTGAGTATGTAAATAGTTAAAGCCAGGAACAATCGGCAAGCCTAATTCAGTACAATTGAAGGCTGATTACATAAATGCAAATGCAATCATTATTATACAGATCAACAACTTTCAATGCTATCAATTTTAAAGCTCATTTAGAATAATTAGATGCTGCTCTGGCTTATCAATTGTTTTGAAATATATAAACTGAACTGGGATCGAAACCTTTGATTCTAAAGAAACCCCAAGTACACAAATGACAAGAACGGAAGTCCCTATCACAATAAAAATACTAGTAGGTTTTAATTTATTTCGAAAAATAGGTTGACAATTATGTAAATATTGGCTGTCTGCTTTATTGACGGGTTCGTTACTTTTTATTAAGTGTGATTAATTGACGAGCTGTCATCCTTTAACTACAGTATAAGCTTGGGTATATATGTACACACATACATACATAAATTCCCGTGTACATATACATATGTACCATAGTACTGTTTAGGCATAATTCATATTCATAACTCGTGAAAAAATTGTTAACTGCCTGCGGAAAAAACTCAAACTTAAAAATGACACAGAACGTGACCGCAAATGGCAAAAATATTTTGAACAGATTTTTGGTACTCGAAGAGTTATAATGCACATACATACATATGTTGTATTTTTGAAACCTACAGTCAACACAATATTTATTCGGACACCCGTGATTTTCAATTTGATTCATTAATAACTCAATAAAAACGTAACGAAACCAAACAATTTATATTTCATCGTAAAGGCTAACATTCTTAGAATATATTTTAACAAAAAAATAAGGTACTTTCAACAGTATAATGAGATATTTTCTTAAATGAACTTGAAAAGTCACAATTTTACGCACAGAAATTATTCGTACACTTCATATAATATTAAAAAAAAAACATATTTCTTGATGTTTTAATATTTTTAATATTTGGTGGGTCCTCCACTAACATCAATGACAGCTTGTAAGCGTCGACCCATGCTTTTTACCAAGTTGCTTGTCTCATTAGCGCTAATTTGACCCCATTCAGCCATCAATGAAGTTTTTAAGGACTCCCTGGACGAAATGACGTGCTTCCGAATCCTTTTCTCAAGAATATCTCACACATGTTCTATGGGATTTAAATCAGGTGACTGGAAAGGTGTTTTCAGCTGCTTGCAGTGATATAAAAGCCACTCTTGCACCAAAGACGAAGAGTGTTGTCTTGTTGAAACAACAATGTCTTCGGATCTAGACCAAGTTTTATATCACTTGGAATCAAATTTTCGCTTAAAATGTTTTTGTACATATTCTTATTAATTTTGTCGTCAATAAAGACCATTTAACCGACTTCTCCTGCCGATACACACCCCCAAATCATTACATTCCCGCCACCATGCTAAACAGTTGGAATTAAGTTCTTCTCATTCATGGCTTCATTTGGTTTCCTCCACACTTTCGAGGGCCCATAGTGTCCAAATATATAAAATTTGGATTCGTCGCTAAAAACTACGTTCTCCCAAAACGAATCAGGGTGGTTATATGCCGTTTTCCGAACTCCAAACGCTTTTTTTGTTGATGGCAGAAATTAATTGCTTTCGACGAGTAACTCTGCCATGTAAACCAGCCTTGTACAGGTAGTTTCGGACGGTTTGGGCCCAAACTTCTTTTATTTTCGCTTGCTCTACATTCTTTTGAATTGTTGTAGATGTTGTTTTCGGATTTTTCAGGACTATAAATATAAATTTCAGTCCCTCACGTGAATACAGAATCTTAGACCTTCAAGCTTTCTTGTGATTTGAAGCTCATTATTCCGTTTTTAAGTATTTTTTGATTATACTATTTATTGTGGAAGGTGATTTGCCAATAATACGACCGATTTCGCAATAACTACGATTTTCCAAAAATTAATTTAAGATAGATTTTCGAAAATCTAGTGACAAATCTTGAACTCCTTCCATTTTGACCAATCGCATCAAAAAAACACATAAAAACTAACAATAAACAAAAAAAAAAGCATGCAGAAAATTACTCCGAAGTAATTTCAACTAAACTACTTTAAAAAGAATCACCGATTACCGTTGAGTTCAGAAATAAACACAATAAATGAGAAATGTACGAATAATTTTTGTGCAACATTTTAGCAATTTTTTTGCTTTTCTTTCAATATTTTTAAGGCTAATTTAAAAAATTAAATTTTTGTTTGTGAAATGTCTTCTGAAAATCACTGTTTCTATGATACGTACAAAAAAACCTGCTAAAATTACGAAAATTCCTGCAAATAAGCTGTTAAACTTGATAATAGACAGTGTCCGAATAAATTTTGTGCTGACTGTATGTATAAAGGAGGAGGATGAGGGGGGATGAGGATGTATTAAGTCTATTTATCTAAATTCTATATTTTGGCTATAACAATGTCCGCCATCTCTGACGCACAGATATCTTTGATTCCATTCCCACGTAGGAGCACTCAATTTAAACTTTGTTTCTTTTATTTTTTGGGCTGTGACCCAGTTGCAAGGAAGGGCTAAATGGGCTTGCCGCTTGACATGAGCAATCATGATATCATACCCATGCCAGCCAAGTCGCAAAACTAATTACCTGAATGACAATATGTAAAAACATGCGTGCCGCCTTTTTATTCACACTGTGGCCTTATGCTCTGATCAAACATCACACTGTTGATGCGAAAATGATATCATGCAAGATGAGAGCAACAACTTTTCAGTATATTTATTGATTCGAATTTATTTTCCAAGACAATTAATTTATTTTTTCCAACAAGTTTGGGGGAGTTAAAATGGTGTAGCTCCCAAACTTTGTTTGTTGGGTGGCTAAACACTTGAGAGCTATCAACTTGCAAATGTAAACATCGCTCACCAAGACGTAGAATCGTATTTTTGTAGCTCTTAACTAACTTGATGATTCTCTTTATTACAGTTTACACACTCTCAGCTGGAATCAGCGAAAACAATCGTCTCTGTTTGATCTGGAAACAAACGCGGCGATAAAAACAAAGGCAAATACATAATAACGTATATCCAAACACATCGGGCGTATACGATATACGCCACTTGTTATATTTATCGCAACAAAAAAACAAAGCTCCCGGGAATCTCCTCGCCGCAACCGCAGTCGACCCAAGAAAGAGGCAACTCGAAATGGCAGCGCCAGGCGCCGTCAGCATGGCAGTCATCTCCAGGTAATGCAAGTGAACAGTTCGCTGGCTAGAAAGCTCCGGTAGAGTTTAATATAACAAGGTTCCCCCAGAATAATTAGCGCAATCTCGATACAACATCGCTCACACCAGTTTGAAGTAGAGTAAGTGCGTTAAAGTTGTCTGTGGAATAAGTCATACGACGACAAAAATATTCATTGTCGGGGTTCGCCATAAACGCTTGTGACATATTTGGTGTGTCTATTATTTTATGGCCTTTTATGGGCATGATTCACAAGTAAAAATACGTATGTATTTAGTTCAGAAAGAGGAAAATTCTATGTGCTATTAATTTGTTTACCCTTGCTGAGCGTATTATCACTCCATCGATTTATATAGGTTTTAGTGGTTCCCTTTTAAAAGCTATCAACCAGATAGCCTAATCGGTTTTTATACCCTATACGAAGGGGGCTTAAAATTATTTAATATAAGTTTTGCAATGCCGGTATTATATTATTAAAAAGCACTTTATTGAAATTAGCCTATCGGTCTGTCCTTCTATATAAAAATATTTCTGTATAAATATCTGCGTATCAGTCTGTTATCCTTTATAAAAAATTATATGATTGAAAGTCAGCAGATCCGATTTTAGTATCCTCCTCACAATGGAGGAACCAAACAAATTGTTCCAATGTGTATAGTACATAGACGGTTATCGTCTGATTGTTTTCCTCTAGATTTTTCTGTGATAACAGACATCCGGTTATATACATATGTATGAAAACAAGGTTTGAATTCATAAATCTTAAAAACTTCAAAATGTATTTCGCGAATTCTTAAGCCAGAAATCGGTTGTCTGCTTTTAGCCTGCTTGTGTTGGTAGCACTCTCCTGCAGTCCCTGCTCAGCCGGCACCTTCAACACCCGTCCAGCCTTCCCCGTGCCAACCAGCCAGATCCAGCCCAGCGGCCAGAACAGCAAGCAGCCCGGCAGACGCATCATGAATCCGGCCTTCGCCAACGCCGGCCGCACTCCCGGCCTGGAGATCTGGCGCATCGAGGTGAGTCATATTTTTGGGCCCAATTTCACTCTGCTCGCGTTCGGAGAAGCGTATAAATAGCTGGCGCTTGTTAACATCGCTTGGAAAGAGTTCACAGCCCACGCACGAATGCGCTGCTCATGCAGTGGCGCCCAGAAGGCTGAGGAGAAAGAGCGGGGAGAAAGTGGTGGACAGCGGACGACGCCTTTTCGCAATCGACGGCTCGTGCCGTCAGCTCTGTCGATTTTCCCTTCTATTCACTGAACTCGCGCAGTGTGGCTGCCATGTGTTCATAAATATATTCATCCATTCTCTCCCGTCCAGTCGAAATGTATACAATCGATGCCGTTTTTTTTTTAATTAACTCGGACATCAGCCAAATTTATTAGGTTCAAATGGGATGCTTTTGTTTATAACGCAGAGCATGCGGTTCCAGAAATAAATGTTTAGACTAAACAGTCGCAACAATGGACTATGGAATAATTTAACTTTTTTCCCCAGGATTTCGAGCCCGTCGCCTATCCGAAAAATAACTATGGAAAATTCTACACTGGAGATTCGTTCATTGTTCTCAATGTAAGTGTATTTCGCTATCAAAAGAAACAAAATTCTACATTTTTTGAAACATTTCAAAAGTTTCAGAAAATATAGTTTCTAGTTAAAGAAACTAAGCTAAGGTTATTGATGGTAATAAATTTAAACAGAAAATAAATTATTTCTTAAGCTAAGACAATTTGTTTTCTAATAATTTGACCATCCGACCTTAGCTAAATTATATATTTTATTAAAAAACCCTTTATTTATTCAAGACAATTGAAAACAAGAAGGACAAAAAACTATCCTGGGATGTGCACTTCTGGCTGGGGTCCGAGACCTCTACCGATGAGGCCGGAGCTGCAGCCATTCTCACCGTCCAGTTGGATGACCTGCTGAACGGAGGCCCTGTCCAGCATCGCGAAGTGCAGGACCATGAGTCCCAGCTGTTCCTTGGGTACTTTAAGAACGGTAAGCCTAGTGGAATCTAGTTGACGGTGCTTGTCATTAAACAGTCCTTCGCTACAGGCATTCGCTACGAGCAAGGCGGCGTCGGAACGGGCTTCAAGCACGTGGAAACCAATGCACAGGGGGAAAAGCGACTGTTCCAGGTCAAGGGCAAACGCAACGTGCGCGTCCGCCAGGTGAACCTGTCCGTTTCGTCGATGAACAAGGGCGACTGCTTCATTTTGGATGCCGGCAGCGATATTTATGTCTACGTGGGCTCCCAGGCAAAGCGTGTGGAGAAGCTGAAGGCGATCAGCGCTGCAAACCAGATCCGGGATCAGGATCACAACGGTCGAGCCCGTGTCCAGATCATCGACGACTTCAGCACTGATTCCGACAAGCAACAGTTCTTCGACGTGCTCGGATCCGGATCCGCTGCCCAGGTGCCCGAGGAGTCCACTGCCGACGAGGATGGCGCGTTCGAGAGGACAGACGCCGCCGCCGTTTCTCTCTACAAGGTCAGCGACGCCAGTGGAAAGCTGAAGGTGGACGAAGTTGCCCAAAAACCACTCACCCAGGCCATGCTGGACACCCGCGAATGCTTCATCCTGGACACCGGCTCCGGCATTTTCGTGTGGGTCGGAAAGGGCGCCACGCAGAAGGAGAAGACGGACGCCATGGCCAAGGCGCAGGAGTTCCTGCGCACCAAGAAGTACCCGGCCTGGACCCAAATCCACCGCATTGTCGAGGGCGCAGAGTCCGCACCATTTAAGCAGTACTTTGCCACATGGCGTGATGCAGGAATGGCGCACACCCGCCTCATTCGATCGGCCTTGAACATCGGATCTGATGAGTCGCTGGATCTCGACGAAATCGACGCTGTGGTGACTCAGCTGAAGAAGAGCGGCGGTCGCGCCTTTGGGTTCATGCCTGATCATGGTCAAAACAGCATTGAGACCATTACACAGTTTGTTGCGAAGCCCGGGTCTAACGAGATCCTGGTCAACACAGTCGCCTTTGAGGAGAACCTTCCCCTTCTGGGTTTCGGCTCATACCTCCTGACCTACAACTACGAGGCCAACAACGGAGACTCGGGCTCCATATCCTATGTCTGGCACGGAGTAAAGGCCCCCGCCAACGTCAAGGAGCGAGCCTTTCAGGAGGGTCTCACTCTTTCAAAAGAAAAGAGCGGTCTCCTCGTGGTGACCAACCAGGACCACGAGCCGCGGCACTTCTACAAGATCTTCAAGGGAAAGTTGCTGACATCCTACACTGCTCTGCCGGTAACGGCGCAGCTTTTCCGCATCCGCGGCACCGTCGAAAGCGACATCCATGCCAGCGAGGTGCCCGCCGAAAGCTTATCCTTGGCCTCAGGAGATGCGTTTGCCCTTCTTTCCGGCAAGTCGCACAAGATCTACATTTGGAACGGCTTGGGCGCATCTGCCTTTGAGAAAAAAGCCGCCCTGGATCGTTTCACGCACTACTGGGATGACGCCGAGATTGAAAATGTGGAGGAAGGTGCGGAGCCAGAGGAGTTCTGGGAGGAGTTGAACGGTGAGGGACAGTACGATCGCAGCTTGGGTGACCTTGGGGCTCCGCTGTTGGAGCCGCGACTCTTCCACTGCCGTTTGGGCTCGAGAGGACTTGTGAGGATCGAGGAAGTGGCTAAGTACGAGCAGGAGGATTTGGACTCGGACGATGTCATGCTGCTGGATGCCGGGGACGAGCTTTACCTCTGGGTTGGTTCGGGTGCTACCGTGATGGAAAATCTCAGGATTCTAGACATGGCTAAGGTTGTTATATCACACACCATCGCTTGCTTCGCATCTGATTCCATATTTTCACTTTGTCCACAGTTTTACACACAAGTGGAGCCCACTGCTCGCACCATCGATACGGTGAGCATCATCGGCGTTCCTCAGGGCAAGGAGCCGCAGGTTTTCAAGCGCATGTTCCCCAGCTGGGAGGACAATTACTGGCAGGTAGGTGATCACAAGGAGGCCTCGAGCTAGTCTTCGTAAATTACTCGTTGCTTTATGTCCATAATCGATTTGATTCTCATCACCGTTGTATTATGAAAATAATCTGAGCTTACTCACGTCATTAAACATACTAACAACTATCGCCAAAACGATCCGTAAGTTGATTAATAATACATTTACCCATGCTTTTCGATGTGAAATCTGTAAAATGGCTAATATATAGATTATATGAATTTGTACCATTTTTTTTGACAATCGACAGAACTTGCCCACCTATGAGGACCTAAAGCAACAGATTATTGATGCCAACAATGAAGTCTAGAGCTACAGATTCTCAGCAAAATTAACCAAAAATTTGTTTGTTTTTGCCTTTTTAAAACATGTATCTAATCTAATTTTATAATAAATCAAACAACTTTACAAAATAGCCACAATGTCACACAATTTATTTTTGGATGTCACTGGTGAGTGTGCAAAAAATAATAATAGTATTATGATATCAAATATTTTAAATTATTCAATTACAATAAAAATTGTATTCCTTTCCCCATCAATTTTTTCGTATTCATTTTATATATCATCTTTTTCTAAATTTTATAAGTACTATTCGTTATCTGTAGCATAAAGCATTCTTTTCGGTCGAAATCTTTATGTTCATCATTCCAACGGAAATATTCCATTAAAATATAAAAAATAGGCTAATGTAATATATGGTCGTTTCCGGCACCATGGAGTGTATGTCTTTTCACTTCGATTTTCTAGCTAGCAGTCGTCCGTGCTCTTGCTTATGTATTCCTGAGTGTTAACATTCGCCCCAGCAGTTAATCATGGTGATATTTATTAGTTTTACCTATGACAATACTACATGCATTTCGAGTTTACACTTCTATGAAGTCTAGAGGGGATCGGCCCACACAGTTTGTTCGATCCAGTCTAAAAAGGACGATACTCGGGTGTAAACTGAAGGATAGCTACTGCGACAGAACACTCCGTACGAGGTGATGCCTATCAGGTGATAGTGGATTCTATGCCGCCGCCGACGGCCCGGAAGATTAAGTTGCAGTGGACCTCCCGAGTCTCCCTGGCAGGTGTCCCGGTTGAGAATGTAGTCCTGGGCGCATATCTGGCTTTCCAGAACTCCATTAGGAGTCTCCGCGATTGCCGGCAGCTCGGCGTTGCACTCTGCGTTCGGTACAATGGTCAGGTTGAGATTCGTGAGGCGGTTCGTCATGGCCTTGGCGAAGTTCGTGGCCCCATAGCCCATTGCAAAGGCAATCGTCGTGGGCAACTCTGGGAAGACCCAGAGTCGAATGGGTCTGACGTACTCCGTTAATCTACCAGAAACGTGTTAGCAAATATAGCGGCCAATACGACCAGTGTGGAGTTACTCACACCACTTCCCGTTCCAGCTTCAGCAGGGCTATGTCGTCGTAGTACATATCCTTGTTGTACTTGGGGTGGGTGAAAATCCCGTCTATCCGAAGCAGTTGGCTCTGCGCAGTCCGTTCCTCGATGGCTAGGTTGAGGACCCCAATACGCACCCACTTGGGAGCCATCCTGGGGGCAAAGTACAGTCACAGTCACAGTCATGGGATCTGGGGTCAGGGGTCATGGGCTTAACTAGCATGCTCACTCATATATTGAAGTACAGTGGGCCGCGGTGAGCACGAAGTTCTCGCTTATCAGGCTGCCTCCACATTTGTACTCGACTCGCCCTGCGTCGCTCTCGAAGCCCACAGCTGCCTGCGAAAACAGATTCGACGGGTTTGGGTTAGGGCTTCAGCGGTGACTTATCAGCTCCCAATGGCCGTACCATGTGGGGGTATTCACCGGGCCGGGCTAGCACCCGTCCATCGAAGTCTGCGTCGTTGGCATCGGCGGCCACTGCCGTGTCGTTGGGAAAGATGCGCTCCACGTACTCGGAGTATTCTTGGGGACAAACTCAGGCAATGACTCATGGACGCACAGGTCGAAGCCCCGAATCACTTACTCTGCTCACAGATGCGGGGTCGCTGGTTTTTCTTCTTTTTGAAGCCCCCGGGGGCGGCGGAAAGGGCTGACCCGGCCTGGGGGGCGGGGGGTGGTGCCAGTGCTTGGGCCGTGGCAGGTTCTCCACCCGGTCGAACTGAAATTCGGTTATGCGAAACCACCTCTTCTCTTCCGGCTGGTCTGGCCCGGCTCCAAAGCCCGGGAAGACTATGTCGCGCTCCATGGGAAAGCGAATGTTCCCTGGCTCGATTCCATCCGGGGGTGGAGGGGGTGGCGGTCGCTGGGAGTGAGTGGGGGTCAAGCCCCAGAGTCCGAAAATTGATATCAGACACAGAGTCGCAGTGCGATCCATCTCGAAGGCCTGCGAGCGTGTCGAGTGTCGGGAGCGGACTAAAGCTTTTGCCGTTCCGTGAATCCCAAGAAGCCCAAGACGCTCTGCCTTATCAGCGGACATTTAAACTCACAAATATTAACGATTTATTTTCGGAGAGCATTAAATGTTGATTCTTAATCTTTGTGGGTTAACGATTCTGGCCACCTGCGGTGCGTGCACTTGCGTGGTGCCTCCGACCTGTTCGTATTGTTCGATGATAGCCCTCTGAATGCTCTCCAAGTCCTGGTTGTTCGAGTAGCGCAGAAAGGATACGGTTGGGTCATCACCGGGGGATGGAGCGGGAGCCGCTACGGCCATGGCCAGCAGGGCGAACAACATTAAAAACTGAATACACAGTTTGGCAACGTATTAGTAACCTTTCCACTCTTTAAACTATTTAAACTTACGCTGATGGTCTTCATTCTGTCGCAGACCTCGAAAAAGACTAAGCCTCGCGCCTGAAGCCTACGTCTCTTTTATATCGTGAAACCATCTTCACCTAACATTGTGATAATTTGCAAATGTGAACTTGAAAAACTTGTATATAAGGCTAACTAATGATCAGTGATCACTCGAAAGAGAGAACATTCTTATTATTAACCTCTAAGAGTATAAATTAAGAAGATTAATTTTTATATGTTTTATAATATTAATAAAATATCAATTTGTTTTGTCTAAAACTTTATATTTTATTTTGCTAGTCGTAACTATAATAATATTCGAGAAGTTCATTGCCCTGGACGTTTACTGTATATACTGTATTATATTAAACACGTTTTCGAATTATAGCGAACGATCTCTGATTTTCCGTCGTATTGCTGTCTCATGGCTTTTGATCTGATGCATAAACTTATTCATAAGTTTAAGTTGTTTTTTTACCGACTTAAAACTGGATGAGGTTTTGTTATTGTCAGTTAAAATCAAAAGCTTAACAAATTTTTAATTATTTTTGTAGAAAGAAATGCAATAAAATGCAATATAGACATTTTTAAAAAATTTTCATTGATGTTCATGCAGCAGCATGAAATTTATACAAAATGTGGAATAAATTGTTGTTGGTCATATAGTGTAGGACAAAAATAAGGACCTGTATAACTTTACAATTTAAAATAAAATTTAAAAAAATTATCCTAGAGTAAACTTATTATTTTATGGAAAAATAATCAATTACAAAAATTACTTTTCTACAAAAAATATTTGTTAAATTTTTTACAGGTAATTTGAAATACAACATATAATAAATATGTAAAGAAAAAGGGCAAAGAAAATTTAATCTAATAAATAAAACATTTTATTACTTTAAAAAAATATAGATATTTTTATCAGTATTGTTCAAAAATTTTTTATTTTTGTACTTATATATGTGATAATGTAAGCCGATTTTATTAGCAGTTTTTCTATAAAAATGGCCTTGTGTTCACATAAGTATTATTTTATTTATAGAACTATTTTTAGCAATGAATTGGAAAACCGAGAAAATAAATAAGAATTCCATACTCGGGCTTCAAAAGGAGGTATTCCAGTTGTCTCTTTCAACCAAATTCAAATCAAGTGTCAAATCTCAGTGTCTTAGAAACCTTTTGAACTTTGAGTAAATAATTTAATAATAATAATTTGAACCAAACATAATAAAAACCTTTACAAGTTGTGTGACACGGACGGATTTTTTGCTTGCAGAATTGGCTTGAAATAACAATACTTAAAAATAATCAATCAAGTGACCGTTAAATCAATGAAGGCGGCAGTCGACTTTATATATATCATAAAAAATGAGTATTCAATAAGAAAAATCAAACCAAATTTGCTTTAATTTGTGTGAACTCATTGCTCAACTTGATGTATTTTTTTATGAAACAGGTTATGATTATTGTAAGCAATGACCCGAAAATAATATTAATCACATCCAATTCTTGTTTAAAAATGGTGTTAGTATATGAGAATTATAACAAAAACACTTTGGATTTAATACAGGTCTTATTTGTTAAACGGTGGAAAGGTGGGTAAATCTACTAATTAGACCGTGTTTTTGAGTAAGTATCTATGATTTTGATTAAACACTGAAGATCTATCGACCTAAAAGTTTAATAACAATAGTTGAACAGTTCCTTTTTCCGTCGATATCCTCTCCTGAAAAATATATATATTACGACCTATATTAATTCAAGACATCGTAGTTTTATCAATTTTTAAAACGAACCCAATATAAGATATCTTGCCAAACCTGCATGAAACAACCCAATACTTTTTGTTTTTAGCTGCTGTGGTTGGTTAAGTCGGTAAACTCTAAGAAAGCGTTATCACTTATTTTATATAATTTAATATAATATCAATTTACACACTTACTTTTTCTTTTATGATACGTATTGCAATAAAAAAATTTTTTTTGGTGTCTTACTGTAAGCCACTGGCAAACTGAAAAAAAATCTTGGGGTGCTGATCAAGAATCAGATCAGATTTCTGACCTGGCATTTTAATCGTTATACTACAGGGCTAACGTATCGAAAGCTTAGCAAATTCAACCAATTTAATGATAAATTATCTTTTTAAGTGTAAATAGACTCATTTAAGATCAAACTGATCCCAAAAAATTGACAATTGACTTTAAACCACATTTTAAACCAAACTATTACAATATGTATTGTCCAAGAAATGAATTAACTTATCTACTCAAGTAATAATTAGACCAAAAAAAGTAGAGTTAACATTTTGTTATGCTAGAAATAATTTGTCTTTTACGCAAGATGCACTCTGAGCGGGGAATACCCCGGGTCAATGGATCTGGAATTGGACAATCCGACGACTACCTCATTTGAATAGATTTACATATCCTCCACCCTACAAATGTGTAAACTATTTGATCTAATTAAAAATGCTTGGGCGTCTTAGCTGCAACTCGCCTACCAACGAGGTGATCGAATTTCCAAATCGCCATCTGCGCAATGCTGTGGAATGCACATTTGCATCGGAAACTCCAGTGCAGCAATCACGTATAAAAGCGGCGACGAGATGCAGTATTGGGCAAAGGAAGCCCATCCGCTGCACAGTCCACACAAGTCATCTACCCAGCCTCCTGGTGCGCACCTACAAATACATACTCAGTATGCGCGCTTTTCTGGTGGGATTCTTGTGATTTATTCTTGTTATTTTAGTGACCACCCACATCCACCTTTTCAGATGATATGCCTCCTGGCTGTGGCACGTGGTCAGTACGACTACACTCCAGTGTCGCAGGCCGGAGACGGGCACGGAGGTCTGATATCTGGACCCAGCACCGGATCTGCCCAGCTCTCCGAGCCCATAGTCCCTGCCAACGAGTTCACCAAGGAGTTCTTCACATACAGCGCACCGGAGCAGGAGTTCGACAGCGGCCACTCTAACGAGCAGATCGCCAACTTGCTCAAGAAGAACCTCCGGGTGCTGTTCATCAAGGGTCCCGAGAACAAGGGTCTGGAGCAGGCGGCGCTCCAGCTGGCCACCTCTGCGTCCGAGGACCGCACCGCCATCTTCGTGCTCAACAAGCAAGCGGACATTGGCGAGCTGACCACTAAGCTCAACCAGATCAAACAGCAGACCAACCACAAGCCCGAAGTCCACTTTGTGAAGTACCGCACCCAGGACGATGCGGAGAACGCCCAGCGGACTATTCAGGCCCAGTACGACTTGCTGCCGGGCAGTTCCAGCAACCACAACGCCGGATCGGGACCTGTCTTGGACTTTGCCTCCAAGAGTACCTCCTCCTATGTGCCACCTGTCGACGGCACTGCTGGCGGTCTAAGTGCACCATCTACCAGCGCTTACTTGCCACCCCCCAGCCGAAAGTTTTAGATTTAAGAACACTAGTGTAATCTGTATGTAGCTAATTGTAAATAAAAACAAGTCTAGACAGCCAATGCTGGTGAACTTATTTTAGTAGGCTCTCAGTAGGTATTTCTAAATTACAACATTTTGTGCAATTTGTTTTAATGTATTTACATTTCGACCGTTAATTGCTATGGCTGCGGCAAGATAGACTTATCCGATTTGAATACAGTTTAAATTTTTTATAAAGTTTTACGATCTAAAACTAGTTCGGGTATCTTTAATATATTTAATTTAGTGAAATTACTTACTTTTGAACGTAAAACTTAGTCGTTTTAAAAAAATATTCAAAAGGCACACAAGATGCCATGTTTTTAAATTTACAAAAGAATTGAACTTTATTTTGTGGAAATTCTGACGTAATGGATTCTATTGAAATATTCATTAAAAGTGCTAACGAAATTAATTTCGGAAGGTATTTTAATTTGGTCAGACGTTTGTAATAAGAGAAGGTATATTTTCAAGACGGTGTTCAATTGAAGTTAACTTATTTTAGGCGAGGGAAGGATGTCAATATCTTATAGCGGTCATTAAAACTATTTGGTTTAATGTTCGTATATATCGATTTTCTTTGCCTAATTTGGTGTTTGATTACAATTAGTTGACTGTACCTCAAAGAGAACAAACAAAATATTTTTTAAGTCTCAAAGTTTTTATTACCTCATTAAGATTCGTACGCCAATACTAAAAAATCTATTTCCCGTTTCTTAAATTTTGGGATAAAGTAATAACCATGAAAGCAAATGCGCAAATCCATTTTTTATCTGTAATGAATTTTTCTTTATTCTTTGTTCGGATAAGGTTCATATTTAAATGCCGTCAGTAAAACTAATTTATTTTCTTCTTGGCAAATCCAAATGTGATATTTAATTTCCTTCACTCGTGAGAAATATTTTTTAAATTTAAGCGATATTTATTTATTTTCGTTGCCTTTCTTGAGTTATTTTTAACAGCACGGCTTTTAATACCAATTGAATTTTAACAAGCAACAAGTTTAGAGAGTACAACTACCGTTACGACTAGGTCGGGAAAGGTAATTTTTACAATTAACTAGTTAAATATAAAATATTACAATTACAATGTCAATTATGTCAATACATTTTAATAGGTCCTGAAGGCGATTTAAAAATATTTATTAGAATTCTATTAAAGCCCAGAGCAGGCCAAAAAGAGCTTTCTTTGTAAAGTGCGTTTGTTTTTAATGTTGTTTGTGTTTTTTGCTTCCTTTTAATATATTCACGATATTGTCCACAAATTAATATATGCATTTACGACCGAGCAAATTTTGAAGCTACAGTTCCATCGACATCGACGTCGCCCTACACATATCATCAGATGATAATGAATGCAGATCGTTCCCCACAGTTTTGTGTGTATTGATTCCATGCATACAAATTACTTTCTTTCTGTATCCCAGGTTTTTCAATCCAAGCGGCGCTTCACCTATTAATATTTTGCATTTTATTATATTCAGCGTTGACAATGGGGCACATAAGACGATTATTTAAATATGAACACGGCGTTGGTGTCCATGTTGGGCGCCGAGTTAGATAAGATCCCGGACTATTCAGCCACTGCATCTTCGCATATGGATCCGTGATTTGGCAACCGACTAACGTGGTAAGTTACATATTCATAATAGATTCAGACGTTTTATGGTAGTGCCTAAAATATTTTCTTTCTTTGGGGAAAACGAATCAAGTTGGTCAGATATAAAAACATAGCTATTTTGTAGGCAGGGCATCAGTCGACCTTTGCAGCTCAAACAGTCCAAAGTGAAAATGAAGCAGTTCGTCGTTCTAATGGTAAGGAATTGGCTCTCTGCCAAAGATGCCCTCCCAGCGGCTAACTCCCGACATTGTCCTTGCAGTGCCTAGTGGCCCTCACCGCAGCCGCTCCCCAGGGATACAAGTACCAGCCCCAGCTGCCCGCCCTGCCCATCGGCAACCTCCGTCCGCAGACACCCCTCTCGCCCAGTGGAATATACGCAGGGGCCGGCATCCCGGCCCTCTCGCAGATCAGTGTCCAGGCCCAGCAGCCAGCCATTCAATCTGTGCAGAACATCGTCTCCGCCCCTGCTCCTGCTCCTGCTCCTGCTCCCTTGCCCCTCGCCCTGCCCCAGCAGACCCTGATCAGTGCCCTGCCCCAGCAGAACCTGATCAGCACTGTGCAGCAGCAGCAGCCCCAGCAGATCGTCTACCAGCAGCAGCCGCAGCTTCAGCAGCTTCAGCAGCCGCAGCAAATCCTGCAGACCCAGTACGTGCAACGGCCTGCGATCGTCACGAAGGACATCTACATCCACTCTGCACCCGAGGAGACGGAGGAGCTGCGGCAGGACGAGCCCCAGCTGGAGAGCGTGCCCATCCGCAAGAACTACCGCATCGTGTTCATCAAGGCGCCGTCCCAGAACCTGAAGTACACCGCCGCCGCTCTGAAGCGGGCCCAGTCCAGCAACGAGGAGAAGACCGTCATCTACGTGCTCTCCAAGAAGCCCGACCTCACCGAGATCCAGCAGCAGCTGCAGGTCACCCAGTCCGAGGCCAAGGTGCACAAGCCCGAGGTGTACTTCATCAAGTACAAGACCCAGGAGGAGGCCCAGCGCGCCCAGCAGGAGATCCAGGCCCAGTACGATGCCCTGGGAGGCGCCACCCACATCTCGGACGAGGGCGTGGCCCCCATCACCAGCGTCTCGAGTGGCGCCCTCAACCTGGGCAGCTTTGCGCCCCAGCAGCAGGCCCAGGTGACCACCATCAGCCAGCCCCAGGCGCAGTCCATCGTGCAGCTGCCGGTCGTGAGCCAGGGAATCCAGCAGCAGAGCTCCTTTGTCCAGCAGACCTCCTCGTTTGTGCCCTCCGTGCCATCCAGGAAGTACGTGCCGGCCAAGACTTTCAAATAGGGCGTATCTAGTCCCCATACTATCGCCTTCATTTTTCAACCACCCTATTGTAGCTCATTTTAATTTATTGTAAATGCGAGTGCCGACAGAAATAAAGAAACATTTTAATCCAAAAGCCTAATGTGTTCTTAGTGGTCGTAGTTAATCTTTATTGTTTGGCAATGTTTTTAAAACATTTAAATGAACTTTAGGTTGAGATGACTTTAATCTCCATAAGGAAAACTCTTTGTATCTTAAGTAACTTAGTTTTTGAAATGCTAATTATGGTCATTTAGCAAGTTATGTAAAAATGCATGATATCTTTCTCTTAGGAAAGATTACACAGACTATATTATCAGTTAGCAGCAGCCCGTATAGTCAAGTTTTCATGTTGCTTAATCGCTGTTATGTAAGACAAATCATATGCTAATTCAAGCGACCGGTTCCCTCGCTGCTCTCTTCGCAGTCATTGATCATTGGACTAATGGATGTGGTAATATGGGCCATATGAAATCGTTTTGACAAATTTGTGGCTAAACACGTTTTCATCGTGCTCCAATCCCTTTCATTCGAATATTGTTACAGTTTCGGATTACTATCATCGGAGAGTTGTCAAATGATCAAATTTATTTATCTAAATAGTATATATACAAAGGTGGAATACTTAAAAGTACGACAGTTCTTTCACGCTAATGCCATTTGGCTAAGTGCGCAGATTGGCGGGCAGGTAGTTGTTCACCAGGGCGCCCGCGAGATTTCCGATCGGAGCTCCACTTTGCCGCTGGTTGTCCAGAACGCCGATCACTGACGTGACAGGAGCGACTCCCTCGTCGGAGACCTGTGAAGTGCCGCCCAGTTGGTCATATTGCGCTGAAAGAAGACGGAACTCCGTTAGTATGGGTGGGATAACCCCCAATCAATATGTTGGCCAAGTCCGCCTTAGTCGCGGACATAGGCAAATGACGTGGTCGAATACGGCCAAAGATCCGCAAATACCAGCAATAAAAGTCTTATGCATACTGATGAGCTATTCAAGAGTGTCTCACGCCATCAGATCGATGTGGGTGCTGCTCACCTTGAATGGTGCGCTGCGCATGCGCAGCTTCCTCCTGGGTCTTGTACTTGATGAAGAAGACCTCCGGCTTGCTGGGCTGCTTGGGCGCGATCTCCTCGATGGCCGTCTGCAGGTCCAGGGGGTCCGGCTTCTTGGTCAGCACGTAGATGATGGTCTTCTCCTCCACGGGGGCCTGCTTGATGCGCAGGGCCGTCTTGGTGGCACTGGGCGTCGGCGCCTTGATGAACACGATGCGGTAGTGCTTGCGCGGGGGTGCGGGCGGAAGCACGGGCTGGGGATAGCGCTCCTCGGGCTCCTCCGCGGGTGGCACATGCACGTAGATGTCCTTGGAGACGAGGTGCTGCTGTGGCTGCTGTTGGGGCTGCGGCTGGTAGGTCTGGAATGTCTGGGGCGGCGCCTTGTACGCCAGGTTTCCGCTAAGCTGCGTCGGCTGCTGTTGGTAGACGGAGGCCTGGCTTTGCTGGGATGAGGTAGAGTAGGAAGTGGCCACCTCTCCTCCGGACAGGACCTGCTGCACCCGTGGAGCCTGGAGCGCCTGCTGCAGCAGCGACTGCTCCGCGAAGCTGGCGAATTGTGGAATGGCGGGCAGCTGCAGCTGCTGCTGGGCCTGGTAGTTGTATCCCTGCGGAATGGCTGCTGCAAGGCCTAGGAGGCACGATACCTAAAAGAGGACGGCATTACTCTAGTGTGCTGGCACAGAAGGGCAGGTATCCGGGATATCTTACTATAATGAAATGCATTTCCGATTGGGTTGACGACACCGGTCCCTTGGCAATCAAAATTCAACTAAATGCTAATCACTGGCCGCCCAGACTTATATGCCGCCGACTCGAAAATGTCGCTTACGAAAAAGTTGTGATGATGAGACGAAGACTTTAAATGAAACTGAAACCACAAATGCGTCTCAAACCACACGAAAATGTGAACGAAGACCGACCACCGAGCCGCCGATCTTTACAAACTCGCTTGCGTTTTTAGACAACCTTGAGGTAGCGGTAACTTTTGGGAAGTCACCGAAAACCCTAAAGCTCTCGAGCTCTGCAAAGCCCTGCGTCATGATTTGGCTCCAAAACTTAAGTCCGAGTCGAAAGAGCCGTCCAGCCGGAAGTCAAATGTGATAGATATAGTATATGCATGAAAAGACTCACACGGCGAGATTTGTTGGGCCAACCATTTCGCTGGCTTTCATCGGGTTCGTGATTGCAGATATTCGGATTTGTTGACGGCCGGTCATAATTGACGAACCTCTGCTAAGCAAAATCTTGAATCGCAGCTTGCACTAATCACACGATAGTCTCATTAGGAATGGCGTCAACTCGAACAGCTTTGATTTTTTGGCCATGTCTTTATGATTTTTATAAATTGCTTTGATTTCCGATGACCCAATTATCCAAGCTGTCGGATCATTTGGTTGAGAGCGCAGATTCATTTCGATCAAACCAATCACAGTTGCATAATTTAAACGTGGAAATACAGATGACTGTGATATGGGCTTGAGGTACCTCTTTTTGGTAAGCATTTAAGGCAATTTCGCCAACCAGCTGTTAGCATCAGACAAGACTTGATGCTTTAATCAGTGTCCATCATAGCCTATGAAGATGTGGGTCATATTTTCAGTGGGCAATGCCTGCGAAATGAGTGATGGTGATGTTTTGATATATGACTGGGGATTTATCAAAAGACAAATGGTAGCGCGGGGGTCAAGATGAAACACAATCCCTTCAAATGACCGAGTGGCGTGCGTTTCTTCTTCAATCTGTTACGAGTACGCAAATACTGCGGCATCACAATTATGACCGACAGGTTATGCAAGCCATCCGTTCATATGTGAGCTGTGGGGGCGTAACCATAGGCAAATTGTGAGCATCACCAGCTCCTGCCGCTGTTTCCTATCTCAATGCTTTAGACAAAAGATAAAAGCGTCTTTGCCTACGGAGTTACGCAATGGTATTAACACCGCGTCCGCGACTTTTTTGGCACACTCTTTAGATACACCACACAAATGTACTTCGCTTACAGCTCTCGCCCGTTCCTATTTCAAACTCCATTAATTTCTCTTTCTTTTCGTATGCTGGAGATCAACATGGTCAAGGCTTATGGCGCTAACACTAGCCCACGGAGGTATACACATACAGATTGAATTAAATAATTAAAATATTATAGAAATACCGAAGCCAAACAATAATAAATTGGCGGAGCTATCCCATAGCAAATTATTGCCGATTGCTTGATAATGGGCACCCAATGGTTTGATTTAATAGGAAATTAACTCATTTTTCTTTAAGCCCAATTAATAATATTATTATCATTTACATTTATTTTATTAGTTTTTAATTTTCAGCTGCATGAGGTATATCAAATTCAATCCTTTAAGATTTGGAAAGCCATTTGTGTTCATATTCCGTTCTCAAACAGCATAAGCATAAGCAAAAGCTTAAAGTTAACTTTTCTCAAAGTTTTTACTAAGAGATGGTTTGAACATCGAATGAATTAGCTTTTACTTACAAAAGCTTTCACGTGAGGAGTTATCAAAAAGGCAGTTAATAGCTGTTCACAAAAATATCTTCCAAACAAATTCGAATGGAATTTGCACTGATTTACGTGTTTTTTTGTGTTTTTATACCCTTACAGAGGGTATTTTAATTTCATTCAAAAGTTTGCAACGCAGAGAACGACACATTCTTGATTATTCTTGATCAGCATCACCAGGAGAGTCGATCTAGCCATGTCCGTCTCTCAGTTTGTTTTTCCGTCCGTCAGTCCGTCAGTCCGTCCATCCGTCCGTCCGCAGGTTGTATGTAAGTTTTTAATTTGTTTTTATCTTTGGTAAATTAAAATCGGACATATATAATAAATCTCCCATTGAAAAATCAAAAGTTTGCAAATAAAAATAAAAAAGTTTTTATACTTATGTTTATATTTATTTATATTATTTGAAATATAATAATTATTTACTATATCGGAATTACGCTTTTAGTTTTGTCAAAATCGGACAACAATAAAAACGATGGCAAAATGCAGAGCAAAATCGACATAGCTTCATTGATTTAGTAATATAGGCATATAAATCGAAAAGTAGTCTACTGCAAGGGTATACAAACTACGGCAAGCCGAATAACTTCAAACGCTATTTAACTTTTTCTGTTTTTAAGGTTAGTTTTTATCCTCAATCGTTCTGGAGTAATACTCTCAAAGCTGCATAAATATTTAAAAACTAAAAAGTTAAGATTTTATTTTAGTTAAAGACTCTTAAAACTTGGAAAAGATTCTCGCATATTACTTGATAAAATGTCTTAAAGGAATACTTAATCACTCTTCAGAAAGTAAGCTGGAACATATGAAACAGATTCAAAAAGTTACAAAGTATTACTTTTATTTCAAGTAAAACTATTTTAAATATTAAAAAATTTTTCGGTTTTTTTTGGATTTACGACCTGTAGCCAAGTTTCTAAAATTTTTGTATTCGATGAGTTATAAGCAAAAAAACATCAAAAAAGATATTTTGATTTATATGAATATTTTTAAGAGAGTTGGGATTCGATTCCATGATCGAATAGCAATGATGAAAATTTGTTTTTTAGATGGCAGAAATCTTAATCCTAAGCACAAAAACAAGTTTTTATTGACGGACCATGACCGATTTGCTGGTCCGCAAGAGACTTGATGAATTCGGGGTGATAACTAAGCTTTTGAAATATATAATATTTAGTAATGTCAAATTCTGAATACTTATTGAAGCTAGTCAAACTCCACTTGGAGTTCCTGAGGCTTAACTCGCGTTTGGAAATTTCTTCGATATAATGATTCAAGTAAAACTGCTCTTAAAAGAGATAAATCTTTAAAGCCGATAAGATGAATATAATTTTTATTTAAAACAGTTAATTAAAAAGCAAACTTCAAATGTAAAAATATTTGGTATTAACATACAACATTTAATAATACCAGTTATTATTTTTCTAAATTTTTAACCCTATTTCACGGAAGATGCCCTTTTCCAAAAAGAATTTTAGTCCACTTTAAGAGGTTTAAGGTATAGATACAAGTAGTGTTGGCCAGACAAACAAAACGCTCCCACATGGGCTTTACAATAGTCTGCATGTTATACCGTTATTCTCTGTCTTATAAAGCTCACGTTTATCAATTGTCATACGTATGTATGTACAAATAAACAGAAACACAGCCTTCCAGCTGTTGCATACTTTGGCCCAAATGCATGTAACTTTCCTTTTACTTGCTGCTTAGTGGTTCATTCTCATTTGAAAGGATACGTTATTTTGACTTTGCTTTTGTTATTTCAGCTAATAGAGTGACTAGCAATAAGCTTACAAATCTGACTTAAAGCACTAACATTAACTAACTGTCACGGAGTTTAATACCCCCAATTATTTACACAGGTTTTTTGTTTTAATTTTTTCATTGACATGTAGTGTATTTAGATCCCTACGGTTGGTGTCGTTCCGGACGTACCACAATAATGATCGCCTTTGGGTTCGTCTACAACCTAGAATTTTAGAGAATAGACCTTTTGGGTCCAAGTCAACGGATCAGCGTTAATGACCGAATGGAGACCATTGGTGTTACGCTGTCGAAATGTATGTTTGAGAATGTTTTTTTTTTAATTTGATATTGGAAGATCCATTTTATTATTAGGTCCTATTTTGATCTCTCAGGTGGTTTGATAGTCATAATAACCTTGTCGATTTGAATGATTTATAAATCTTGTATACACCGCAAAATATACGATACAAAAATTGAATTAATTGAAAATTGTTTGTTTGTAATAATAGAGATCGGAAATGGCTGAGATGAAAGTTTATAATAGTTAATACCCAAATATAATTAAAGCAATTACAAACCATTTGTATTGTTAAGAGCTTTTAAAATAGAAAGCGAAGGTGCTACATTAATTTCCATGGTACGTTACCACAAAACGATGAAAGCAGGCATCATCTGTGATGTGCTTCCCAGAACTTGTGGGGCCGATATACACATCTATGATTTCCGCAACAGCTTGCTGTCTTCAGGTCGTCGGTTAGAGTAAAAGCTCTTGCACCAGACCCGTCTTCAAAATCGATTTTGACTTGGCCTGAAATGGGTAAATGAAGACCGAACATGGCATGTTCATTAGGGCATCCCAAAGACTGAGGTCAGCACTTTGGAGAGACCAACCGATTCGGGTTCATTCATGTAAACGGCTCATTACACCAATGGCAACGGCAAGTGTTCAAAGGGTACAGCGCATTTGGCACGGCGAAGACCTCAGTGCACAAACGTGGACAAAACGCTTTGAAGACATAATCAAAGGGGTATTTATCCCCAAGAAAGCGAAGACTGACCGCCAGACATGATAAATGAACTGCGTTGCAGCCGGTGAAGAAACGATCGGTTTGAAAGAGCCGGGCAAATATTGCGCTCGGCGGGTCATTAATTAAGCCTGACAACGCGCATCAGTGGCGGAGTTTGGGAGCTTCTTTGGACATGACCAGCTTACCAGGAACCCAGACGACGGGGAGTTAGCTATCGGGATTAGTGCTACAGTTCCTATGTAGCTCCGTGCTGGATTAAAATATATTAAGTGCTTATGCAATTACACCTCTAATACCATTTAATCGACGCACCGTGCAGCGATGGTCACTGGCCAAAAAGCAAACGCAGACTCGCAACGTAATGACCGCATCGGGGTATCGGTGTCTTGTGGCTGGTGGATCGGAGTATCGGGGCTAACAATTAAGCGCCACAACAAAGACTCTGCTGGGGGAACCACGCTAATTGGCCATGTATTGCCAGCAACTACAAGCAAGTCTCGCCATTTAATGAGGGATGCGAAGGGGCTGGCTCGAAGGTGAATGGCAAAGAAGAGCAGAAGACGAGTGCCGGCGTCGGAGTTGGAAATGCGAGTTATGTATAAAAGCCGCGCGAGAAACCCAGTAGTCATACAGTTCACTACGAACCACTAAGGAAGTACAACCTCAATCCTCCCAGCCCCACTCAACCAGCTCAACCAAGTCTAGAGATGCGTGGATTCATTGTAAGGCGGATGGGGGACGTCGACTAATTACCGGACTAATCCTCTTTTATCGCTCATTAGGTCCTGTGCCTTTCCGCCATGGCGCTGGCCGCGCCCCAGGGCTACAACTACAACCCCGGCCCGTCCGGCTTCGGCGGCCTCAGCACGACCAGCAGCGGCGCCTCCTTCTTCCAGGGAGCCGCCCAGGTGGCCCCCGTCCAGGTGCAGCAGCACCAGCAGCAGCCGCAGGCCATCTACCAGCAGCCGGCCGTGCAGACCCTCCACCACCAGCACCAGGTGCAGCAGGCGCAGCAGGTGCAGCAGGTCCAGCAGCAGCAGGCCATCGTGTCCAAGCGGTTCTTCATCCACTCCGCGCCCGAGGAGGCCGAGGACTACAAGGAGCGCCACATCACCGTCGGCGTGCCCAAGCGCAACTACAACGTGGTGTTCATCAAGTCGCCCCAGCGCAACAACAGGAAGACCATCAAGATCAGCCCCGCCGCCAACGAGGAGAAGACCGTCATCTACGTGCTGAGCAAGAAGGGCGAGAGCGACGTGCAGGCCGAGGTCGTGGAGCAGGCCAGCTCCACCAGCAAGCCCGAGGTGTTCTTCATCAAGTACAAGACCGCCGAGGAGGCCGCCCACGCCCAGCAGCAGATCCAGGCCCAGTACGACGCCCTGGGCGGCAGCAGCCAGCTGACCGACGAGGGAGTGGCCCCCGTCACCTCCGTGATCGGCGCCCTGGGAGGCGGTGATGGGCACCTGGAGGCCGGGTCCGCCGTGGGCGGCACTGGAGCAGGCCAGATCATTTCCTCCGGCGTCTCCGGATCGCACACGGGCAATGCCTACCTGCCACCCAATTTCTAACCATTGAGCATGGTTTCCCCAAACCAACTTCGCACACTCTGTGAAAATTGTTGTTAATAATAAACTTTTATTGCTGTTGAATTTAATTGCAAACTGTAGTTTTACTTGGAAATTGCTCGTCTATTGTTTGAAAAGTGATCATAATTGATTTCACAATTACTTCGATTACCAAAAAATATTCGCTAATGTACACTGCCCCGATACACAACAACCCCTAACAAAAATTATAATACCCTCTGCAAGGGTATAAAAAGTTGGCTGATTTGAAGAGGTGTTTTCTTCAAAGCATTCCTGAAACTTTTCCGGGAACTATAAAAATATAGACTGTATAGAATTATAAATGACATGGCATTGGCTCCTGAAAACTGCGAAACTATGTGTCTCCAATCATTTTTGGCAATCTTTAATGAATTTGGTAAGAAAAATATCATAGTAGCCAACGCAGACAAATTAATAGTAGTTTGTATCTGTAGTCTGTAGCTGAAGGTTAAATCACCTAAAATCAGCTAGATAAGATAACTACGATGTTACGAAGCCAAATTTTTGGCGAGCTGCCCATATTTTTCTAATGCGAGCGTGCAAGTCAATTAAGAATTTAGCATAGCAATGAAAGTAAATTATGGATGACCTATTCAATTTTGGACGAGAAGGGAGTGATGTGCAAAGATCGGGTGTATATTTATTTTCCTATAAACAGTCATTAACGATAATGTTAGGACGATTGGTGAGAAACGTTAAAAGAGCTATTAATCACGAACTGTGAATTGAGAACGAAATAACAACATTCGATATTTTATTATACTGTGCAGAATGTGGAACATGGATTTTCATATTCACAGATACCATAAATGATAAAACTAAAGCCAAGGTTATTTATACAATTTAAAGACTGTCCACGATGAAAATAAAACACTGCTATTAGAAAAAATATATATATTCACAGATAACTTATGAAGGCCTAAAATTATGCAATGGGCGCGAAGCACTACCTATCAAAATCGTTATAAACAAGGTACATCTTTCGTCTTACTTCCCTGTAACTGTTTAAGCACAGGATATATTTTAATTATTCTCCTTAAAATAAAGCAGATAACGCTGATATCGCCAGTGCCACAAAAGAGAATTTAGTTTTGAAATCACTAGTGTCAAAAAGGGAGATATAACATATTTTAAGCCCGGAAGGCCACGCCGAAAATGCGAACGACAAGCCAGACTTTTTCAAGACAAGTTAATGTTCAGTAAAAATGTTCAGTAAAAGTTTATAAACATTTTTTGACTATATTCGGGGTGTATTTATTTGAGGTGTAAAGAAGAAAGGATGCAAACTTTAGTTTTAGTTTTTATACCATTGCAATTATTACAAATATTCCTTAAAATTTCTTGGCCTTATTTATTTATATTTTCTTGCAAATAAAAAACCTATGTAGATTTTTCAATCCATTTTCGATTGTCCCTATGGCAGCTTGTTTAAAACTTGTGTTCCGGAACTATAGAAAAAACAAGAAAGGAAAGCTAACTTCGGACGGAGCCGAAGTTGATATACCCTTGCAGAATATTCTGTAAATTATATTTGTCAAAATTATTCATATGATGTATTCTTAATACTCATAAAATGTCCCAACTTCCTAACTTTAAAAACACCAAAGTTATGGCATTTCCAATCGTTCAGTAATATGGCAGCTATAGGATATAGTCGGCCGATCCTTATGAAATTTGGTAGGTCCGATTGATTGGCCAAAAATAAAACCCATAGAAAATCCCAACTTCCTAACTTTACAAACATCCAAGTTATGGCATTTCCGATCAATCAGTTATATGGCGGCTATAGGATATAGTCGTCCGATCCCTCTGAAATTCGGTAGGTCGGATTTAATGGCCAAAAATAAAACCCATAGAAAGTCCCAACTTCTTATCTTTAAAAACACCAAAGTTATGGCTTTTCCGATCGTTCAGTTATATGGCAGCTATATGATATAGTCGCCCGATCCGGCTCGTTCCGACTTATATACTACCTGCAATAGAAAGACAACTTTTGGGAAAGTTTCGAGCAGATAGCTTTAAAACTGAGGGACTAGTTTGCGTAGAAACGGACGGACAGACGGACAGACGGACGGACAGACGGACGGACAGACGGACAGATGGACATGGCTAGATCGACTCTCCTGGTGATGCTGATCAAGAATATATATACTTTATAGGGTCGGAAATGTCTCCTTCACTGCGTTGCAAACTTTTGACTGAAATTATAATACCCTCTGCAAGGGTATAAAAATTAATATTATAATTTTGATTTTTTAATATGTACGGATATACTCAAAAAATTGAAATTTTGCACAATTTCAAAAAAAGTTTTATGAAATCAGATAGGTGTTGAGCAGCAATTTATATTTATGTTAAAAATTGAAACAGCAGAAAATTCTCCACTTCTTTTATATATTACTTTAAAGACTTTTATCAATCATAGAGGTATAGAAATTCTTTTTTATTTCAGAAAAACGATTTAATCTGACAAAATTTGTTTTCAATCAAAGCAAAAGGTCGAATCGTTCTTGTCTTTTTATACCCTTGCAGAGGGTATTATAATTTCAGTCAAAAGTTTGCAACGCAGTGAAGGAGACATTTCCGACCCTATAAAGTATATATATTCTTGATCAGCATCACCAGGAGAGTCGATCAAGCCATGTCCGTCTGTCCGTCTGTCCGTCCGTCTGTCCGTCCGTCTGTCCGTCTGTCCGTCCGTTTCTACGCAAACTAGTCCCTCAGTTTTAAAGCTATCTGCTTGAAACTTTCCCAAAAGTTGTCTTTCTATTGCAGGTAGTATATAAGTCGGAACGAGCCGGATCGGGCCACTATATCATATAGCTGCCATATAACTGAACGATCGGAAATGCCATAACTTTGGTGTTTTTCAAGTTAGCAAGTTAGGAAGTTCTATGGGTTTTATTTTTGGCTAATCAGTCTGACTTACCAAATTTCATAAGGATCGGACGACTATATCCTATAGCTGCCATATAACTGTTTGATCGAAAATGCCATAACTTTGGTGTTTGTAAAGGTAGGAAGTTGGGATTTTCTATGGGTTTTATATTTGGCCAATAAATCCGACCTGCCAAATTTCATAAGGATCGGCCGACTATATCCTATAGCTGCCATATAACTGAACGATTGGAAATGACATAACTTTGGTGTTTTTAAAGTTAGGAAGTTGGGATTTTTTATGAGTATTAAGAATGCATCATATAAATAATTTTGGAGAATATAATTTACAGAATATTCTGCAAGGGTATATCAACTTCGGCTCCGCCCGAAGTTAGCTTTTCTTTCTTGTTATAAACAAGAAAGGAAAGCTAACTTCGGGCGGAGCCGAAGTTGATATACCCTGGCAGAATATTCTATAAATTATATTCTCCAAATTATTCATATGATGCATTCTTAATACTCATAAAAAGTCCCAACTTCCTAACTTAACAAACAGCAGAGTTATGGCATTTCCGATCAATCAGTTATATAGCAGCTATAAGATATAGTCGGCCGATCCTTTTGAAATTTGGTAGGTCGGATTGATTGGCCAAAAATAAAACCCATAGAAAATCCCAACTTCCTAACTTTACAAACACCAAAGCTATGGCATTTCCGATCAATCAGTTATATGGCGGCTATAGGATATAGTCGTCCGATCCTTATGAAATTTGGCAGGTCGGATTGATTAGCCAAAAATAAAACCCATAGCAAATCCCAACTTCCTAACTTTAAAAACACCAAAGTTATGGCTTTTCCGATCGTTCAGTTATATGGCAGCTATATGATATAGTCGCCCGATCCGGCTCGTTCCGACTTATATACTACCTGCAATAGAAAGACAACTTTTGGGAAAGTTTCAAGCAGATAGCTTTAAAACTGAGGGACTAGTTTGCGTAGAAACGGACGGACGGACAGACGGACAGACGGACAGACGGACGGACAGACGGACATGGCTAGATCGACTCTCCTGGTGATGCTGATCAAGAATATATATACTTTATAGGGTCGGAAATGTCTCCTTCACTGCGTTGCAAACTTTTGACTGAAATTATAATACCCTCTGCAAGGGTATAATGATCTCTGATTAATAACTAAAACATTGTTTAACGAAGATGTGTGGTAATTAGTGCATGTACTAATATATTTTGACCGAAGTTAGCTTTTTTTTGCTTAAATATAATTTTATTTCAACTCACCGATATTTTTATACCCTTGCAGAGGGTATTATAATTTTGGTCAAAAGTGTGCAACGCAGTGAAGGAGACATCTCCGACCCTATAAAGTATATATATTCTTGATCAGGATCACCTCCTGAGTTGATATAGCCATGTCCGTCTGTCCGTCTGTCCGTCTGTCCGTCTGTCCGTCTGTCCGTCTGTCTGTCCGTCTGTCTGTCCGTCTGTCTGTTTCTACGCGAACTAGTCTCTCAGTTTTAAAGATATCGAATTGAAACTTTGCACACACCCTTCTTTCCTTTGCACGCAGTATATAAGTCGGAACGGCCGGGATCGGCCGACTATATCCTATAGCTGCCATATAACTGATTGATCGGAAATGCCATAACTCTGCTGTTTGTTAAGTTAGGAAGTTGGAATTTTATATGGGTTTTATATTTGGCCAATCAATCCGACCTACCAAATTTCATAAAGATCGGCCGACTATATCCTATAGCTGCCATATAACTGATTGATCGGAAATGCCATAACTTTGGTGTTTGTGAAGTTAGGAAGTTGGGATTTTCTATGGGTGTTATATTTGGCCTATCAATCCGAACTACCAAATTTCATAAGGATCGGCCGACTATATCCTATAGCCACCATATAACTGATTGATCGGAAATGCCACAACTTTGGTTTTTGTTAAGTTAGGAAGTTGGGATTTTCTATGGGTTCTATTTTTAACCAATCAATCCAACCTATCAAATTTCATAAGGATCGGCCGACTATATCCTATAGCTGCCATATAACTGAACGATTGGAAATGCCATAACTTTGGTGTTTTTAAAGTTAGGAAGTTGGGATTTTTTATGAGTATTAAGATTGCATCATATGAATAATTTTGGAGAATATAATTTGCAGAATATTCTGCAAGGGTATTTCAACTTCGGCTCCGCCCGAAGTTAGCTTTCCTTTCTTGTTTTAAAGTGATTTAAACAAATATGTTTCGATGTGTTTCATACCATGTCACGGTATCCATTTACCATAATATGGGATAATTTTGTAGTTTTGAACAAATGTTCCTGCAATACCGTTGATGACAACTAGCAATTTTATAATCAAAACAGGGGATGTCGCAATCATCGTGTCAACACATCGATTTTACATCGGCAATCACGGTAATTAGTCCCGAGATTGTAAAGTGACGTTGGCAAAACAAATAATTAATTAATCAATACCGTAGGTAATTAAAATATTTTAAGAGCCTTTATAACAGGCGCAAGCACTCGAATCCTTTGACATTCTGGAGCCATGGGTGTTCTGTTTCAATTGCAGGAGAACTGCCTTCGGGCGATGGGGCACAGCCACGCTAAGGAAAGTACCGAAGACAGAGCCTTGAGCCTGAAGCACATTAGCTCACTGCTGTTCGTTGTATCGGCGCAGTATCCACTGATCTCGTATGTCGTCTACAACCGCAATGACATGGAGAAAGTCACAGCTAGTCTAAGTGTAGTGCTTACCAACTTACTGACTGTTGTTAAAATTACTACATTCCTGGTGTACAAGCAGGACTTTTGGAAAATGATGAGCCGCTTCCGGAAAATGCATCAGCAATGTAAATGCCCGACTTAATGGGTATGACTTTCGAATAGCGTTCTCTAATGAGACCTCCTATCTAAACAGCAAGTCCGAGTTCGAGAAGCAAGGACGGAACGGACTACGTGACCGAAGCTAATAAGCTGGCCACCTTTCTGGGAAGGGCTTATTGCCTGTCCTGCGGCCTAACAGGACTTTACTTCATGCTGGGACCCATTGTGAAAGGCGTGGCTAGCAGCTGGCGAGGCACATTATACGTCAGGGAGCTGCCCATGCCGATGAAGTGAGAGTGAGTTAGGACTTCGACCAGATCTTTACCCATTCGCTTCTCCTAGGTTTCCGTTCAACGATGTGGACAGTCCCGGATACGAAGTTTGTGTTCTTTACACAGTACTAGTCACTGCCGTCGTTGTAGTCTACGCCTCGGCCGTCGACGGTTTATTTATTTCGTTCGCCATCAATCTGCGAGCCCATTTCCAGACTTTGCAGGGAGAAATCAAAAACTCAGACTTTGCCTTACCCGAAAAGGACACTCAAGCTGGTCTAAAATCTCTTGTGGACTATCATGATCTACTGCTCTTCTTATCCAGAAAATTACGATCGATTTACACGCCGACCGTTTTCGGACAGTTCGTCATAACATCGTTGCAGGTGGGCGTAATAATATATCAACTTGTGACGGTGGGTACTGAGATTGCCTGGACTATGATCCTTCGAGTACACTCTCCTTTTTAGAGCATGGACTCGGTGATGGATCTTCTGCTATACGCGTCGTTTTTCGGTTCCATCATGCTGCAATTATTCATTTACTGCTATGGCGGCGAAATCATTAAGGCTGAGGTGGGTCTTACAAGCAATTGCTGCATTTTGGGGCCGCATTAAGTTGGTTCGTTGCAGAGTCTGCAGGTTGATTTTGCTGTGAGGCTCTCCAACTGGTACCTAGCTTCTCCGAAGCTACGAAGATCTTTGGCATTGATCATTCAGCAGTCCCAACGGGAAGTCCTCATCAGGGCCGGCTTTTTTGTGGCTTCTCTGGCGAACTTTGTCGGGGTAACATCATCACTCGAGTTTTAATGAACATGATGTTATCTTTGTCTATTTTTTTGCCAGATTTGCCGGACAGCTTTATCGCTTATAACGCTAATCAAATCCATTGAGTAATTATACCCGTTACTCGTAGAGTAAAAGGGTATATTGTATTCGTGCAAAAGTATGTAACAGGTAGAAGGAAGCGTTTCCGACCCTATGAAGTATATATATTCTTGATCAGGGTCACTAGCCGAGTCGATATAGCCATGTCCGTCTGTCCGTCTGTCTGTCCGTCTGTCTGTCTGTCTGTCCGTATGAACGCTGAGATCTCGGAAACTATAAAAGCTAGAAGATTGGCATTTTGCATGTAGATTCTAGGAGTTCATACGCAGCGCAAGTTTGTTTCAAACTGGTGCCACGCCCCCTTTAACGCCCACAATCGCTTATATACGATTTTAAAAATTTTAAATTTAATTATTTCGGAAAAGTAAAAATGCAGTTTTATTGTGTTTATCAATCTATCTATCGAAATGTAGAAGACATTTTTCAAATCGGACCATTCGTTAAAAAGTTATGCGTGATCAAAGTTTCTATCTCCATCTCCCTCGCACTCCCTTTACCTGAGTAACGGGTATCTGATAGTCGGGGCACCCGACTATAGCGTTCTCTCTTGTTTTAGTTTATATGTTTAAAACATAAACTATATATTTAAGGAAATTTAAAAAACTATTAAAAAAAACTTCTTTACAATGAGAATAAGATTGGATCAAATCCTACAATAACAACCTATCTAACATTAATCTTGACTGTAAGAGATTTTAAAGGCCATAGTAGGTTTTTTTCTGGGCTGGAATGTCGAAGGTAGTTGGTAATATTGGTGCAAGGACCTGTCTTGTGGAACTTTAGCTTTATTTTTGCAGTTGACATTTTGTGTTACTTTACATTTCACTGCGAAGTGGACTTATTAGTGATATTTAAACCGGTAAAATTATTGAGAAACGTTAAGAAACTGTGCACTGCAGTATTCCCGATCCTTGTTTTTTTGTTATTATTATTTTTCTCAAAAGACGACAACATTTTACCAAAAGCGAAATTTATAAATTCGAACCAATTGTTGTTAAGAAAGATATTAGATCTAATCGTCCGATTAAAAACCACAATTCGATGTTTTGAATGTTGATAACTTTTACACTGCGCGAATACTGCTATGAACCAGGTGATCAGTTTGCATTGAGCAGATATATTAAATAGTGTTCCAAAGGACAAATATTTATATTTAATCGACCTTTTCGGGCAAAGTTCCTTTTAGATTCCGATAGAACTCATTCACCCCCTTGCTTGTTTTTCTGGCTTAGCTCGCGCTTGGATATTATAGCGACATAAGGATTGGAATTAGAGTTTTAAAACAAGAGAGAACGCTATAGTCGAGTGCCTCGACTATTAGATACTACTGTTACTCAGCTAAACAACTTAATATAAATATGCCTTCTTGTGTTTTTTGTTGTTTTTTTTTTTAACATAATGTGAATTATAGTGACCACAGGAAGAAAGGACAAAAAGTTCAATTTATCAATTTGAATTCGGCGATCTCTTAGTGCTGGCAGCTTTACAGCACGAGCATCAGCACCAGCGCTGCTTTAGAGCAGGCAGCTTTTGTCCTGCACCAGCAGCTGTGTTTATGTTTATGTTTTTGAGTGCAATAAATTGACTAGAAATATTAAACATACATACCTATATTGGCTAAACACATACATTCTTTAATAGTATTATGTATATTAAAGTCTAAATGTTTGCACAACACGAGTAACGGGTATAGCGAATAGCTTTCTTTGAAAGGAGTTATCTTTGCCGGGCAATTGCAACTGTGTACAATGTAAATACATACATAAGTATGTATATGCTTACATACATACACACATACGCCATTGTTTGACTCAGACCTCCAATTTGGCTACCTAGATTTGATTTGCATAGTTCTTGGGATATAGTTCGGTATTGACAAATGAAAACCATCGCAATTTCCTTTAATAGAAATCCTTATCGAGAATTAACGTTGACTCTGTTGAGCACCTTGGCCAGCTGTTCCAAAGTCATCCGTTAGATGGCGCCATGAAAGGCGGAAATGTAGGCGCTAGCTAGGCTTAAGCGTTTAATGGGTTTTTGGGCGTTAGAGTGGGCGTGGCAAACTTTTATTAGGCCAATCGATATTTGTTGACGAAACAAATACATATCAATTAAAATTTTCATAATATCGTCAGAAGGGGCGTGGCACCATTTTGAAACAAACTTTTATAGTTTCCGAGATCTCAACGTTCATACGGACAGACAGACGGACATGGCTAGATCGACTCGGCTAGTGATTCTGAACAAGAATATATATACTTTATAGGGTCGGAAACGCTTCCTTCTACCTGTTACATACTTTTGCACGAATACAATATACCCTTTTACTCTACGAGTAACGGGTATAAAAATAAACGTGAAATTCGAATTGTATTAAGAGGTATAGGTATCATAAACTATATTTTATTATAAGTCTTTAAGTTGCTATGAAATCCAATCGCGAGCTTAGCCACAAAAATGAAAAAAATCGATTTTAACTTGCATGGTAAAGTACATTCAAAAACTGAGGTCCAAACCGCAGTTGCGTTCTTCGTATTTCCTTGTGTCATAATACAATGCGCTGAACTCAAATTTAAATACTTTAGAAGATTCAAGTGCATTAAAACATTTAACTTTTATTATATTTTGTAATCAAAGCTACTTCAGTTTTAATCGTGTTGCTAACGCATTGTTGTGTGATCGACCTCATCCCCAATACTTGGGGCGCTTTCTTATCTTAGGATGCAAGTGTAACAAGTAAGAAGGTTCAAGAGTCTCATCAATGAGGTACATGTTTAATCACTGACTGCGTCAGCCTTTATTACATAAGTAAGCGATCAGTGACCACATATATGCAGTCTTCCCAAGCTCTTTAGGGTTCCTATAAATAAAAAGCCTGCTAATTCGGAGTCAGCAATAGGCAGTCATCCAGTGAAGCTGCATCCAATAAAAATGGCTAACAGTGGGTAGTACCGGGCAAAGAAGGCTGAATGTTTTGCTAACGCATGCTTGCATTTCGCAGAGCTTACCATCGCACTCCTGCAACTTCCCGTGGGCGCGGATGTGGCCTTCAACGTGCGCCGGGCGGTGGACAGCGTGAGGAAGCTGAAGGCGGAGAACCCGAAGCTGCAGCTGGCCATTCTGCCGGAGAGTTTCAACGCTCCCTATGGCCAGGAGCACTTCCCCAAGTTCGCCGAGCAGGTGCCGGAGGGACCCACCTGCCAGTCGCTGTCGCAGCTCGCCCGGGAGCTGGGCATCTACATAATCGGGGGCAGCATCGTGGAGCGCGAGGGCACGAAGCTGTACAACACTTGCACCGTGTGGGCGCCCAACGGAAGCCTCATTGGCAGACATCGCAAGGTGAGTAGGGTCAGGTGATGCCAAGGCCTAACAGCAACGACCTCGTCTCGGCAGATCCACCTCTTCACCATGAGCATTGAGCCCGCCAACGCCGGCGGCGTGCAGTTCGACGAAGCGGCTGTCCTGACGGCGGGATCGGAGTTGACGGTCGTGGAGATTGGGCAGCAGAAGGTCGGCATCGGCATCTGCCACGACAAGCGCTTCGAGGAGCTCGCCAGGATCTACCGCACCATGGGTGAGCCACTTTGCCGCCCGCCGCCACTTGCTTTTTAATAAGTCCTCCCCCAGGCTGCTCCATGCTGGTCTACCCGTCCGCCTTCTGCATCTGCCAGGGACCGATGCACTGGGAGCTCCTCCAGCGAGCCCGGGCCACCGACAACCAGGTGTTCGTGGTCACCTGCTCGCCCGCCAGGGACAACATGTCGGGCTACGTGGCCTACGGCCACTCGATGGTCGTGAATCCCTGGGCACAGGTGCAACGCGAGGCCGGCGAGGGATGTGAGTTCATTGTCGAGGAAATCGGTGAGTTGTGCACGGCATAGGCTAACCTTGCCAGGCTGACTGCTTACTTTCCCATAGATTTTGACATGGTCGAGCAAGTGCGAAGGCAAATCCCCATCTTCAAGCAACGGCGCACTGATGTATACGCTAAGGCCCGATTGGATTCGTAATGTTTTTCAGCAATGCCAAGCACCAAATTAAGTGAAGAAATCTTGAGAGCAGCGGGAGAGAAATTCACTGATAGGACTTGACATGCTTATCGCATCGGAAATATACAAAGCCATAGGCAGCTACTGAATCGAAACAAGAGCTCGAATTGAGCAACGCACCGTGGACTTACAAAAGCAAAAATATTAAAATAAACAAATTTACTAGCATATATCGGCATTTTAATATGCTGTTAGCCTAATCAGAATAAAAAATTTTTGTATTTGTTTTATTATCTTCATTTGAGAAACTTTTGACTATTGAACAAATTTAATTTGTTTTATTGTCTTTTAAAATGAAGGCTTACTTTTCCAATTGACTTTCAGACTTAGTTCTAAATGGGAAGCAAGCTATTTCTCGCCGTTGGCATATTATCCCAGAGTAAACGCAACCACTGTGCGATGAAACTCGACATCCGTCGAGGGGTCTGATAGGCCTGGAGCAAACGCTGGCTTCCAGTGGCTTTGAACACGCGATTGAGACAAAGCGCAAACAAAATTTTAAAATAAAAAAATAATATTAATATTAAAATAATTTTAAAATAATAGTGGTCGATGGCAACCTCAAACCTAGCGTTCGGCGCGTCGGTGGCCATAGTTCTGTTGGTGTGGTTGGGCGCAGGACATGGCCAGGTGGCCTTCGTGCGGCACCTCTCGGGGCTGCGGATAAAGGAGCTTCAAGACCTGGCGGTTCGCATGCAGGACTCCATCAACCCCGAGAAGTACGCCTGCGAGAGTTACTTCGACTACGTCTGTAGCCGCAATCGGCCGCTCTTCTCGATCATGGGTATGTGATATGGCAGACAGAGTTCAGACAGACATCCTAATGCAAACACCCAATCCCAGGCCACATGCCCCAGATGAGCGAGCTCATCCAGTTGCTGACCGAGCTGCAGAATGACCCTGCGCAATTCGAGGCAAAGCAGAAGCTGATGGACTTCTTCATCTCCTGCAACTCGCACCACGCTCTGGAAGATTGCTACCGCGAAACCTTTGAGTACTTCAAGCCACTGTTCGGCTACATAGTCACCAAGAACCTAATCGATGGAGTTTCCCACGAGCTGGACGACTTTCTAGGCGTCCTGGAGCGCTTCGTGGCCAGGATGCACAAAGACCGAGAGTCGAATCCAGTCCTCGACAAACTGGCCACGTACAAGCAGAAGTTCAAGACGCCGCGCGTCTACTTCCACGCCGGAGACCTGGACCGCGAGTACCGGGAGCTGCGCATCTACCGGGAGAGCTACGAGCACAACATTCGCAACCTGGAGCTGCACCGGAAGCAGAACTCGACCTACGAGCTGGGGGTCCAGCGCACCATGCTGGATTGGAGCATGTACCTCTTCCAGAGCCGCAACAAGCCCATGTCCTACTACTACGCCACGTTCACCGTGCACTTGTACATGATGCACTTCAATGTCAAGGAGCGACAGCGCGACTTCACGCGGTTCCGGGAAGAAGTGGAGTGTCTGCGGCTGCCGCAGTTCGTCAATGTGCTGGACGAGGCCAGGATGCTGGCCGTGATCTACCTTAAGAGCTTCCGAGCCGCCTGGATAGACTACAGCGCCTGGATCAGCACACCGCCACACAACAAGGGAATATACGACCAGGAGAACGGCGTCCTCCAGAAATTCCACCTCGACAACAAGCGCATCTTCTTCACACTCTACGCTCAGAACTTTTGTGAGTTTGGCAAGGATCTGGCCGAACACGTCTTCTATCTGGGCCTCAAGCAAAATAAAGATTTCTTCGACATATACTCGTGCGGCTTCCAAACGGAGAACAGTATGAGTTGTGTTTGAGCGATCGCGGTCCTTTGCATTCAGAATTAAATAATAATATATAGATATCATACATATGGCTTTATTATTTTCGATTAGCTTAGATTAAGAATTTGTTATTTGAATCAGAACCAACTACCCCACACTTACACTACTTCGACTACTTCCATTAGTATTACTAATAATATAAAATATAAAATCAACCTATTTTCTTTTGCAGAACAGACCACCCCAACACCAACACCACTACCAATACTACTGCTACTGCTACTGCTACTATTTATATTAATAATATAAAATAATATTAAAGAATTATTGGTACTACTACTACTACTAATATTAATAATATAAAATAATATTAAAGAATTATTTTATATTATTAATATTAGTAGTAGTAGTAGTACTAATAATTCTTTAATATTATTTTATATTATTAGTAGTAGAAGTACTACTACTAATATTCATAATATAAAATAATATTAAAGAATTATTTTATATTATTAATATAAGTAGTAGTAGTAGTAGTAGTAGTATAATATAAAATAATTATTTTATATTATTAATATAAGTAGTAGTAGTAGTAGTAGTAGTAGTATTGGTAGTGGTTTTGGTATTGGGGTGGTCTGTTCTGCTTCACCACTCTTCCCAAACTCCTGTATTCTAAATTTTATTTAATTACTTTCTTCCAATTTTTCTGAGCCAATTGATTTGAAACAAGATAGAACGCTATAGTCGGGTGCCCCGACTATCAGATACCCGTTACTCAGCTAAAGGGAGTGCGAGGGAGATGGAGATAGAAACTTTGATCACGCATAACTTGTTAACGAATGGTCCGATTTGAAAAATTTCTTCTACAATTCGATAGGTATTGATAAACACAATAAAACTGCATTTTTACTTTTCCGAAATATTTAAATTTTTAAAATCGTATATAAGCGATTGTGGGCGTTAAAGGGAGCGTGGCACCATTTTGAAACAAACTTGCGCTGCGTAGGAACTTCTAAAATCTACATGCGAAATGCCAATCTTCTAGCTTTTATAGTTTCCGAGATCTCAGCGTTCATACGGACAGACAGACGGACAGACGGACAGACAGACGGACAGACGGACATGGCTAGATCGACTCGGCTAGTGATCCTGAACAAGAATATATATACTTTATAGGGTCGGAAAATCTTCCTTCTACCTGTTACATACTTTTGCACGAATACAATATACCCTTTTACTCTACGACTAACGGGTATAAAAACGCTTAGAATGAAACTAAAAGGCTCAAAACAATTTTACTATATATTCAAAATCATTATAAGTCTGGACATAAATTTTTAAGGATGCCTTAATAACCTTTTAAAAATAGATCAAATTGTATAGATTTTTAATAAAATAATCTTATTAAAGCCCTTTAAACCGAAAATAAAGTACACAGAGGAGAGTGTGCGGGAGGCGAGTACCATATAATATAAATTAAGCCTAAACAAGAAAGAAACCAAACTTCGGCAAGTCGAAATTTATATACAGTTGCAGTTATTACAAAACGACTACATTTCGATTTTTATGCCTTTATTACTAAAAATAATGAAGCTATGACGATTTTTCCATCTTTTCTATGGAAGCTATATGATATTGTCGTCCGATTTTAAAAACTAAAAGTGTAATTCTAATTCTATCTCAAAGGAATATTTTGATAAATAGAAAAACAGCAAAATAAAATTTTTTTATTTTTAGATTTCCCTTTGGAAGCTATATGATATAGATGTTCGATTTTATTTAAATTAAAACCGTATTTCCATAAAAACAACAAAGTTATAAATTTTTAAATTTGTTTTTTCTATTGTTCCTATGGGAGCTATATGATATAGTCGCCCGATCCGACTCGTTCCGACTAATATACTACCTGCAATGGAAAGAGAACTTTCAAGCAGATAGCCTTAAAATTGAGGTACTACTTGCGTAGAAAAGGACGTACAGACAGACGGAAATGGCTAGATCGACTCTCCTGGTATCGGTAATGTCTCCTTCACTGCGTTGACTGAAATTATAATACCCTTTGCAAGGGTACAAAAATAGTTCTATGGAAAACGAAATCACTTATGACTCGAACAACGGTCGCTTTATTAGGAACGTATACTAGAAATTTTAAAAGAATGCGAAATAGAATTAGAAATTATTTTTAAGTACGTGCTACTTTTCGAACACAAAGTTATAGTTTTCTATATATTATTATATGAGCAAACGTACATTTGTATCTGCATAATTTCATTCATGGCAGAGTGTGGCTCTCCAAACGCAGCGCTCTATACGCACCTTATTTGTATACCCTTGCAGAGGGTATTATAACTTTGGTCAAAAGTGTGCAACGCAGTGAAGGATAAATCTCCGACCCTATAAAGTATATATATTCTTGATCAGGATCGCCTTCTGAGTTGATATAAGCATATCCGTCTGTCCGTCTGTCTGTTTCTACGCAAACTAGTCTCTCAGTTTTAAAGATATCGAATTAAAACTTTGCACACACCCTTCTTTCTTTGCACGCAGTATATATGTCGGAACGGCCGGGATCGGCCGACTGTATTGGATTGGCCGACTATATCCTATAGCTGCCATATAACTGAACGATTGGAAATGCCATAACTTTGGTGTTTTTCAAGTTAGGAAGTTGGGATTTTTTATGAGTATTAAGAATGCATCATATGAATAATTTTGGAGAATATAATTTACAGAGTATTCTGCAAGGGTATATCAACTACGGCTCTGCCCGAAGTTAGCTTTCATTTCTTGTTTATTCTACATATCATAAAACTCGAGATATAGATAGTGACGTATGATACAATCCTCAAAAAAATAAACATTTAATAACTACACAAGTTTCCATAAGGTCTCAGATAAAGTCATAAGGAAATAGTTTAAACTCTGTGCTTCATCTTAATAGACTTGCTTAATAGACAAAGGCCTCTTAGCAAAAAATCTTTAATGCCTTCAGGGAATTTTTCTTAGTAAATTGCGATTATTTCAAATCCTTATTAGAGCATTTATTTCCTTTTCCTTTCGACTACTGTTCCAGGAACTTCTTTTGTGTAGCTCGTTGTTGCAGTTGGGCTTTTGTTACCGCGTCTGCGGTTGCGCCAGACTTTTCCAGCCTAAACTTTTGCACCTTGTCAAAGTAATCCTCTGCCTCCTGCCGGCGATAAAGTTTCGCCAAGTCGGTGCAGGATTTGCCAACGCCATCCAAAGCCGCCAGGTCTGCGCCGTGGGTAACGAGGACTTTAATGAGCTCCAGGCTAGCGTTCATGACCACTGCAGCCGAAGAGTCAGTTAAAATTCCATTTGAGCCGCTCCCCATCACTTAATTCCTAATCCTTACCAGCTCGCATAAGAAGGGTCCAGCCGCAGATGTCCCTCGCCTCCGCATTGGCGCCCGACTCGAGGGCGAACTTCACCATCTCCAACTGGTTGGCATCCACGGCGCAGTGGGCGGGAGTCATGCCATTGCCGTCCGTCGCCTCCAGGTGGGCCTTCTTGTTCAGCAAAATGCGCGCCGACGGCAGGTGACCGTAGTAGAAAGCCAACTGCCAGGGGAAGGAGCACGACCTTTAGTTGCGAGCGATCGAACCATTAAGCGCTCACCTACATGGAGCGGGGTCCGGCCACTTCCTGGATTTCCTAGATGAACGCTGCACCCGGCTGAGAGCAGCACATCGATAATACACATCTCGCCCTGAATAATCGCATTGGCCAGCGGCAGGAATCCGTTGGGAGCGGGGTACTCGATAAGGCTCGGTCTTCGGCGCAGCATCCGCTTAACCAGAAACTGCTGGCCCTTTCTGATGGCGCGGTTCAAGCAATTGGTTGAAGGCAGTGCTGCGGTGGTGCAAGCCTAAAATTATAAATCATTCAATTATTTTTGAGAACGGCATTGAGGCTACTGTATATACTCGACATGAATGGAATTTTCATCAATAATATGTATTGTTTATATTTTTAAAAGATTAATTACTAGGAATTTTGCCGGTATTTTCAGCTTACATTTTTCAATTTGCTACTTTTATATAAACGACAATGGCTCAACCATCTGTCCTGTTTAAGTGAAAGGGCCCCTGAAATCAGTGTTTTATTTGTAATATTTTCTGTGTGTTGGCAGATATCAAAAGAATCAATATAAAATGCCCTCTAAAAATTTCTGAGACTCAATATACATGCTTCGTATGGTCGGGAAAGTGTACCCTCTACATGTAAGAATATAAATATAATGTATTAAATTACAATTATGTCAGGCGAGATAGCCAAGGGCACGTAGCGACGCCCATCCTCAGAAACTCGCAGTGCTTTTATGCGCAGTCGATATCCAAAGTTTTCTTCCAGATTGGATACATCTGCGGGAGAGCTGGTGGTCCAATTCACCTTCATCCAACCAAGGCGCTTATGGAACTTCTCCACACTGTAGACCAGTGCATTTGTTAATAAAGACCATTCAAGTCTCACGCTGTTGACTGTAGGATTGGAAATACGCGACTTGAAATTGGGCCAAGGGATTAATTCAGGATCCTCTTGGCCCAATTTATCGATGAGCTCTTCATCACTTTGTTTTTGCTCTCTATCGGACATGCTTCTAATCGGTTAGCCCTATAGGTTTTGCCACTTTCCTACAAGCTTTCCAATAACTTAGAATAACAAGAGGCGAGGCAACCGCCATGGTTACCGAAATTGTAGTTGGGAATTCGGGGATAGTTCCCCATTTAAAGCTTTCGTTGAATAGATACACAAAAAAATTGTTGTTCTGTAAATATACATATAATTTGCTAAATTTTCTATAAACAAGAAGGAACGACATAGTCGATTACAACGACTATCAAATACCAGTTACTTTGTTATCCGATTTTGCCGCCCTTGCAATTGTTTTGGTGCAGCAAGCCAAAATGATGTGCTGCTATCTGCTAATTGTCTGTAATTGCCTGTTTTTAACATCATTTCCTAATAACTTCTGAAATAATTTTTCGATTTGTCAAATTTTTTGTGCGTTGGAAATGTTGATTAAAAAAGTATATACCGCCAAATACATTTATCTACCATGTCTCTGCAGAATGTCACGAATTGCGGGCGGTGGAGTGCGAGTGACAAAATTTGTATATAACCTTACGCTGCGTAAACTTAACTAAAATATGCAAGTTAAATATTTTTCTAATAATCCAATATTCCATTTTACTCTACGAGTATTGGGTGTAATAATGGTACCGTGTCGGATCTATCCAGATGAACACTATTCTGATTAATTTACTTTGAACAGAATTCCAATCATGGGCAATGAAATGAACGCCATGCTTACCAAACAAAAGAATACTTAATGAGCACTGCCCAATTATACCGAATTCTATTTAAATTTCTGCTTACGACTGTCTCCACTGTTATTATATAACAGTATATATACACATTTTAAATCACAATTATTTCTTAAAGGTTTTTATACCCGTTACTCGTAGAGTAAAAGGGTATATTGTATTCGTGCAAAAGTATGTAACAGCTAGAAGGAAGCGTTTCCGACCCTATAAAGTATATATATTCTTGATCAGGGTCACTAGCCGAGTCGATATAGCCATGTCCGTCTGTCCGTCTGTCTGTCTGTCCGTCTGTCCGTCTGTCCGTCTGTCTGTCCGTCCGTATGAACGCTGAGATCTCGGAAACTATAAAAGCTAGAAGATTGGCATTTTGCATGCAGATTTTAGGAGTTCCTACGCAGCGCAAGTTTGTTTCAAAAAGGTGCCACGCCCCCTTTAACGCCCACAATCGCTTATATACGATTTTAAAAATTTAAATATTTCGGAAAAGTAAAAATTCAGTTTTATTGTGTTTATCAATACCTATCGAAATGTAGAATAAATTTTTTAAATCGGACCATTCGTTAAAAAGTTATGCGTGATCAAAGTTTCTATCTCCATCTCCCTCGCACTCCCTTTACCTGAGTAACGGGTATCTGATAGTCGCGGCACCCGACTATAGCGTTCTCTCTTGTTTATTTTTAAAATCTAGCAAATAATTTTTAATAGTAATTATTAATAAGTTAAGTATAATTTTGCCACATTGCAAAACAAAAGACAACTTCTAGAGCAATTTCGCAATGCCTAAGACGCAATATAATTGCTGAACTTTGTGAGTAACATATAGTTCACAAACAAACACCACCTAAACTCTACCTTAATCGTACTATCTTAAAATCTTTTGTGTGAAAAAAACATTATCGAACCTTTCTTAGCCGGCTTTACAATAATCTTAGAATATTTTGCAGGATCCTGCAATAATTTATATTGCGTTAAGCAACGCGACTTAAATCACTTGTATTCGACGAATTTTTAAAGGACTAGTTAGCTTAACAACTGAAGATACAGGCATGAGCTATATGTTGTTGAGGAGGTATTTTAAATACCAATCTCGGTGTCGTCGTAGTCGTAGTACAATAGTTCAAAAATTAATGTTAATTACTTGAAAACGGTACTTTATAAGTTATGTATGTGTGATAAAATTATGAATATAAATTGGACACAACGTTTAAAGACTCGGTAGCATCGCATTGTATGTAATTGTTGCAACTGAAAGGGTATATAAACATTGGCTGTCTGGAATTAACTGTCTCTAATGTTGTTAAATCAAAATATCAGTGCAATGTGGGCAGTAGATTTCCGATTGTCCGCTTGCTGGCCCAGCAGTCCTTACACTCACTCGCATATCTCTGCGTACACCCCAAAAAAATTTCAAAATCTAACTTTGAACATTAATTGTTCGGCCATTTATGCATGTATTTTATTCATTCTTTTTTTAAACAAAACTATGGTTTATTGTCTTCATTGACGTATAAATATTAGAAATATTCAACAGGGGGTTATATTTTATTTTTAATTTTAAACCTAACACTACGAAAAAGTGTACGCGCAAAAGTCTGCGTACAGCAGTTTTCAACTTCGAGGAATGCAGGATTGTGCGATTTCCGTTAATTTTGTTGTCGCCGATCTACTTTAGAATGCCTAAAAATAGACATTACGCAGTTAAAATGAAACTTTTTCATTATAATAACGAGCATATTGCAACATGGAACAAAAAGGCAAGGAAATTTCTGTTGAGGAGTGGAAAATTATATTAAAAGGTTTTTTGGATGGAAAATCTTATAGAGAAATTGGTGCTTTAGTTGGTAGAACCCACTCATCCATCCAAAGAGTGATAGATAACTACAACTCGGCTGGAAGTATCTTGCCAAAGGCTCGTTCTGGCCGTCCGCCTTTGCTTATAATCCGCGAGCAGAGGAATATTATCAAATCTATTCAGCTCAACCCAAGGACGACAGCTCACCAGGCAAAGCTGAAGGTCGAGGATAGATTTTCCAAAAGAGTTTCCGAAGATACTGTACGCCGGACCATAAAAAAGGCTGACTACCATAGCAGAGTCGCCCGCAAAAAACCTCTCATATCGGAAGTCAATAGACATAAGCGCCTAAACTTTACTAATGAGTATATTTCCAAACACCAAGACTTCTGGAATAAGATTATATTTCCCGACGAAACTAAATTCTGCATATTTGGAATCAAGGGAAAGGTTTTGGTATGGAGGAAAAGCGGAGAAGCCTCAAATTAAGAAAATTTGGTTGGCACAGTAAAGCAAGGAGGAAGCGGAATAATGGTGTGGGGGTGTATGGCAGCAAGTGGCGTTGGAAAATTGGTATTTATCGAGTTAATAATGGATCAGAAAATCTATATTGACATATTAAAAAACAATTTAAAAGAAAGTGCTGAAAAATTAGGGCTCGAAAGTGAATGTTGGTTCCAACAAGACAACGACCCGAAGCATACGGCGCAGAATACCAAGCTTTGGCTGCTGTATAACGTCATAAATCAGCTGCGAACACCTCCCCAAAGTCCTGATCTAAGCCCAAATGAGCATTTTTGGGATCTTCTTGAGAGGAAAATCCGAAGACACACGATAACATCTAAAAAAATGCTCAAGAATGTGATTCTCGAGGAGTAGGGGAAAATTACTGCAAATGAGACAAAAAAAAAGTGGATTCCATCCCGAGACGCCTTACGGAAGTTTTGCAGAGAAAAGAATACCCTACCAGTTACTAAAAATAATATTATTTGTGTTTTAAACAGGTGTACGCAGACTTTTGCGGGTACATTTTTTGGTAGTGTTAAGTTTAAAATTAAAAATAAAATATAAGACACTGTTGAATAATTTAAAAAAAATACGTCAATGAAGACAATAAATTATAATTATGTTTAAAAAAAAGAATGGGTTGAATATATGCATAAATGGCCGAACAGCTAGGGTTTAAAGTTAGATTTTGAAATTTTTTTGGGGTGTACGCAGAGATATGCGAGTGAGTGTATCTGCTGATATAGCCACAAGCGAGGAAGCGGTACTCGGAAATAGAGCTCACCGCACCGAAACCGAAACTTTTGTGTCTGTGTGTAAATACTGTGTGGTAACTCGCTTACTTAACGAGCCTTTGAGATAGTCGGCTTCAGAGGGGCGATGATTGCGGGGAATTTATCTGTCCGGCAGGCACATTGTGCCAACTCATCGACCGCCATGGAGACACGGGCACCGGGCGACAGAGATACTCGTATCTCGCTGTCAGCCGAGTCTCGGCTGACATGCCAAACACAAAAAGACTGACACAAACACATGCGAAAAATTATCATTTGTCAAAATCACAACATGAAACCGTTTTAAATTTAGCCACTCTGCCAGTCATCCGCCCCAAAGCCACCACTTCCCCTCGGCTTATACCCGCACCCCGCATCTCAGGCCAGGAGGCAGGGAGCTTGTGCTTTTGCCGGGCCCGAAATGACAATGTCTGTGCCTGAAGTGAAGAGAAGTTGAGTTGTCATCTTTGCGGCGGCTGCTGTTGAATCCCCATTGATTGAAAACGACCGTGCTGAACATCGGTGCGGTAGGCAGGAGGGGAGTGCTGCTGCATTGGACGGCGGGTGTTCAATATCATTATTTGTGACAGGGGACTTATTAACTTCATTTTGCAGATGGCAATTCATAATGAACAAGAAAGAATGCGACTGCCAAGTTCCAGATGATTAATACAAAACTTCTTCCTTCTGCCTTCAGAAATGTCCTCGTTGAAATGCAGAGAGGAAGTGCCAAGACTTTCACTAGAGTCCAATCCAGTTTTGAAGTTCCTATAGCAAATATCGACTGAAGAATATTACCTTCGGCTCTATAAAGACCCGTTTAAGCTCCCTTTTAGCCGGGTGAAAATAAAAATGTCTTTGAGAATGCCTGGCCAATGAAAATTTCTATCAATTTCCCTCCAATTGGCCCCAAAGGGTATCTCAATTTTTGCGTCCATCTCACTAAGTACGACCGCATTCCCGTTTAGCACGCTGAGGAAATCTCCAGGCGAAAGGGTCTCCAGGCAGTCATTAGGGTCTGCCGTGCGCCAAATGTGGCCAATTTGCCTGCCGACGGGTCGACTGATGACAGAGGGAGCGAATGTCGAAAAACAGCGCCAAAAATAATCATAACAAGCAAATAGGCTATGAAAAGCGGCAACGCGAATTCCTCTGTTAAACAGCGGAAGGAAGAAAAAAGCGAAACGAGGGGCTTAATCAGGAATAATTCCCGGCATGTGACGAAGTAAACACCTGAGCAGGTGGCATAAAGCGAAATGGGTTTGATTTTAATCAAAATAATGGCATCCGACACCACATGATGACGTGTATGCCTTAATTAAATAATGTATATAAATTGCTCCTTCGGCTCTCGCAAGCACACAGCCACACACCCAGTGGAATCGTCGTTGGAGCTCCCTCTCCGCTAAATTCGAGCTCATCCGGCAGGAGGAGATCCTGCGGATCGGCAAACAATCCGGGCATTAGCTGTTATCACTCAATATCATCCGGCTGGTGCGTAAGCGCCACAAAGGAGACAGAGCACACATGGCCAGAAATTAGCGAAGGATAACCTGTCGCCGTTTCCGTATCCGTGCGAGGTCTATCCGCACATGAAGCAATTTGTTTACCAGACTACCAGACTGCGAGGCTTATGTAAGCCTGTAAGTAGATACAAACATGGGTGGGGGCGTAGCTCTCGTCTAGCAGACAGACGGATACGCTCACGCCCAGGACGCGTTCGCTGGGCCCAAAGGGAAAGTTGTTATTAGCCAACAATTTGGCTGAAAGCTTTCGGGGAGCAAGCTTTCGCCTGGTTTGGGGGTCAACTGTCAAAACTGACAGAAGTGGGCACACTCGCCATCGTTCTCTCTGCGATGGGGAGGCTCTCTCCGTCGTGTTGTTGCCACAAATTTTACACTGGCTAACAGTTTGGCGTTTTCGGCAGTTAATGTAGTTTCAGCCAGCAGGAGCAGAGCCAGCAGAGCGAACTTTTTCGGTTTGTATACATGCGTCGCCGTCGAGTAGCAATCAGTGTGACATTGCCGAGTGCCGCGTGCATTGCCAACAGGGAAAATACCTAAGTTTTGTAGTTATCCGTGCCCTCGACTGTTTTAGGTAGGCAGTGCATGAAATCGCCGAGTCCCACATTCTCCGGCCACGTCTAGTTTTTTCGCGCTGTTCGCCCCTCGCCCCTCGCCCCTCGACCCACGACCATCGACGACCCACGACCAAGCCTAATAGCCAGTGGACCATTACCCCAGCGACAGCAATGCCCTGGTGGCCAGGACGTGACTGTCATCCTAAGCAAGGAGCGTCGCTCTGCGGAGCCAGAAGTAATAAGCAATTTGGCGGAAAAGTTATATCGCGCTGCGCAGCCACAGCTAGCTGGAACATAATTGATTGGTATATAAGCCAGCGGATGGCGCCGGATGAAGAAAGGAAGACCACATAGCCACCACACTCACGTACCACGGGCAGTCTGGCGAATCGCTAAGAAACTATAATTGATTGAGTGGAAAACAATAGAGCCCGCCAGTGGCATGGATTTGTGTCGCACTAATTAGAAGTCTGGAGACTTATTTTTAGTAAGACAGCCCCGCTGCCCGGGGCCATTGATGCACTTGTCACGGCTGGGGCCGACGGACGAGCGGACGAGCGGATGAGCGGACGTGGCCAGAACTTGGCAATTTCCTCCTTTAAAGCTCTGCGCTTCCGATGCTGCCTTCCTGCCTTCCTGCTTTTCTGCCTTCCCTTTGTCGACTCTACATGTGCAAACAAACTGGAATGGCAACTGACAAGCGAACAAAGGCTGCTGGTGCTGATGTGTGCAAAGGCAATGGCAATGGCAAAGGCTCCGAGTGGCGATGATAATGACTCGTTAGCACAGGCCCCATACGGCAGAACGAGCGTCTTATCAGTTGACGAAATTACAGCATTACGCATACGACTAGTGGCACGAATCAATATCGTATCTCCCGCGCATTCGGCGCAGGCGCCAGCGCACAAATGTAGGCAGCGCTTTCGGTTGCTGATTTCAAAGTCAAAAAGTCAAGAGAGGGAGAAAGCGAGAGAGTGAAAGAGAGGGGGGAGAAAGCAGAGAGAACGCTTAGAGAACGCTTAGGGAGGGGGGGGAATCGAATTATGTAACAGACAAAAAGTAGCAGCAGATAAATATATTATTAGTGGCAGTGGGAGGCAGGAAGCCAACTGGCGTTACATAAAGGCAGGACATTGGACATGGGGCATGTGGGTGGAGGTACTCATAGTCCTTACAGCCCTACAGCAACAAGAGCAGGCTTTTGCGCCTTGAGCGCTTTTCCCGCAAACGGGCCCCCAGTGTTGTTGTCCCTATCTAAGTCCTTGTTCCACTCGTTTCCACTCGGGCGGCCGAACGGAGAAAACACTCAAGCACGAGCACGTAGGATTCCGGAAGGGGCCAAAGCTCGTCCCCCCGGCGGGTTTTTTATTGGATTTCGGGCCGCAGACGTCGCAGTCGGCGTCGACGTCGGCCGCTCGAAAGCGGTGCCGCGGCGCCGAGCCGAGTTTTCCATGTAGGGAACTCGGCAGTGGCGTGCAGAAGAGTGCGAACATAGCATGAAGTAAGAAGCGCCGAATAAAACATAGCGACGGCCTAGGTGAACAGTGGAAAAACAAGCAAAAGTACTAAGCACACACTCACCAGCAGCCGAGTGCGGAGTTGAGCGAGTGAGCGTGTATATAGGGCCTTGTGCACATATCACGTATACGTATGTCGATACTGGCCCATCGTGGTATTCAAAAGTCGACGAAAGGGCCACGAGCACGAATGAAAATCTAAATTGATTAAAAGAATCTATTCTATCGAGCTAATTCAATTGCTCGACCAGTTGACTGAGTGCTCTAGTGCGAGCGCAGCTTTATGTAATCAGCATTAGTGAAAAAACGAAACACGGGCAGACGGCAAAAGAATACGGCCTGGCGTGCACAGCACTCGAAATTCAATCGAATTTGTTTGCTGCGCGCGTTACGTAAAAATCTTGTTTGTTTGCGGCACCCGCCTCCCCGTCTCCACGCCTCCACCGTCCGACCCTTTCCCTCCACGGGCATAAAGGCACTTACGTGCACGCTCCCATAAAAGAAACCCTAATAAAGAAATATCGATAAAAGCAACAAAGCAGTGGCACGGCAGCACAATAACAGCGACGACAAGAGCAACATCGGCACAATGCGACCCCTGGGGGAGTGTGTCCGCTATTTTTAAATTAGCGCCAGGCCAGTAGATTGTAGGTCGGGGCAACCGAATGCCCCCGAATCGATATGAAAACTCTGGACTGTGGATCGTTATCTCATGACTTCCGTGTCTCTGCTTGCCTTTCAGGAACCCTGTCCGCCTAATGCACGCTCTTCTCTGTGGATTTCTTTAAAACAAAAACACTTTAACGCAGACTATCTCCGAACTTTGCTCCTTCAACAACAAAATCCGCACACACAGGAATCGGGAATCCAGCGGGAATCTGAAAGGAATACTTGCTGAACTCAGACCAGGTAAGTGAGTGGCCCAACCAATCCGAAAAGTGTCCAAAGTATGCGCCAAGTATGCTCCAAACTTTTACGCATTTTACGTCAAATATTTGTGCAAAGTTTTTCCGCATTTTGCACATTTTCACGCGTAGAGTTCTTGGCGGCAGTGAAAAGCTCCAAGCTCATTATACAACCCTTAGGATTGCTCAAAAGAATAGGAGATTCAATTTAAGTCTCTTCGATTCAGACGCCCCACAGCTGGCCACTTTCACAAGAAAAGGACAAATGGCTTAATGCCAACTCTGCGCATACTTGATACTTAGCTAAGCCATCTTTCTTGATACTCGCTGACCCTTTTCTAGCCGGGCCAAATGGTCATGAGCGTGGGTGTGGTATTGGGCTGGAGTCAGGCAACAAAATATACACGGGTCGAGTCGAACATAGCTTATTTGCGTGTTTATTGGCTTTGGCTTTCTTATTCGGGCCCGTTATAGAAAACTTCAAATGTAATTAGATAGCCAGCTGAGCGGTCTTCGGGTCAACTTGGGTTGTTTATTCGTATAGTTGTATAGGGATAAGAAGAGTTCCTTGTTTTGGTTGGGACCACACCTTTGGCCAGCCGACCATAAAATTCTAGGCACGAATGCCATAAATTTTCGCTTCTATTTACATATATTAAGTCAGGTATGTTCGTCCTTGCCGTACGTTCCGGCCCACGAACCCCTTTGCCCGATTCATTTTCGACCGAGTTGGGCGTCTGTCCCCGTCCCGCGATGCTGGGGATTAAAGTGAATGTTCCAAACTGCAAATGCCCAGGCCAATAAACAATTCAGCTGTTTGCCGACTGACTGACTGACTGACTGACTGACTGCCTGTCACGGCTGCCAGCTATAGGGCCCGAAAATGGACCGACAGAGAGGTCTCTGCAGCATCAGCTTAATTCATTAGCTCGGACGGGAAATGAAGGCGGATCACCAAGCCAGCGGCGAAATACGGGCTCTATCTGCCACTGCCCGGAGTTTGCCCGTCCGTCCGTCCGTTTTTATGTCAAACTAATTTCGTTGCTCGTTTGCTGGTGTTGTTTTAATTTGCGCAGCTACCCAGAAACAAGTTGCCGCCTTCGGCTTAAGTTCGTTAGCCCAATTTGCGCAAATATTAATACATGGTTACAAAGGGACAGACACAGCCAGCAGCAGCAGAGGATAGTCTGTTGGCGAGGTCCTGCTGTTGCTCCCCAGCCCGCGGCGTTAATAAAATTGAAAATTTTGGCTGGAGGACACGGAGCCCACATTCATTACGGCATTATTGTGCTAGAAGACCGAGCCGAGTTATTAGATTTCCCGAATTGAGTACACCACCAGGACACCCCCAAACTGGAGGGGCAGGGCAATCAATGCAGATGTCACTGAAACGGGGACTGGGGACAAGTCATGAACTGGTACTGATGACAGTGGGAGCCGCGCACGTTCGCTCGGAGTGAAATGTCGGGTCCTGAAGGGCAGGATGGCGGCCAGTTCGACTTAAGGCATTTGAGATAAGCGGCTTAAAGTATCAGGCGGCGCAGGTGACTGGGCGGGGCAGCCATCCCCATCCCCCAGCCACTCCTTTGTCCTGCCACACACCAAATTAATTTGCTATTTTCTCTTTGCTCCGCCGCTTTCAGCTTACGTAGGAAGAGGACGTAAGGCCAGCGCGGACCGCAAGTGCATTGCCTCGAGCGGAGGACCCCCAGAAGGACCCACAGGAGCCACGCCCCTAGAGCGACAGCCCGGAGATGGCGGCCTTCATAGCTAAGCAAATGGTTGGAAACCAATTAAGTGCCGTTAAAGGTAAGTCGCACCGGAAACCCCGGCTCCGAGTCGTCACCCTCGAGCATTTTATTTTTGGCACCCGATCAATACACATTGATAGGATGTGGGGGTATACATAATTCATTTTCAAGCTGCTGCGCAGCGACAAAAATTACCACACATGAAAGTGGCCAACGCTTTTAGATACACACCAAGGTCCTGTCCCTTCCGCCTTCCGCCTTCCTCGTCCGCATCCGCATCCGCATTGGCATCCGCATCCGCATCTCCACCCCCTCCTAGGCATTAGGTAAAGTCATTGGGTTCCCATTGCCCCTGCTGTTTAATCAGCGGCTGTGCAATCGCTCGGAAAATCATTGAATGCTTTTAGAAAGAGAAAAGAGCGAAGGCGAGGGCGAGAATATTTAAGTTGAAATGCTTATCAACCGACAACATGCGAGCCCATTCTAGGCGGAGCATTTACATGGAGCACCCCCTGTGACATAATGTGCCTCTACTTACCCCTACCTACGGCAGTAATCTCGTTCAATTTGCAAGCACGCTGCAGTGCCATTTCAAGGCTCTGCCCCATCCTCATCCTCATCCTCATCCCATCCCAGAGCCTCCAAGTTGCAGCTGAGCTTGGCTGAGCAGAGCACATTACCGGGTCTCTTATCGAACGCAGAAATTCTGCACGAATGCGCAGGAAAGTGGTTCCGACAAATTGATACAGTTAATTGTGTAGATTGATGTTGAATTTGTCACACTCCCCTGCCCAGGCTCCAGCTGGAGAAGAATCCGAGCCGGGCGACTCAATCACTCTGCCGTCCTGTCTGCCAGGATGTCAGCTGCGGCTCAACTCGAGATTGCGGTTAGTGCGGTTGGCCATTAGGCCGTCAAGTCTGGCAGTGACGAGGCCTGGCCACGTTCGAGAAACATGAAAACGCTATTAGCATGGGCGTAAAACTCGAAAAACCAAATCAAGTCATACTCATGTAGAGAGCGATTGCGTGGGCACTTGCACACTTCCCCACGTGGGCCAGTTACCAAGATACTATGTTTCGGATACTCCACTCTCCCTGTTTCCGAATCTCACACTTGAGTCCTTTGGCTGCGAGCTTCACCACCCCCCTCCCTCATCGCCGACTGCTTAAAGTCCTCAATGGTGCAGCAAGGCGGTTACTTAATTTTCGCCATAAAATGCGGCTGAGTGATGAAAGCGAAATAAAATAAACCCATTAAATTCATGGTCGGGAATGTTGGCGCACAGAAATGGCTCAGCTTAGTTCCCGTTCGCCAGCTTCACATGTCAATTGTAGAGCAAAAGGTTTTCCAACGCTTTTCCATGAAAAACATATTTTCCGGATCTAGATTGCGACTCTGCTCCTGACTTGTGCGCGGTGGGGGGCTGGAGGCAAAGCTAGCTAATGCGTTTCCATTGTCAAGCCATTCGCACTCGCAATCAGACAATTTATTTGAGCTCGCCTTAGCCTTTATTACTATTGCCTGTCTTACGTAAGGATAAGTTATGGATTTGTTATAACTAAGCTGGCCTAGGTTGGGGGTAGAACACTTTACTCGAGAGAAAAATTGCTTTGTTCATCACTTAAGACACACTTTATACTAACATTTTATTTTAACTTTCGGCTGCACTCGTTCTTTTATTTTTGATGCGTTGAATGATGTATATTTATTAACATCGTCTTTTATTTTCAGGTAAGCGTTCAAAAAAATCCACCTGAATGTCCAATAAATAAAGTGCGTAAGTTTCTGTCACCCCCACCCCCAATCTACCTTTCATACATTTTTGAAACAAAGATCTAAACTTTTTAAAATTTCAAAGCATACATTACCAACAACTTAATATTTAATAGAATAAGCATTGTTTTTATGGCACTACCTATTTAGTTTACAGTTCACCGCTTTTGTATCTGTTTTGAATGGAGACCCAGGTTTTATTGATTGGCAATGAAGCATGAATACATGATTAAAATTTATGAATAGTATACCCTAGACCCGTTCAAGATTGAAACTAAACAAAAGTTTTCCATATAAAAGTATTTTAAAATAGTTTTACTTAAGCTTAGCCTTGCACAATACATATAATCCACAAAACCAAGAGCCCATATTTGCTTTCAACCTCTCAATATGATGAAACTACTATGTAACAGAAATATTCAATATCAATCCACACAGGAAATATATTTTTTAAAAATATTTAGATCTTGCACATAAACATAAACGAATTTGATTGTATTTATTCACTTTTCAAATCTAATAAAATAATTAAATTAAATAATTCAACTAATTTGAGTAAAGTATAATAAAATTTTTACAAACAGATTTCTGGGTAGATTTTTGCGGTGTTATTTGTTAAACACATTTTAAAACTAATAAAGAACGCTACAAGTTAAAAGCCCTGACAATCAAAATTTTCGGAATCACTGCTAAATAAAAACATATTGTAATTGTCTAACAACTTACTATAAACCAATATTTTTAACGCAAATGAACCAACAGTACTAACGTAACTCATTTTCTTTTCAATTGAACATCATTTTGTGTTGAAATTTAATCATAAGTCATAACACTAAGCATTGCTGTTTGTCCTAACTCAGCTAGATATTTTCATGTCCTTCGGATATATTATTGTTATCGTAATTTATTTAACCTAAGTACAGATCATACGACAAAAATCCACCCGAAAGAAAGTCCCTCCCAGCCACACACCAAAAACAAAACAAGAATAAAATATATTTGTTCACTCCTACAATGCCTTCACAGCCGAACTTTACCTCATTGTAAAACACACGAACACAAGAGCTTGACAAACACACCCAGTCAAACACACAGAACGACTCCCAAGTGCACAGCAATCTGAGGAATATCTCCGCTTTTCTACCCCTGCCCCACTCACTTCCCTTCCATATCCATATCCAGACCTACCACCACCCCCTTCCCATCCCATCCCACCCAATCCGCCTCCCCTAACAGCAAAAAGTCTACAGAAACAACAAATACACCTCGAGCAACAAAAGCCAACAAAGAACACAGCTGCCATCGCACCGATAAAAAACATACAGAAAACACAATTCAATTTCTTCTATTACAATTTCTTCCTGACTACCAACCCTCGACTTTCTTTCCGCTCTTTATTTAGTACTCGCCTATTTACATGAATGCCACGCCCAAGCCAATCCCCGATCCCCCGAGCACTCATGACCCATGACCCCAACTACCTCCCTAATGGAATTGAACTTGAACAAGCTAAAAATTAACTGGTCGGGTTCCTTCATCTGGCCGTTCGAGCCGTTCCTGTCATTCTAATTAAAATCCAGAATCCGCCGGCGGCAATTCCCAGCGATCCCAGCCACATTTTTAGCTAGCTTCCATGCGACTTTTTACGTACTTATCCAACTTCTTCTATCATTATATATACCTATACACACTCGCAGTAATGCTACTATTTACTCACACACAACTTGCAACTTCGAATTCCAGTTCATAAAGCGTCACAATGAATCAAAACAGATAGTAATATTAATAAAACTTTTCCTCTACTTCCCCGACCACACGCTCGACAGATGCTGCAGGCGGTAATTTCTCTACTTACCTTATTATTTAACGTTACTAAGTCCATTAATATATCTCGTATGCCTTAGTCTTGATGCAACTCACAGCGTCCACCATAAGTATTGGACATGCATTTCCACTAGAATCAGTTATAAATGGATGGCATCACATAATTAATATCTATTTCCGAAATTCCAAATTCCAAATTACAATCAACACCAGTCTCATGATAAGCATCCGTTTTTTCAGGATAATTCCTTGTATTCCGCTCAGTAACTCAGCTTATCACGCTACCCCAGATTCTATTTGCAAACGCACGCCTTAAAGATAGATAATCATACAGTAAATAAAAATAGTTGCATCAAAGCGCTTTTCGTTCGGATTATTTTGTATACCCAGGAAAAAAGTGGGTGGAAAGTGCACCTTGGGGAAAACTTGGCAACGTCAAAATACGTTTAAAAATGCTTAGACTGCAAAAATTAAATTTCCACAAAATTTACGCGCTGACAACTCAGAAGCACATAACTTGATTTGGAAGTGAATTAAAACTTGGGAACTAATAATTTCGACCCAAAAGATGGCGCCACACTTATCGAACAATTTCCGCACAACTTGATTTCGTTTGGTTAAAACACGTTAACTACAACATCAATTCAAGAACTCTGTTGTCTAGAATTGAGTATAATTAGCATTGAGTTGCGTTCTCTGATTTTATTTACTTAGAGACAGTTAATTTATTTTTGATTTGATACAAAATATACTCTTTTAGTCGTTACACTCAAACTCTTGCTTTCTGCGAAAATTGTTTTTTTAAAACGTTTTTTATCTACTTCTTCTACTACTACTCTACTATCGAACTACTTCTTCTACTGCTATGTACTACTTAAACCAATATGGAACCATACTAACTACAAAACTACTTACATCTTCTACTATTCTACTATAACTACTCTAATTACAACTCAACTACAACTACTACCTATATACTACGAATTTACAATGAGGTAAAGTATAAGTATAAAGTATATAAATTATTAAAAACAACATAGACAACTAAAGAAAAACCAATCGCATACCCAAAACGAAATATAACTTGTAATATACACATACCTGTTTGTAATCTCTTGATATGCCCCAGTTAAGTCTTCAAAAGTTAAGTGTACAGAGTTGTTTATAAAATGTCGACCAAACACCTTACACTCGCTACTATGATAATCCACACTGATAAGCAGACATTTTGACACATGTGAGTACTACAATATATTCCTTTAAATGGAATATATGGTTATGGTATACTCGTACAATCAGTTTAAATCGGGAATAACTGCCATTTTCAACTGACCGACGCACCTGCCAAGATATGTAACACCATAAGGTGTTGTGCAACCCCTTTGATATTAGTTTCAAGCCACTGGAAAAGACAGAGTTCAGATGCTAATTCACGTATTGCTGGTTGGCTTGCGTGGCTCGGGTGGATGAGGAGTAACGTTGCTAGGATCCGGGAATAAATTATGTATATTAAAAATTCCTTAAATATCCCTGAGCCGAGTACAGACCAAAATATTTGCATGCGGCTGTCCGGCCTTCAGCCCACACGATGCGAAGCTGTGCATTTTTGACAAATTTTGCCGTTTGCTGGCATGACGTCGCATTCCTAACGTGCCTGCAAAGGGTCTCCGGGTGGAAGTGGCATTATAAGAAAGGGTCGTGTGCAGGCGGTGAAATGCCTCCGTCCGCCCAAGAGCCCTGAGCGCGAAGAGTCCGTCCAGCCAAGATGGTCCGAGCAGCCAAAGGCGCAGCGTCGGCTTAATTTCACACACAAAACACTTGCACACGCCCACGCCTTCTCACTTGAGCACATCGCAGTCATAAGTAAATATCGGGCCCTTTGAGGCTGTTAAATTATAATTACGGGCGGAGTGTGGTAGTTGCTATCAGCGACAATGACAATGAAAACATTAGCAGGAAGGCGTATGGCATGCCTCCGGTTCAGCGATTAAGCCAGTGTCTCCTTGGAAGTCGCACGTAGTCGCACACATGCCTCGGGATTCCTGATCAACCTCCGTCCTCTTCCTTTTCCTGCCATTTGCACGCAGCCGTCCCTTTGACCCAGATGCGTAAAAGACGGTGGCGGTTTCGGGGTCCAGGGAAGCTCAGCGGGCTTGAACCGGATTAAGCAAGAAAATAATTTGTCGTTCGTGCCCTTTCACCAACTCCTTACGGAGAAGGCAGCAAAAAATTACGCAGCCTAGTCAAAGGGGACGAGGGTGAAAAAAATACTTGACACAAATGAGCGAGCTCCGCCCCTCCCCCCATTTCCATACCCATATACACAAATGGGAGTGCGGGGTTGGCCTCTGTCACAATAAAAATGGAAATGGAAGTGTAATGTAGTATTCCTCGACGAGCGTGTGTATTAAGTCGAATAAATGTCACCCGACCAGCATCCGCAGCCACATCCTCCGGCACAGACCCTGCCATCCGCCTAGGTTGGGGCTTAGCCCTATACTTATGGCTGTGGGTAAGACAATTACGCTGGCTCCGTGGGTCCTCCTTGGGCTCGTCCGCGTTCCATTTGCGCCCTGGCCTCGCCACGTCGTCATCATCCGGTCGCGCTGACGTGTTGGTATTCAAAACAGCAGCCGAAGCAATAAAACGCACTCTAGGGTTTATCCGAGGGCTGCGGCTCGTATATCAGACTTATGACTTCTGCCAAACACTTTCTGATGTATTGTGGGGGAGGGCCATCCCTCATCCCTCATTCCTCATCCCCCATAGCCATCCGATCCCCTGGCCGGGCTCAAGCCTAACCCGGCCCAGCTCCTCGTGGCAGATAGGTATTAAGTACCCTCATTTCGCCCATGACACGCAGCGAAAAGTAAAGCTTTTAACGGCAAAAAATGAAATGAATGGAGGCAAGAAACCCCAAGAACCAACAACCAATTTGTACGGACTGGCCGACAGATTTTTCGGGCTGTCAGGAACATTTCTCATGCAAATTGAAAGCTTCCGCAGCCTTAAAGGGCCATCAATGGCCCTCGCTAACGGGTTGTCCATTTCCATTGCCATTTCCATTAGTGGGGAGCAGCAATAGAAAATAAAGAGGAACGGAGGGCCAGGAATGCCGGGCCACTGTCGGAGAAGAAGTGCGTCTTGCCCGAGCGGTGTTAATTATGTCGGCATGATAATTGCATTACAATAGGCTTGATTAGTTTTTAATTGAATTGTGCACTTATTCAGGGGCCATCTTGAATCTGCAACTGGAGTCGAGTTTTAAGGGGTTTTGGCCATCAACTTTGAGGGCCAAGTTATGTCCATAACAGGCACAATCGCATTCGCCACTTGGTGGGTGTGGGAGTGGGTGATCAGCACACATAAAGCAAAGGGGAAGTTCGTAAAGTTCATAAAGTTCATAAAGCAAATTACGAAAGTCCCATAAAAGCGGTCCTCTCCTGCTCCTGCTCCTGGCTTCTGTTCCTCCTGCTGGGAGTGTCGGCTATTTGACACCATTTCGGCAAATCAATTTTTATTATAAAATGCGTTGACTAATTTATGAAAACAATAAATGCGTCTGCAAATCAAGTCACAGTCACCCTAAAAAGTTCATTCACAAAGCCATTCGCCAAATTGATGACTATAAATTCAATTTAATGTGCGATGCCTTTTGCACCCGCCAAGCGAGAGAGACGGAGCGCCGCGAGAGAAGAGCCGAGTGTGGTCATCCCATCCGTCATCCCCGACGACGTTCCCCATCCGCCCCATGAGCCCGGGAAGCGCTCAAGAGCAGCGAGCAGCGAGCAGCGAGCATGGAAATCGCGATTCTGCGCCGTCGCCGTCGGCGGCAGCGGTGCTGCGTCTCTGTCGCCACTCCATAGCACCCATTGGAGCGGGCAGAGAAGCTGGCTCGCTGCTCCTGCCAGCATCGCCGAAATCAGAGCCAGGACCAGAACGGGACTCAAGTCCGCTGGCAAGTGCGCAGGCGCAGGACTCGGGGGCGCTGAAATCTCGGCTCGTCCGACGTCGGCGTCGACTGCGACGCGACTGCGGCAGCCTGCACGGCGCCAGGACATAAAAGGCCGCGCCAGGACTGCCAGCACTCCTACTCCGGGTTCGCACTCCTGCGGCTGAAGTTCGCTCCGCCTGTCGCGGCGTCTTTGGCTTCCTGCACTCAGTTCGTGGGCACTCGTGGTCGCGCTCGCACTGCACTTCGGGCAGCCGCTTGGATCGATCGAAGCGGCCATGGCAACGACGCCACTGGAAGGGCCACCGCCACCCTCGTCGCCACCGCGACTGCGGCCGAGTCAGTGTGTCAGAGTTGCAGCTCCTGGCTGAGGCCGAGACGTGCCAGTAGTGCCAGCGTCGGCCGCGGCAACGGTTGCATCCACATCCACTCGCTAACGGAGGCGGAGACGAAAACGAAGACGGAGACGGTGACGGGGACTGAGACCAGACCAGAGAGCTCCACGACGGACAGATAGCAGAGGCCAAGAGCGCCCTGAAATCATGAATTTCATTGGTATGAAGCCCAACTCAGGTCTAAACCACAGTCTGCCTTTCAACCAACACTGCCTTTCGATTTCCGGTGGCGGACTCCTTGACTTCGACTACTCCCTCTGAACAAAACACTGCCACCACTCCACCAAACTACTACTACTCAACTCGCCACAACACACAAACGCTGTCACTCTTTCCGAATCTGTGTCCCATGTAAGTCTTTGCCAGCGAACAGCGATTCGCTTTCGTTTATTCCTTTTCACCTCAATCGGCCATACGTAACACAGCCCATCCGCGAGCATATGCTGGCACTAGGTGCTGGTGCAACTGGGACGGGAAAAATCAATCGATGGGGGCTTAAGGGGGAGACCTCGAGTGGTTGCAGGCCTGGCCTATCGATTTTTAACACCAGCGCTGGCGGCAGCAGAAAGTTCAAGGTCCGGCGGTCCGATGCTAGAGGGGATTGCACCACTGCGGGGGGCGAAGAGGGCATCACCGGGACGGCACTGGAATGCCTCGGCGAACTCCCGCGAGTTGCGCAGCGCGGCGTGGGTCACCTGCCGTTTCCGGTCCTGCTGCAGAGCTCCCAGCTCGGAGCGGCAGTCGGCGAGCAGGCTGCCCACGAAGAAGAGCTTCTGCAGCGACATCTTCGTCCTGCCGGCGGCCAGGAGCCTCTCGATCCTCTCGTGCAGCGGCGACCGGGGAGGCAGCGCCTGCTTGAAGCCACTCAGCGCCTGCCCTTGGGCCAGCAGCTGCAGGAGGAGGTCGTTGGTGTCCGCCTGGCCGGCGGTGCACTCCTGGAAGACGCCGAAGCGCCGCTCCGAGTCCAGACTCCGCCAGGCGCCCGGAGTGCGGGAGCTGCTCCCCGCGGTCACCAGACTCCGCGAGAAGAACTCCCCGAGCAGCAGGTAGTTCAGTGGCGTACTCAGGTTGCGCTGGTCGAGCAGGCCACTGACCGTGGCGAACTCCTGGGCGAACTGGCGCACCTGCTGCGAGGACTGTGAGGCCGGTTGCCGCCGGCGCTGGAACTGACGCAGCTTCTCCAGGTTGCGGTACAGGTTCCGGCGGCCCAGCAAGGTCGAGCGGTAGGCGGAGGCCAGTTGCTCGTCTCCGTCCAGGGTTAGGTGGATGACGCTGCCCAGGAAGTGCTGCGAGTTCTGCCGGGAGATCTCGTCGACCCAGACACTGCCGGCCAGCTGATCCGCGTAGGCCTTCCCCAGCGCTGAGTACATCTGGGCCAGTTCCACCCGATCCGCTGTGACTCGCTGCACAACGTGAGCGTAGAGATCGCCGGCATAGGTTTCCGCCAGCTGGTGACAGTCGGTATCGGCGATATCTGAAAAGAAGGGAATGTCTTTGAATACTGCGTGTAAGGGAAGCTTCACACAAAAAAATTAGCTTTGCGAAGGTTTCATTTAAGCATTACAATTACTTGTTAACTATCATTCACTCACTCCGACTTACAAAAATATTTCAAATCGAATCAACCCGATTGTAGGAACTTACTAAATCGAAATGGTAAGTGAAAGCCTATTAATCGATTATATAGACATTCGTAATTAATATGGAAGATTTGCTGATTATCAAGCACAGCGTAGAAGATGACCAATCAGGAAATAAAAAATAAAAGTGGGACATCTCGTTCACTTTTTTTTTTGTCAAATATGAAAATAGATTTTTAGTAACATGCGGAGCACTCTTCATATAACGACTTTGCGGTTGTTTTATTTTAGCCTCACACTTTAATAGCAGAAGGATATAACCTAACGAAAGTTCTTCAGAAGAGATCGACAGAAAATGTTAACTAATGAACGGTATACAAAATCTACTTTAACTCAACTCACACACTTGGCTTAACAACTCTTTTCACTCTATTTTCACTAGTTCAAGAGATCCTCGAGTTCAGATTAGAACACTTCCTCGTTCGATATTTTTGAGAGACTTAAGTCTACGTAGAATGAACTGATGGCTATTCCATAATAACAGTTAGAGTCATAGGCTCATTATTCCAACGGAAATCTGAACGAAGTCCGTAACTACTCAGTATACGCACCCATCAAGTAGTCCGTCCAGATCCAGTTGAGCAGTCGCACCATGCTGGTGTTCTGGAGCAGCACCAAGTAGTCGACCAGTCTGGGCAGTTGTTTGACCACGACCGTGTCGCCGGGCTGAGGCGTTTTGCCGCCCAGGAACTTCCTGAAGTAGCCATCCCAGTCCAGTCTGGGCAGCGAGGCGTTCCCGAAGGCGCTGCGCTTGAAGTTGCCGTAGCTGAACTGGACCTGGTCCTCGATGTGTTCCGCCTTGACTATCTCCCGCCGACTGCGCTCCAGGCTGAGCACCTCGAGGGCGGCCACGTGGGCGCGGCTCTGTTCGATCCCAAAGCTCTGGAGGACCTCGCTCACGCGCTGCTCGAACTTCCTCAGAGTGTTGCGCCGCGTGGTGTCGGGCTGGAGCACAACCAGGCGCTTGTTCGACTGCATGGTGACCACCGTCTCGAAGAAGTAGGGCGCCCCCATCTCGTGGAAGTGCCCGAGCAGCGCCAGCCAGCTCTGGGTTTGGTTGGTCCGCTGACTGGCGTTGGCCTTGAGTGGCTCCAGGGCGGGCCAGCCCCCGCTGAGCCTGAATAGCTGCGAGCCCTTGAGCGCCTCTATGCCGCGCCCAATTTCGCAGGACCTGAAGAAGTTCACGAGCTGCACCTCCATGTCCATCAGCTGCTCGTTGTCCGCCTGCTTGAGGAAGCTCTGGACCCGCTGCCGACCCGTCTGGCTGAGGTTGGCACTCCGCGAGCAGACGTAGCTGTAGAAGTCCTGGCAGGGCTGCTTGCTGGTGTCCAGGTACTGCTCCAGCTTGTAGGAGAAATGCAGCAAGTCGTTCTCCACCCTGGCCATCTTGGACGTGGTGGAAAGGCTGTCCTGGCCGCGGGCGAGGCCAGCCACCCACAAGATGGTCAATACTCTCGAAAGCATATTCCTCGAATTGCTAGTTCCGTGGCGGCTCAAACTGAAATAAGCCCGCCACAGTCCACTGTCTCTGCCGAAGGCACCGGGCCTTGTTTCGCTCCTCGAAGGTCGGAATGGCAAAGGTCGTCGCTAATACGTTGGCACACTTCCGCGCTTCTGCTTCCAGACTGGGCTGTGCCTAAATCCCAACTAATCGCGTTCCCAACCGTTTCCCCTGTCACTGACAGTGGCAATGTGGAATGGAAATAGAATGGGAAATGGAAATGGAAATAGAAACGTTAAACACTCGAACTGATAACCCGGCGGGCGATAATGAGTCAAGCTGCTGGACGGGCTTTTAATCAAGTGTGTCAAAATGTCAGGCTTTGAATGCGATCTAAAATTGGTCACGGCCGATTTTGAATTAATCAAAAGTGGAACTTGCTTAGATTCTAAGGCTGTATTTTTCAAAAGACTTTCCCGAAATCGGTTTTAATACGTACCCGCTAGAGGAACAATTTGAAGTCCCCGGCTAACCCTTTCATTCTGTCATTCTTAAACAGGCGCTGTAGGAGGTGATGGAGGCGATGATGGCGACGACAAGGAAAAGGCAGAGGAGGAGGAGAGGGAGCGTCAGGAGGCCATTAAAGAGGCCGAGGACCGGCGCAAGGAAAAGCACCGGAAAATGGAGGAGGAGCGCGAGAAGATGAGGCAGGACATTCGCGATAAGGTAAGTGGCTGGGTCTTTGTGAACTCCGCAAATACTGTGAATTAGTCTTACATTACGCGAAAACGACTTCCTGCCGCAGTTCAAATTGACTCTAGTAGGGAGTCCTTTTCATGAGCGACTCCCTAACGGAGTCAGATTGATCTACAAAGGAGAGAGACAACAAGGAGCAGCTGCCAAAAGTGTTAGCCGATAAGAAAGTAGACTCTAGCCAGCACCCACCGATCTAATTAACCTGTTGATCTACCAATTCCCACTAACCATTTAGTACAACATCAAGAAGAAGGAGGAAATCGTGGAGGCGGCGCCCCAAGAAGAGCCCAATCCCCTGATGAGGAAAAAGAAGACGCCCGAGGAACTCGCCGCCGAAGCGGAGCAGGAAGAGCTCGACGATTTTACAAGTAAGTTATCGCTGTCGTTGTCGATCCAGGTCAACTTTTTGCTCAGCCACTGGCATCTGTCTACTGCTAATCTACCCACCAATGGGACGAGCCTTCGATCGCTCCTTTTCCGTAACCGTATTCGCTTTTGAGTTGTCTTTATTTTCGTTTCCAACTACTTTGCCGGCGGCTCACCCGAGTCGCGCCTAGTCCAGACAATACCTAAACATGTTGACTAACAGCTAAAACCAGAACCAAAACCGATTAAATATCAGCTAAATACTCTACGGCGCTCGAAAGTAGTAACTGTGTTTATGTTTGTGCATCTGTGTGTCTCTCGTATCTAAGTGCAATCGAACTATACAATATAACTCTCTGAACTGCTGTCCACTAACCAAGCTATCTATCTATCTATCTGTACTCTTTTCCATGTGCGCATAATATCTAAGCCCTAACCTAACTCTAATGCTAACTCTAACTGCAACCCTTTCTGTCTAAGATCTAATCTTCAAATGTAATGCAACGACGAGTATAACCATTGTCAAATACATTATTATATAACAAGTGTGCACACCATTCACATATTTCATTTTATTCAGTTTCTGAACTTGTGTTACGAATTACCATGTAAATGAGAATGCCCCGGAGAAATCTCGGGGCACTTACACAATTTTGTTAGTTTCTTTTTTCTATTTACGTACTTACATACATCAGTTGATATTAATTCTGGGTAAACACTGAAATTAATTAATTGGTATTAGCAGACAACGTAATTGTACTTAGGTTTTGTGTTATTCAATTAATTAGAATAAGGTAAGTGCGACCATCCGTAAGCTCGTATATTTTCCTTTTGTGTGGTAATCTTGTTGTAATACATTCGTATTCGAGAACTACTCTTTCGCCTCCCACACCACCAACAAAACCAATTTTTGAATACTCTCGCTCTTTTATCTATACCGCCTGTTCTCTGTAAATTGTTCTGTACAATACTCAGCATAATAAGACGAATCCTAAAAACCAAGTGTTGCTTTGCCCACCACAGGAACAATAAAACATTGAAAACTAATTTAGGACCACTGTAAAATGAGAATTTAATTAGGTTAGAAAAATTAGCTGCCGGGGTTACAAAATTACATGTCAAATTATTTTCTGTATTATTTGAAACATAATTCTCACCCAATGCACTTTTATTATACTAATAGCGCCTATTATTTTCCATCTAAAAATAAACACTAACAGAAAACTTGTGCTTGTGTCCTTAACTGCATTTTTAAACTAAACACTCATAACAAAAGTAAATAAAACTCAACTTTAAACCTAAAATAACTAAAAAACTTCTACGGTAAATGGACAAGAAACAAATACATAACTTTTTCCCTCTCGTTTACTCTTTCCCTTCAATATGAGTGCTGTATGTATTTTACATAATGCAAAGTCTTATGCAAAATATATATACTGCTCATGTACTGCATATGTATGTGTATTTCCTCCGCACCGAATTCTACATCTTTATCATTACTTATCTCTCTATATCACTCTATAAAACATCTAACTACTACTATACCTATAAGTCTGACTTTTACTTTGACGAAAACAGAAACACGACTTCTCTACAAGTAATTGCTTATTTGTTATGATTTTTACGATTCGTATACGAACGCTAAAAAAAGCTTTACAATTAATTCCCGTGAATATCTTACATAACAGTTACAGCTACAGTAGACCAGTTACAGTACAAAAGCATTCATGAATACATATACATACCAGTTAACATGTCAAACATTTGTAGTCTACTCTACAAAATACGCTTATTTATTGCTGTTTCCATACTCAATTTCTTTTACAGAACTGAAAAATCAAATAGAAACGCAAGTAAATGAGCTAAAAACTCAAATAGAGGGAAAATGTGTCATGCAGTGATATGTCAGTCATCATAATATAAAAATAATTAAATATAATGAAACAATGCAAATAATACTGATAATAACATTTAACCCATAAAAGGAAATTGATTTAACTCGACTCGAAATTGGATTTATTAATATGAGATCAGTTAAGTTATATTGGAAAGCATAAACGAAACGAATTAAACCCATTGCAAAGCTAAAGCCTAAAAAACTGTAACCCGGCGGCCACATAAACCTATTAAACGTTAAATCCCAAATCGATGACAGCTATAATCGGAAGCAGATATGCGAAATCAAAATGCGAACAGGACGGTGAACTCCTAATGAATTTTAAAGTAGCTAAAAAATAAACCAAATTATTTAAAGCCCAACTATAGTGAAAGCCTTTAATAATATTCAAATCACTTTGCTTCGATAATAATGTAATATACTCAAACCCAATATACAATACATAATCGTTGTTTAGTTGATAACATACAATAACATAACGATCTAATGAATATATCGAATCGGCTTGATGACATTCGAACCCAAATAGAAACGAGTAATAATGAAACAAATAAATAATAGAAAACCAAAAAAAAAGAAACCAAACAAAAAAAATTAAGCGAATGGTGCGACAGAGGAGGCTGCCGAATCATGTCGAACCGTCGAAGTATGTTGCTGAAATCACTTTGGACTTGAAATCCATCTACTTATATTAGTATGAGTGAAGAATGATTATGAATTAAATCGGCGAAAATGTTGAAATCGTCATTCAAATATATATATACACCCGTTATGTATATATGTAAATTTTATGAATTTAACCACGAGTAAATTATTATACTTGCAAACGAATTGACTGCAGATACGTTGAAATTATTGCTGATTCTCCAAATTGTTTACCAAAACCCAGAAAAGAAAACTATAAAAATAAAAGAAAAAGTTTCAGTCAGTTTGTTTTTGAAAGTTCGAGACAAAACATCTTTAACAGCTGTTACATTTTGTTTCTTTCTTATACAAACAACATACCCACACTACAATTGAGAATTTCTAACTATTTGAGAAAGTTAAATATCTCTCTGATTGATGCTTCTGAAATGTAAGTAAATAAGATTACCATATTCCTATATACTCTACCTTACTAAAATATAACCAACAATACCGGCCTTAAGTTTCATTTCTTATTTATTTGTATTCATACCGGCTGAGTTTTGATCAAATTACGGCTATTCCGTAGGAGATATTGTATAACAATATATGTATATCGATAATATATTGTAGTAGCCACTTAGACAAGGACAATAGCTTATAAGAGATGCTAGGCAGTTCGAGAGCATAATGCTGTGATACATTTAGCATACATTTTTCACCGATAGCCCACAGGCCTCCAAGCGAGATTCAGAGCCCCAGAATCTGGAAGAGAACAAAAAAAACATGCATGCAAGTCGGCTACAAGAAACAAAGACACCAAAACATACGACATATGTATATAAGTCTTTCCACCAAATACCCTTTACAACGCTGAGACCAGGCCGCAACCAGATCCGTCGTCTGCTCTTATTTTCCGCTTGTGAGGGGAAGAAACACATCTGATTACATGCCAACTCCCACATACCCTACATTTTCGCACATGGAATCTTTTCAGTGCTGACAAAATTGTATATACTTATACGTGTGTCTTCAACGGAGACTTTCCAAGGTACATATCGCATTATCGTATGCATGGATGTACGTACAACAGATCGAGCCGTTTCCGTTCTAAATCGAGGCACTTGTCACGTCCGACTGCACTGTTCTGATCCCAGGTTTCCATGAAATGATCTTAGAGATGAAGGACGATCCATCTTTAAATGGATTTCAGTTTGCATGCGATTTGTGACGTGAACGGCTCTTGTGTGTGTTATCAATATCTTCATATCACCCATACACACATGTATGAAATGTGCCACATTTTGAACATTGCCCTCCCTGACTGTAAAATCAACTAGTTGACTTTAATAATAATAACCCACATATTCAATGAGTTTAGATGATTCTTGCAGTCGGAAAGGACATTTGTGCTCCGGGTAACCGGATATACATAGCTTCCAAGTCGAATATCTTTTTTTAGTCATATTAAACTAACTAAACTAAACTAAATATACAAATAATAATAAATGTTTTAATCACACTGCATTCTATATATATATATCTCTCTCTCTCTCTTTCTCTGTTGTCTCTCTCTCTTTCTCTTCTTTTGTTTTAAAACACTCTCTTTTAAATCTTTAATCTGCGCCACTTCTACTCTGCCTCAAATTCTATATCTGAAAACAACTTGAACAACATTTGCAACAACACGAAACAACAACAATATCGACTATTATAACAACAACAACAACAACAATTCTACCAATTCTTCACAACTACGACTTGATGGTCCCTTTTAGACATGTACTCTCGGTGTTTAATTAATATCATCAACAACAACAACCAGAACAACAGCACAAGAAAACGCCTACAGCCAGTACAAGAACAACATCAACATCAACTACATCTACTACCGAAGTATCTTAATGTGTACCATAAGAGATGAACCATGAACTATTCAAGCAAACAATAGAAGCTAACAACTAGCTACATGAACAACAGCATCAAGCCAACATTTCCTACCATATTTCTGAACGTTGTGAATTAATTTGGATGTGGGTTGTCATTTAAACACACTCACCAGGTCACACACACACTTGGTCACTAGTCACATGCATTCAAACGGCTTTATGGTGTTGTAAATGTTAATAATTATGTACAGATCCAATAAATACCGACGAAATATATGTACAACCTGCATTATTAGTTGTGTTAAATAATGAAGCTTACAATGCCACGTTCTGTATCACCGGTAAAGAGCTAACATCCAAATCAGGAACAAAATTCTTTAAAACTCATGTCGAACTATCAGGTTAAGCTTCGACCGATGTTTCCGTTATAACGAATTCTCAATTTCTTGTTTTACACATATCGGTAAGGCAGCAATAAAGTTAAAAGGCCTAACGCCCCTCTCTGTCAACCTAAAAAAGCAATCCTCTAGTGCCCCTCGCTCCATACAAAGTTAGGAACGATCTAACTAATGAACGAATGCCTTAACGTGGCTCAGATGACTAGACCATGAGTAGCGAATAGATGATGATAAGAAAGGTGATCCTACCCTTAGGAAAGGTACTTGCAATCCCTAGCTTTGTTTCCCTTATCCTTATCCTTATCGCACTCCTGTTACTGAATCCAGATATCTTAGCTATGATCTTTTCGAACTCGAAACTATAAAATCTATATAGTAATGGCTTTCTAAATACTTATAGAAAATGTTTACCTAGATTCTACTATATCTATTCTGTTTTTCTCTCAGATACTTATATGAAGTTGAAGGTCACTTAATTGTTTAATATATTAAATAAACGAAAACGAAGAAAACCAACACAACTAATTGAAACATATTATTCAATCATAACCAAGTTTTTAACGTAATCATAAATGTTTAAAATGTTAAATGGTTCAGCCGATTTTATTTAATTTATAATTTGTTAATATTATGTTACCGTTAATGTTACAGTAATAAAATTGTAATTATATGTATATCAGAAAGTTCACGAAACCACAGATAATTAAACATTATTATCTATATATATATGTATATGTGTAACTTAATAGGGAAATGAATTTAATAGAGAAACAACAGACAAAATTATGAATAATAATGTTGAAAAGAATACCATTCAAGTCATTATTAGATGTGAAAGACGTTCTATACACAACAAAGGAATAAACAAAACAGAAACAAAACAAGAACAAAAACTTAAGAAATCGTTAATAGTTGATTAATTATATTGTTACTTTGAACATTTAATTAAAACAAACAAAAACAAAAGAAGGTATAATAAAAAAATATATATGTATAAATATATATGAGAAAACACAACAATACATTTGGTTTTAATTCCGAGTCGGCCACTATCTTCAGGCGCCACCATTGCCGTAATCCTACACTCCATGCGACCAAATACATGTCCTAACTACACTCTGCCTGCCTGATATCTGATACGTATAGCGAACTTGATTTGGCATGACTGTTGGTCTATATGTTTTTCTATCTATGTGTACCTGTACCTGTCTCTCTTTCCTCTGTCTCTCTGTATCTGTCATTATCGATCTGTCTATCTATGTCTAACACTGCTCCTCCAAGTGCCTGTCTTGCAGTTTAAAACAGTCCACACCTGAATCCACGTACATCCGTGAGTTTCAATGTCAGAATCACATCGAAAAGCCGATATCCTGCTGCCTACTTTTGCTGTGCTGCAAAGCCTTCTAGCCTGCTGAAGACACTGTAAAAAAGTGTTTAGGAATTAACAGTCCTATAAATCTTATAAATACCCCTTGCCCAGACCTTTGTGAATTCTCCTCAAGGAGTTACCTACGCAATCGGAGGCATCTTCAGGTTAGGCATCAGACGAGTAAGTATGTACTTATATATGAAAAATGTTAGATTTTCCTAGGCTATGTAACTTTTTGTTGTGTACCCGCCTACTCCATCATCCGGCAAAGGTAAGTAATGGCTTGGCCAATCAATTTCGTGCCCATACCTCACCACACAATACCTCAGAACCACATCTGTCTCAACCACAGTCAGAAATACACCCACGTCCACTTCAAATCCCACAGCCACTGACGAAAAGTTTATGACCACAGCAAATTGAAAGAAAATCCATTAGGGAACAAATTTCTTTCTTCGCCCACTCGGAGGGTGAAAACAATAAAACTCAAAACAAACTCTACCCTTTCATTTTTATAATTTTTCTGCCCTTCGGTTTTTATGCAGTTTAACTTGTCAATTTCGTAGGCAGTTTTTCTAAGCTGTTCAAACTTTACACTGGGTTTGCGAACAAATTAACTGATTTTGTCTTGTTTATACTTTCAGCCAAGTTGAAAAAACGTCTTAGCGATGCTTTTAAAAATTGCCCATTGAGAAACTTGTTCTGAACAAAAGTCTCAAAGATGAGAGTCATGCCACGATTCGGTTTCGGTTTCAGATTACACGAATACGCAAATGCGAATATGTGTAAAGGTGTATACATATGTGGAAGAGTAAAACTAAGTACCCTACTCTTTTCAACCCTTCAACGTGCATTACCTGCCAGCTATACTAACTTGTGTCTAAACTGGGCTTACATCGATCGATTTCCAAATGCGGATACACTTATACCCAACTAGCCCTATTGCCTGTATTGTAATAACCCAACTAAAAGACAATTTACGGTCCCCTCTTTGAGAAAGTTGTAGATGGACCCAAGCGTGAGAAACGGCGTTTTAGTATTAGCACGTTTGGAAATGTTGAATATTTGAGTAGTAGTATAACTATTTTAGTTAAGCGCTAAGCAACGCACATTGATGCAATGAAGCAGTTAGTTCCTTTATACTTGATACGAAACGGGCTATTTTAGAGTTGGCTCGACTTCGGTTACTCCATAGGCACAACGATTAAAGGATACCAAATTACGATACACCTACAAACACTGACTAGAAGGAATCGTAGAAACCAAATGTGAAATCAGAAATAAATCAACAACGACATTAGTTTAGAGCAACTAGAATAGCAAATTCGCCGCATACCCAGAGTCTTTCAACGGTGCTAAGGGCACTTTCTAATAGCATTCATGTATGACTACGAGTAATATAGGTGGCTCGAATGTTTTCGTTGTTTGCCAAGTAATTCATAAGATTTTTAAAGTACCTGAAATTCCATTGACCCTACTGGAAGTCTAGCATTAGGTTAAGGTCCTTAAAAACAATATCACGTATTGCTGAATGCAAACGACTTCTTGTTTGTTTAAGATCTGCTCAACGATAAGTGCGTATTTCTACAAACTTTTCACATTTCACATAGACCACTTACTATATGATAGAACAAAAATGCTTGTTTCGGCTTGCCGATGCGAAAATATATTTTCCAATGCGTTCCATCCGATACGCCGATTAGCCAGCCAGCTTGGCTAAATATTCATTATGGTTGGCATCATTTTAAAAGGAATTGGAAAAGAAGAATTGGTTTTAGCATCAATCATTTAAATAAAACAATCATATCTTACCTAAACGATTTCGTGTCTTAATTTTAAATATTACATGATTTTACAATTTAAATTATATATAATAATAAGAGAATAATTCAAAGGAAAAGGCAAAAAACAGATATCAGAAGTAATTATATAGTCTAAGTATATATAATTTACATACCAAAACGACCGACTGAAATTATTGTTAAAAGTTTTATGAACTATACTTGCATATTTACATATATTGATATGATCAAGTAAATGAATAAATAAAGAAATATATATACAAGAAATTCATAATAATATATTAAAGTTTCTATACCCTATCAATCATAAATTTGCGATTCAATATATACATGAATACTTAAATTTAATTATAGACGAATAAAATCAAATTTTAAAGATGTCACAAGGAGCATGCCCAAGTCAAATAAGTTATCTAGGACCATATACAAGTAAATCGAATTCGAACAACAGTTTTGACATGTCACATGTGCATCAAGCCATTACTTATAATATCATAAAAACCACTGTCGAACACCTATCATCTGATCATATCTTTCCTGTTTTCGTTTCAAGCATTCAATTTTAAATCAAGGCTACTTTTAAAAGCAGGTATTAGAGCGCCTCGCCTATGATGGAGTATAATTTAAAATTGGCAATTGTTCGAAAGTTCATCCTTAAATGTCCCTGCAAAAACCAAAGCCAGTCTATTAATACCAGCTTAGCAAGTTATCGAAGTTCAATTTAGCGTTCTTGCATTTCGAAAAACTTTTCAAGAAAGTAATCTAACCAATGCCAATGGTCCTGTCGAACAAATATAACCCATAGGCCAAAAGTTCTTGTAACATGTACTTAGCATTCTTGCCATGGCAAGTGCGAGGCAAACCATTGCCGTAGCGATTACCAGTATTGTACGAGTTGAATTAATTATATTGTATTGCATTGTAATATGTTGTATTGTATTTACTGTTGAATTGTATTTTAATATAGAACGAGTTAATTTCCAATAAAGAGTTTTTAAATGCATTATGAAAAAACTCCAGGAATGCCGCATTTTTATTTTCATTGCTCGGATGGCAGTTGTTTCACCGTCACGAATTCGAACTTAATAAAGGCCAAATGACCCCACATCCTCCATCTTCTCCCCACCGCAAACCATTCCACGCACATCTTCCATTGTAGGAAGCCGTTATTGGAATTCGGTAAAACTCTTCCTTAACAATCCACGCTGCTGTCGTTTTGCGGGCCGCATTGTTTAGACATAAAATTCCCAAGTGTTTGGAATTCAGAGACTTCTCTGTGCCGGATGACTATGACTATGCTGTCGTTGCGCCACGCTTTCTCCGCTCCCTCTTCTTGGCTTTGTAGACGGCACTGCATCGTAGTTATTATTCCGATATCATCCAAACGTCGGGTCCCATCAAATGAGGTAGAATGGAAAAAAACGGAGAGGGAGATGAACCAAACTTTCTTGGCATGGCTCACGTTCGACAAATCAATACGGAAAGTGCCTGCCATTCCAGCAAAGATGTTTTGCTTAATTAAAAAAGTTCATCGCTATTTCGGTACAATTCTCTGAAAAACGTACATCGTAGCATATTTAAATGCTTCCAATTTGGCCTGTTCATTCTGTTTAAATTTCGTCAAACGCAGGACATTTACCAGGAGTCGCTAGGAACCAGCCCAATGACCAATGTGCGGGAAAACCTGAACCTTATAAATAATGCAGAAAAGGCTTTTAATTATACGGAGGCACTGGGCGGAACACACAACTCAACGTCCGAGTACTTTGCAATCAGCCAAGTGTGAAAAGCCGTGTTTATTAGCCCAAAACAACGGCATAGGCGACGGCCATACAGTGGCCACCCCAGCTATACAGATTCCGATTTAATTTAATAGGAGTAGCCGGAAGTCCAGCTCAGAGATAAGCCGGAGGTAAGCCCTAATGAAATGCATTGTCAAATGAAATGGTAAAATTGACGACGTCCACTCTTTCTTCAAGTGGCCAATGGCATTAAATCAGCAAACTAATGGCCTCTAAGCAAACGACAGGACGACACGCACCCCCTGAGCAGGAAGATGCCGACTGCCGACTGCTAACTGTGGGGTGCTGTGGGCCAAGTGCTTTCCGTTCGCATTCTGCCCTCTCGATCTCAACTTAAAAGCACTTGTAACAAATTGAAATCATCTATCTTACTTTTCGCATTTATTGAAACCCACACTTACAGCCAATCGCCTGCCCCCAACAGCAATTTTCAATTCACCTCACCGCCCCTGTAAGTGGCGCAATTTGGAGAGTCCCTTGGTTCCCAGATAGCTTGCAACTTAGCATGTGCTTAAGTTAGGCACCCCTGATGCCACAGAAATCGCTTCCGCTAGAAATCCGCTGCATTTTTATTCCGCGGTGTCACAGACTTTGTTTGGATATTGCGAAGTTTATGAATAACCAAAATCTATTAATTAAACAAATTATTAATATAACAAAATTATTATTATATGTAAAATAACACGAATCATTGGTGATTATTTGTAGAGAACTGTTCTTCTGCACAAATTAATTTTACTAATGAAACTTGGTAAAAATTTGTCATTATGGACGATTATATATATCAAGCCTTTGTTATCTGCGTTAGCATCTGCAAACAACATACAAGATTTTGACAAATTTTTGCAACTTTGAGGCCAAATATATTTTCTTGGTCACATCATTGCTGAAAAACCTTTATTAGGCAAAATTTAACCGGCTATCAGATAACCGTTATGTTGTACAGCCATCAAATTGTAAATAATTTAACTAGCCTAATTATTTTCAGTTGCTATAATAGTTTTTGTAAATATCTTTATCCAAATGGACAACATAATTGTAAATTAAAACAAGAAAGGAACTTCTGCTTGCCGAAGTTTATATACCCTTGCAGTTATTACAAAACGACTACATTTGATTTCTATGCCTATATTACCAAAAACAATGAAGCTATGTTGATTTTGCGCTGCATTTTGCCATCGTTTCTATTGCAGTATCAACAATATTATGTTGTCCGGTTTTGACTAAACTAAAAGCGTAATTTTGAATAGTAAATAATTACCATATCTCAAAGGAATATTTTAATAGACAGCAAAACAAAAAAATTAAAATTTTTTTTTTTTTGATTGTTCCTATGGGAGCTATGTGATATAGTCGCCCGATCCCGCTCCTTCGACAGAGGGAATAGTTTGCGTAGAAACAGACGGACGGGGGGACGGACGGTAAAGCTTATAAAAAATTTAAGGGTCGGAAATGTCTCCTTCACTGCGTTGCAAACTTTTGACTGAAATTATAATACCCTCTGTAAGGGTTTAAAAAGAAAAGTCTCAAGCAGTACGTCTTTATTCGGTATGAATTTTATGTCGAAAATATAAATATTTTATTTTCAATTAATCGTCAATGTGCGCTGTTTTAATTTAGCATAAACAAACCTTTAACACCCAACCAAATCTCACGGTGATATTTAAATAGGTGTGGATTAAAATTAAACTATAGATAAATATATAACGGCTTATATTAAATTTAAATTCATTTCAATAAAATTCACCATTATAGAGCAATTATACTTCACAATGTGTTTAAACTTTTTTAAGCCATGGTGCGGTAGCACCTTTTCAACAAGTAAAACAAAAGTAAAACTGATCTTATACAATTCTATGCATGGATAAACATCTAACAATATTGTAAATTAAATGTTATTACACAATTAAGAATTTTGAGTTTTAGGTAATGATAGCTCGCTTTAAAATTAACATTACATTTTCTTAATTACTAATGACTTTTTTCAATAAGATAGTACTCACGCTTTGGCTAAATTTAAGGAAAACTTTTTTATGGAGGTGCCTCAGAAATCGGTGAAAATTTTTCCACCCTAAAATTTCAAAAGCTGTAGTAAAAACTTGAAAATTTGTATTTGCAATAACAAGAAAGGAAAGCTAACTTTGGGCGGAGCGGAAGTTGATATACCATTGCAGAATATTCTGTAAATAATCTTCTCCAAAATTATTCATATGATGCATTCTTATTACTCATAAAAAATCCCAACTTCCTAGCTTTAAAAACACCAAAGTTATGACATTTCCAATCGTTCAGTTTTATGGCAGCTGTAAGATATAGTCTGCCGATCCCGGCCGTTCCGACTTATATACTGCGTGCAAAGGATCGAAGGATGTGTGCAAAGTTTCAATTCGATATCTTTAAAACTGAGAGACTAGTTCGCGTGGAAACAGACAGACAGACAGACGGACATGCTTATATCAACTCAGAACGCGATCCTGATCAAGAATATATTTACTTTATAGGGTCGAAGATGTCTCCTTCACTGCGTTGCACACTTTTGACCAAAATTATAAAACCATCTGCAAGGGTATAAAAAGTTTGCGCCAACTCTAAAATTTGTTCGTAATAAGACCCAAAATTACATTTAAGACACAAAAAACTATTATTTTATTATTATAGCTTCAAGGTGATAGACCCATCGTTTTATACAATATTTTATTTTTGGGTATATAAGCCCCTTGTAGCAATTACAATAATAAAATATTCTATAAACAACTATATTTATTTTTTAAACATAGATCAAATAATTTTTTCTTTGAATTAATAATTAATAAATTTGCTCCATACGTATTGGCATTTATTAAAGGTTAAACTAAATTTATGGAGTGGTGAAATTAAATTAAATGTGTCCACTTTATTAAAAAATGATTCTTTAAATTTAAAAAAAACAGCTTTTACCATTCAAAGTCTACGTGAAAGATAAAATATTTATTTATAAATATATTTTATTACTCTCCCAAATTTACAAAAAGAATAATACTTGTGGTTTGTAATATTATATATCAGAACGCCATGTTTGGTTCTGAACAACATTTTTGGTAACATTTTTATTCTTCCGTGGTTGGATCCAATGCTGTTTTCCGATTTGTTTAAAACAGGGGTGTCACAGAAATGTCTTTTATCAAAATTCAAGCCCAAAACCAAATACCGGTTTAGCAGATGTCTCTTTTGGATTAATTAAAATCGATCGTTCGTTGCAAGAAAGCTGAGAGGTAACCATTCGCTTTGCTGTTTGACAGTTAATTTAAATTTGTGATTTTAATACCCGTTACTAGTAGAGTAAAAGGTATGTTGTCTTCCTTGAGAAGTAAGTAACAAGTAAAAGGAAGCGTTTCCGACTATTCAAGGTATATATATCATTTATTAGGATCTGTCTGTCTGTCCGTCTGTCCGTCTGTCCGTACGAATGTTGAGATCTATAAGAGACAAACTATAAGAGCTATGTAGAGCTTTGCGTTTAAACATGCAGATTATATTGATAAATAAGCGTGGCAAGTTTTTCACGTCCACTTAAACCCCCACAAAGACATAGTAGGTTAATATCGACACACCAATAACTTTTCAAATCTAAACCTTCTTTTAAAAGTTATTAAAAAATAAATCAAAATAGATTTGCTATTGTTGTTGTAATCAGAATATTGCCGATCAATAGACCAAAAATCTCCTAAATATTCGATTATTACCTACAAATCTACTTAACTCCATATATTATTATATTATAATTTTGCCATGCTCAAAAAGCAAAAAACAAAATATTGTAATAACAAGAAAGGAAAGCTAACTTCGGGCGGAGCCGAAGTTGAAATACCCTTGCAGAATATTCTGCAAATTATATTCTCCAAAATTATTCATATGATGCATTTTTAATACTCATAAAAAATCCCACCTTCCTAACTTTAAAAACACCAAAGTTATTTCATTTCCGATCAATCAGTTATATGGCAGCTATAGGATATAGTCGGCCGATCCTTATGAAATTTAATATGTCGAATTGATTGGGCAAAAATAAAACCCATAGAAAATCCCAACTTCCTAACATTACAAACACCAAAGTTATGGCATTTCCGATCAATCAGTTATATGGCAGCTATAAGATATAGTCGGCCGATCCTTATGAAATTTGGTAGGTCGGATTGATTGGCCAAATATAAAACCCATAGAAAATTCCAACTTCCTAACTTTACAAACACCAAAGTTATGGCATTTCCGATCAATCAGTTATATAGCAGCTATAGGATATAGTCGGCCGATCCTTATGAAATTTGGTAGGTCGGATTGATTGGCCAAATATAGAACCCACAGAAAGTCCCAACTTCCTAACTTAACAAACAGCAGAGTTATGGCATTTCCGATCAATCAGTTATATGGCAGCTATAGGATATAGTCGGCCGATCCCGGCCGTTCCGACTTATATACTGCGTGCAAAGGAAAGAAGGGTGTGTGCAAAGTTTCAACTCGATAGCTTTAAAACTGAGAGACTAGTTTGCGTAGAAACAGACAGACGGACAGACGGACAGACGGACAGACGGACATGGCTATATCAACTCAGGAGGTGATCCTGATCAAGAATATATATACTTTATAGGGTCGGAGATGTCTCCTTCACTGCGTTGCACACTTTTGACCAAAATTATAATACCCTCTGCAAGGGTATAAAAAGGTCGACACATCAATATTAGATGCTAAATCCAGTTCAACTGCAAGAGTATAAAAATATCTTTTCTCGTTTATGATTTATTGTATGCAGGAAAAAAAGTTAATTTGACCAACCAATTCTACAGATGAAATGCTCCAACTAAGCCAAAAATATTCAATAAACATTTTTTTAAAAGTTTTTTTTATTAAATTTATCAAAAGTAATCAAATAAGCCTCTCTGGATGCATATACATAGGTATTCTTATTTTTTGTCACGTGATACGTTAAGAAGTAGTGAACGCGCCCCTCAATCTGCTCATCGGCCGCAAGAGTAGCACTCAACGGATTGGAACGGCGATGACTGTGTAAGCGGTTCAATACCTGTCACTTTAAGTGCAGCAGATGAACAAAAACACCGCTCCCAAAGTGGAAGATCCCCGCTGAGCGAGGGCAACAAGAGCGCCAGAAAGCAGCAAGACTTGTTCGCAGTACGCAAAACCAGACCCTGAGATAAACCCACACCGCACTCTCTTAATTCTGGTGTGCTGCGACGACTAGTTGAACAAGTCGGGAGAAACCGCTGATAAGCTCTCCTCAGAACCAGGGGAGCTAAGCGCTCAGCAGTTTCAAGCCAGAGTCAGTGTGCTTCCAGCAGGCGCCCAGTCAGCGGATCGTTCTTCCAGATACATCTGTGTAGTGCAGTCCAAGATATCACCATGGCCGCACACTTTCTTTCGGCCGTTCTGGTGGTGCTCTTGGTGGGAACAAGCAGCACTTACGCACAAGGCAAGTGGCAGTGGAGCTAGGCCCAAAGCGCAATCATTCGGGGATTATTTACATCGATTCGAAGCACAAGGCAATCGCCTATCATATCAGCGCTGAACTTCACCCCGTCGCCTCGAGTCAATGACAGTGGGCTGGGCTCAGAGGGGAGAGTCCCCGTTCCCGTTCCCGTTCCTGTTCCCGCAGTTGTAAACACCATGTCACAGATCCGGCTTTTATCTTTGTTCCCCAGAAATCTTTGGGTATTGCACAACACCCGATGAGAACAGCGGCACTTGCATTAGCCTCAGGGAATGTGGGTATCTCTTCGAGCTGGTACAACGCGGAGCGGCCTCGACCGAAGACCGCCAATTTCTGCAACTCAGTCAGTGTGGCTACCGCAATAAGCAGGTGCTTGTAAGTACCATATTTCCACACTTTCCTTACAGAAATACGAAAACATAATTTTTTTGTGTAGCCCAAAAGAAAGCAATTCCAATTCCAAATTTGTAAATATTATATTTAATCAGCATTGAAAAGCGACACGATTCAGCAACTAGCCATTTTAAGCAAGTGCTCACATATGTGGTCGTTATCTATAAAAAGCTAAGTATGGATCTAAAGTCGATAACAGCACCTAATGCACTTAGTTTTCTCATTAAAAGTTAAAAAGGTTCCCTTTAAATTGACGCCAAAGGTCACCATTCCCTCAGAAATAATTTGTTTTATTTATGGTAATTTCTTTTTTAAACTACAGAAAGCATCAAATAAGAACTTCTTAAATCAAAAACATGTTTCTTAAAAAACGGTCTAAAGCTAAGGAAAAATATAATTTAAGACAAGAAATAAAAAGCACCTTAAGAAGCCATTTTCTTCTACAATTTTTAAGTTTATTGATTCAAGTAATGTTATTTATTATTTAAATAAATTGTTATTATAAATATTATTTCTCGGCGATCATAAAATAACACTTCTTGGCCTTAAAAAATATTTCTTGACTTCAAGAATTTTATTTCCCGTTTAAACAACGCTTAAGAAATTTAATTTATTGTTTTAAAATTATTATGTTTTGTTGTAAAGGCGTTTTCTAAAAATATATATATTGACAAAAAGTCATTAAAAGTTATATTTAAGTCAGTTCGATACTTCCCAAGCTCAAGAAAAAAGAAAAATATGAAAATAATAGTCGGGATTTAAAAACAGTTTCATGAAAAACCCGGATTCATCAGCTGTGTTTATGGGTAAATTATTTCTGAGGAAAGGCTATTAAATTTTATACTACATAAATGGGTAATGGAACGTAATAAGCGGTTTGGGAAGTACCATTTATTTTCTTAAATACAACATTAGTTATTAGCTCTGATCCAAAATCTGGCCAGTATTTTATTAACTTTCTGACTAAGGAATGAAAAGAAAATCTATCCAAAGGAGGCTATCAATTTAAATCGTGTTACTTATTTATTTAATTTTACAAAAAGAAATTTTTGAAGTGATTCGATGAAAAAATTACATCTCATATCCGTTACGTCCAACATGAAGCCGAGAAGGACCCCTCAAAAGTAACTGCGTAGCAGAAACCTTACCCAGCTAGTTTTGGGTTTGCACATTCGCTTCAAAGTTTGTTAATTATACGTACTGTTGCCTTTGATTAATTAAGTTATATGAACTAAAGCCTAAAACTTTAAGTGCAAAAAAAATATCATGGATAACTTTGAAATACATTTTATCTGTGAAAAAAGTTGAAAAACATTTGTATTACTATTCTTTCAGATTTGCTGTGCAAACAGCCGCATGCGTAACCAGCAGCCGCAGTGGGGCAATCAAGGCCAGCCTTCAAGGCGTCCCGACTCCGGCCTTCTGCCCCAGGCGCCCAATTGCGGCGACAACTTCGGCGACCGCGTGGTGGGCGGCAAGGAGACGGGCAAAAGGGAGTTCCCCTGGATGGCCCTGATTGAGTACACGAAGCGTAAGTAGTCCACATTCTGACTGATCAACGACTGACACTTTCCCCCAGCCGGCAACGTGAAGGGCCACCACTGCGGCGGTTCGCTGATTAACAATCGCTACGTGCTGACGGCCGCACACTGTGTCGCCGCCATTCCCAGCGACTGGCAGCTGACGGGAGTGCGCTTGGGCGAGTGGGATGCGAGCACCAATCCCGATTGCACCACCAGCAGGAACGGAAGGCAAGAGTGCAACGACCCCTACGTTGACTGTCCGGTTGTGGAGCGGATTCCGCACCCGCAATACCCGGGAAACGCCCGTGACCAGTTGAACGACATCGCGTTGCTTCGGCTGCGCGACGAGATCCAGTACAGTGACTTTATCTCTCCAGTGTGCCTGCCCTCTCTGGCGTCCCAGCGAGACGCGCTTTTCCTAGGCCGCAAGGTGGTGGTGGCCGGTTGGGGCCGCACCGAAACGAACTTTACGTCGAACATCAAGCTGAAGGCCGAGCTGGATCCAGTGCCGACGAGTGACTGCAACCAGCGTTACGCCAGCCAACGTCGGACTGTCACCGCCAGCCAGCTGTGCGCTGGCGGAGTGGAGGGTGTTGACTCGTGCCGCGGTGACTCCGGTGGCCCCCTCCTGCTGGAGGACTTCAACAACGGATATTCCAACTACTATATTGCCGGCGTGGTCTCATACGGACCCACACCCTGCGGCCTGAAGGGATGGCCGGGCGTGTATACGAGGGTTGCGGCGTTCATGGACTGGATAGAGAACACCGTTAGGCCCTAATCCTAGCGCACGAAAATGAACTATGTGTGTTAAAAGGGACATGCCGCAGCAAAAATCGATTTTTAATACAAGGTAAATTATACAATAAATAAAGTTAACTTGTGTAAATTTAAAGGTAGAACGCGTGCAGTTCAAAACAACTTGAACTGGGGCACTGTACACTTAAAATATAAAAACTGAATATTAGTTTCTGAAGATTATTTTGGTTTCTATAATTAAGCCGTGCAGACGGGTGTTTAGCATTTGGAAAGGGCCTGCCAGTACGAATTACTTGCCTCCAATTTCGTATCTAAATGCAATCCGCATAGCAGTCACCTTAAGATCGCAGCGAAGCTAGGCGACTCTGCATTTCCTGCAGTTCCTCGCCGTCGTCATCATCATCCTCCTCCACCGGGACCTCGACCCGACTTGCGGTCGCAGCCGCAGATGCCTTGTCGGCCGGAGTAACTTCTGGGGGCAATGGAGCTTCTCCTAGCTTGCCATCCGTGATCTCCCACAGAACCTTGTCCACCTCCTTGCCCGCCTCCTCCTCCAGCTCCTCGGACTCCTCCAGCGAGTCCATGGTCTCGTCCAGCATCTCTTCGATAATGCCGGCCTTCATCATTTCCTTGGACATGTCGCGCATGATGCCCGCCAGTTCCGGATAGCGCACCAGACTCTGCATGGCCTGCATGACCTCGGTGGACTTCTGCAAAGATCCTGCTACTCGCAAGGTGGCTGAAAGGAGGATAAGCCTTCGTTAGTTGGGTCAGGGGAGCGGGAACCCCACTCACATAACTGGTTCTTCATCTGCATCTGGATGGAGTTGAGGTGCGCCTTCGACGTGTATATGCGGTTGATGGCCTTCCGCGCGTTCACAATCTCCTTGGCAAGAATGACGCAGGTGTCGCGGTCATTTTTCTGCGCCGCCTGCTTGAGGGAGCGTTTTACCTTCTCCTCCTCCCGCTGGATACTCCGAATCTGGCGATCCAACTGGTTGCCCTCTTTCCGTATCTTGTGCGTCCACTCTTGCACCTAAATGGAAGTCACAGGGCGAATCAGAAATCAGAATACAATACACACAGTCCGCAAACAACGCAAAGTGAAATCAAAACAACTGGAATGACATCATTTCTCGAGAAGCTCTTTGCGGCTGGTTGTGTCATTACCTGCTCTTTGGAATCTTTGCTGGGGGTTTTGCCAAATAAGCCCATTGCACTGTAGAGGACGAGAACTGTTGACAATTTATATTACTAAAACTCGTAATTTGTTTAACAGTCCAAGTGAGTCATTTTGGTTCTGACAAACATTGCAGAGCGTTGCCACTATGTTTAATGGCCTTTAGATATGAGCGCTGTTTCTTGAAATTTGAGAGTATTTTATTGTAATTATTGTGCACGTCGTAGAGATTGAGAGTAGAATTTAAAAACAAAATAAATTCTCGGTGTCATAGAAATTTCTTATGTATATATTATTTTTCTTTCAGACATTGGTAACATCTTTTAAAGCACTGCAACTTAAACAGCTAACCATTATTAAAAAGTTGTCAAATTAGTTTGTGCCTCCTAATGCTTATTGTTATTAGACATAAGTAATCAAATGTCAAAAATTAGCTTTGTTCCATGTTTTTAAAAAATATTTCAACTTATAATCCGTTTGCCTTTACTGAGTCTTAAAAACTACGAAAACAGTAAATTTTCGTAAAATTGTTTTAAAAGAACAGAACATTTTTTTTTTAAATTATTCGTCTTTTATCTTTATTTTTTATTATTTATTAAAGAATCGGAAAGAAACAAATCTAAAACTGTGAGAGAGATTTGAAGAACTCCCCAGACAATTATCTTATTAACGCTGGATCTGGCAACGACGTTCCATGACTAATGACGTCAGGGGAACCGCAAGCAGAGAGCACGAGCACTCACCACCTCCAAATCAGCTGTGCCTCAGCTGCACAGCCCGCTTTGTTATATCAGAGCCAACAACGTGGGTTTCGCGAACTGATTTTACGCTAATTGTTGAATTAAAACCGGACTTGTTTTCCCCCAGACTGGAGAAACATGCAAAACTGTAGGCGCTGCATCCGCCTGCTGGGCGCAGTGCGGCAGCCTCACACACACAGCCTGCGTCCGTGCCTTTCGATTGCTTCGGACTTTCGACGAATGCACCGGTCGGCCCTTCAGTTTTCCCGGAAAAGGCCGGAGACGAATGTGTCCGCGTTGTTTAAGCCGGTGCAGGTGCAGGCCAACGTTGACTCCGAGGACGTGGGCTCCGAGCTGGTGGGCAAACTGGAAAAGGCCGAGCTGCTAAAAATCCTTAACAAGTTCACCCAACGCCGGGAAATCAAATCTCTTTGCAGTGAAAACGGGCTGGACGGTACGTGAGCGCCGATTTCTATTATCCACCCGCGTCTTACTTTGCATCCGTTCCAAGCCTACTTACAGCAACAGGCCTTCGGCTCTTTCCGAAGATACTGCATCGAAGCCGAGAACCTTCCTGTCGACCTGCACATAACCTTCAGTGACATTACGCAGGGAGCGGGCCACATTGATGACATCTTCCCCTACTTCCTGCGCCACGCAAAAACCGTGTTTCCTCACCTGGACTGCATGGACGACCTGAAGAAAATATCCGACCTGCGGCAGCCCGCCAACTGGTACAGCAACGCTCGCGCCATCACCAGGAAAATCGTGTTCCACGCGGGACCCACGAACTCTGGAAAGACCTACCACGCTATGGAGAGGTACCTCAGTGCAAAGACTGGTGTTTACTGCGGCCCCCTGAAGCTCCTGGCCACGGAAGTGTACAATAAGTCCAATGAGCGCGGGACACCATGCGATCTAGTGACCGGCGAGGAGCGCAAGTTTGGCATCAGCGAAAGCTCGCCAGCCAACCATGTCGCGTGCACTGTGGAAATGACATCGGTCAACACTCCATGTAAGCGAGTCGTTTGCTGTTCCTTAACCAGTTGTAACCCGTTCTCCCATTTCTGTTTCAGATGAGGTGGCTGTAATCGATGAAATACAGCAGATCCGCGACCACCAGCGCGGTTGGGCCTGGACTCGTGCATTCCTGGGGCTGATCGCGGATGAGGTGCATGTTTGTGGCGAGCCAGGAGCCTTGGATCTCTTGCAGAAGATTTGCGAGACCACAGGTGAAACAGTTGAAGTGCGCCGCTACGACCGTCTTACGGAGCTTACCGTCGAAAGCACAGCCCTAGGCTCATTGGACAACGTCGTGCCTGGCGATTGCATCGTTTGCTTCAGCAAACATGATATATACACGGTTTCACGAGAAATCGAGGCACGGTGAGTATTGCACTGCATTCGTATTAAAATTATAATGACTTGACTTGACTTTTTGTAGAGGCAAAGAGGTAGCCGTAATATATGGGGGACTGCCTCCTGGTACCAAGCTCGCCCAAGCCGCCAAGTTCAATGATCCCGCCAATAGCTGCAAGGTAATGGTGGCGACGGACGCCATCGGGATGGGCTTGAATCTGTAAGTATAATATGTCGAAGTTTGTTTTTTGGCCACATCTGATGCGCACAACATTTATTTCCAGGAGCATTCGTCGAATCATATTCTATTCCTTGATCAAGCCGTCTATGAATGAGAAAGGAGAGCGTGAGATCAATACAATTTCAGTTTCGTCTGCCCTTCAGATAGCGGGAAGAGCGGGTCGCTTTCGCACACAGTGGGAGCACGGCTTTGTAACTGCCTTCAAGTCCGAGGACCTGCAGATCCTGCAGCGCATATTGGCCCAGACACCTGAGCCGTTGAAGCAGGCGGGCCTGCATCCCACTGCCGATCAGATTGAGCTCTACGCCTACCACCTGCCAAACTCGTCCTTGAGCAACCTAATGGACATCTTTGTGAACCTGTGCACCGTCGACGATTCCCTGTACTTTATGTGCAACATTGAAGACTTCAAGTTCTTGGCCGAGATGATACAACATGTACCGCTCCCTCTGCGAGCCCGTTACGTCTTCTGTTGCGCCCCAATCAATCGCAAAATGCCCTTTGTTTGCTCAATGTTCCTAAAGGTAGCACGGCAATATAGCCGAAACGAGCCCATTACCTCTGAGTTCATCAAAAAGAACTGCGGCTGGCCGTTCAAGCTGCCGAAGACCATATTGGACTTGGTCCATCTGGAAGCCGTCTTTGATGTAATGGACCTCTATCTCTGGCTGAGGCAAGTTGCATATTAGTCTGCAGTAGAACAATAAATAATCTTTCTTGATATTACAGCTATCGGTTCATGGATCTTTTCCCCGAGGCAGCAAACGTTCGAGAGGCCCAGAAGGAACTGGACGAGATCATTCAGCAGGGCGTCTTCCAAATCACTCGCTTGCTTAAGAACACTGAGGCCAGCCAAGACGGAGAGATTTCAAGCTACGCAATGCGCCGGGTGACCCACGTCAAAGAGCCTCGTCTTCCCAGCGCCTCGCGAGGACGTCTTACTGAAAGATTGCTTGCGCAGGGACTGCTGACACCGGGTATGCTTAGTGAGCTACGCAAGGAATGGGACGCCCAGCAAGTCGGCAACACAAGCCCAGCCCCAACGGAAAGCCAGGAATTAGCTGTGGATAGTGACGACGAGGACAATTACTCAGGAAGCGGCCGAAAGATACGGAAAAAACGTAGAAAATGAACGAGCCGAGGAGTTAGCTGGTAAAATAAGAAATAACTATGTATATTACTGGTTTTTTTGTATAATATCGTTTTATTTTAAATGGCAATTAAGTAATATTAAAATTATTCTTTTGATAATCAACAATGACAATTTAATTGTTTAAATTGAAGAGTAGAAATATGTAATCTGTTTCAGAAAAAATAATCACCTTTATTTGCTTTCAATTTATGGAGGGAGATTCTACTCAGATTCTGTAATACTTGACCATAATTTGTGGCGAGGCTAACCGCTGTTGTACTCTGTTAAATTTGGAAATGTGTAATACTGAGATTTACGATTTCGATTAGCTGATTAGTCACTCGGCTGTTTAGCTTGCCTTCCAAAATGAAGTTTTAGATTTAGCTTATATATCGCATTTGTTGTAACAACGAACACACATTCACTTGAATTGCGGTTATAAAATATTCGACACCCAAAACATACAGATTTTTAAAAGATATAAATACATTGCAAAATACATTCATATGGTTGTACATACAAATTAATATTAAGTTTCTTGCATGCGCAGGGCAATAGCTTAATAGTTCTTGTTTTTTATGTTTCGATTTAACTTGAGTTTAAAAATAAATTAGTTTAGATATTTGTTAAAGCTTTCAAATTTCTTTTTATAAGTTAAACTTATGTAATTTATGCCGTTCCATTCAGAAACAAAATTTTCTCTTTTGAGAGAGCTTTAAACATTCCCACCACACCGACCATGTCGTCGGGTCATCTATCATCTGAGGACCCTTAGTACCTCGCTCATTGTAGAGCCCATTTTACCGATTCCTTTATCGAAATAAAGCTCTACTAAAATCGCTCGTCTGCACTACTCCAAATTGCATGCATATTTAGTCGCAGTTTTTCTTATATTTTTATCAACTTTGGTTTGCCAACTTATCTTCGGATGTTGAAGATTCCTTTGTGCGTTTGAATTCTAAGGTACCGATACTTTCTTCATCTTTTTCTGAATATCAAAACTGGAACATGCCTGGCTCTTGATCAAAATACCAAGAGTTAGTTGTGTCAAGGTATGTATAATGTATGCATGACTGTACGTATTGACTACAAATGTTCCTATTTAATTTCTGTTTTCATATTTTTGTATTAAAAAAGTGCTAGTCTTAACAGACTTTGGGCAGCCTATGCCGGGCTTAATATTTAAATATAAGATGCAGAAAGGTTTAATTACAAAAATTCGTCACTCGACCGTAAATTAGTACAGATGCACAAATGTACACAATATCTTCAATATGTACTTTTTTCCGCCTCTCCGGTTATTCATATAGTAAGTATTCTTTATCACAAACAATCATAAAATTTAAATTTTGAGTAGTAATTTAAATACTGGTATGCACTTTACGTGCCATTGCGTATAAAATTTCGATATTCTAGGTTTTTCCCTTTTTAGTTTTTTATATTTTTCACACTTTATGAATAAAATGTGTGCCAAATTGATTCCAAATTACAAATATTTTATCGCCCGTTTTGGGCTAGATTGATGGGATGACCCAAACCTTTTGGTCGGTCTCATCCCGGAGCAAATACTCGACAACATCAGTCGTCGTACGAGTATTGTCCCGCGTAAAAACAAATCACAAACACCGACCTATGCTTCAGACAAAGTCGAGCTCCAGGCCCGGCTCAATATCGACTGCAACCGCATTGTCTGCAGGGAATTGAACACCGTCGTCCTCAAGACACGACTCCTTTGAGGCTTTCTCGCGGGACCGGTCCTTGAACGCAGCGAGGCCCAGCTTCCTGAGGGCCTTTCCGCTGCGTCCAGAGGACTGGCCCAGCTGCTCGAATCAGGAGTCCACCAGCACGTGCCAGCGCGCCAGCATCTCGCCCTTAGGCATCTCGCACACGTCCGCCCAGTGCGCCACCTCCTCTGATCCGGACGAGTTCAGGCCCATGCTGAACCAGCCGACCATCTCGTTCTTCTTCATATGCCTCTTGGCGTACACGGAGATCATCAGCGTGACATCGTTGAGCTGGAACAGGGCCACCTGGAAGGCGAATGTCTCCTTGAAGAGTGGATTGGGCTGGCCTCTGCGGATCGAAGTCTTGGCCCTGGAAATCTCCTGCCCGATGCTACTGACCATGACAAGCTTGACGTACGTGTCGGGCGCCTTGTTCAGCGATAGGCTGCGGAACTGGCTGCCCTTGATGATCTCCACGCTTAGCCGCCCGGTGACCCCATTGTAGCTCAGGCCCAGCAGCAGCTCGGAGACTCCCCCATGCTGCATGGACGAAGTAGAGCCCGCACTCTCCGACCGCGCCAGGCTTAGCAGGTCGCTGGTGGACCCCAGCCCCGAGGAGGTATTGCGGGGCTCCAGCGGCAGCCACAGATTCGTCTCCAGCTCCAAGTCCACGGTGGCGAAGCTCACGTACGCCTCCCCGATCAGCCGCTCCTTGCGCAGCCGCTCGCAGCCGTACAGGCGCACCCGCAGCCCCATGTTGTTCACCTCCTCCGGGTTGACGCGGTGCAGCAGGAAGCTCTCCATGTATTGGGGGTTCTCGCCGCTGCGGATCTTGGTCTTGAGCTTCTGCTTCTTGCTGGGCAGCATTAGCATCCGCACTTGCGTGTGGGTGGGCTGACCACTGGCCAAGGGCGGAAGACTTCTGGCCTGCATCACGTGCACAGTCATCTTCCGCATGGGGGCGTCGTACAGCAGAGACAGCTCCAGCTCGATGGGTCCGCGCTGGACGGGCGCCCCCTTGGGATCGACCCCGACCAACAGGTCATCCGACTTGATCGAGCGCAAGTCGCTGGTGTCGAACAAGGGCTCCTGTGGAAGGCGAAATTGTGATTAGCCTAAAAAGTCTAGAGATCTAGTGAAAAATTAATGGCTTCTAAATAAAAGTGAACTCTCTTTGAGTCGAACTTATTGTATAGGCAGTTAAAAGTACAAATAAAGGATGGTGGCTCGAGTTATTGAAGTTCGACTAAAGAAAAAGGACTGAGGTTCGATTACTACCAGCGAAAGGAATTCTTCGTTAATCCAGTAGTAATCCAGATATTGATCTGGAGTGTTAATTTTCTTCGATTACCAGTAATGTAGATTCAATAGTAATCCATATTCTAATCCAATATTTACTAATAATTGCGTTTGCAAGTATTTAAAATAATACATTTTTGATCTCAGCTTACTAGTTCAATTATTTTAAAGCCCAAGCTGAAAGGATTATTGGGTCCCCGAGATTTGCCTCTCGGTAGGAAGACATTTCTGGGAAAGCCCCAAATCCAATACAACTTACGTCATCGTTGTTGTTGCTGCTGGTATTGTTGTTGTTGCTGCTGGTATTATTGTTGTTGCTGGTAGCAATTGAGTTGTTGTTGTTAATGTTGTAGGTACTGGCCACCGGCACCACCACCACGTTGTCACGCTCCTTCTCCATCTTGGGCGGAGCAACCACCTCGACCCTTTGCTGGTACCTCAGAGCCTGCGTCTTGGCCCGGTGTTCTGCACACGGATTGCGAAAGGATGTCGCCAGGTGAGGGGCTGTAGCTGTAGCTGTCAAGACGTGGATATTCATTTCGACGCCTGTCAATTAGCTGCCCCTGACCCGGAGGTCTTACCTTTGGTCACGCCCGTCAGAATGCCTGTGTGGCTGTCCACGGAGGCCTCCATGGAGTCGTTTGAGCTGCACTCGCTGTGCGAAGACGGGATGCCGACCTTGCCCCGCTCGGCGATGGCCAAGGGGTCACGCGTCACTGTCACCCGCTGCAGGTCGGTGCCGGAGTGATGGTAGTTGAAGCTCTGCGCTGTTAGCGGATTCGCCTGGCTGATCCCCAGCCCGTATCCTCCCGGCTTCTCGCCCAGCTGGTGCTGCTGGTGCCACCGCAGGCGGCGCAGGATGTCCTCCTCCGAGTCGGAGCTGGTGTTCTCGTAGCGCCGCTTGCGCGCTGCAAGAATGGGGACAGGTCAATCAGCGGGTAATCCCTAATCACTCTTCCAATGGTACTCACTGATCTTCTGCACACACTTGGCCGCCAAGTGGCGCTCGTCGCAGCAGTTGATGGCATGGCGGTAGTGAAAGCAGCACTTGCGACTGATGTACAGGAACAGAAGGAGCAGCAGGACAAGGACGCCGAAGAAGGCGCCCAGCAGCGTTGTCACTTCGACGGTGCCTAGAAGATTCGATTGGCTTGGTGGGGACAGGTCGGAACGGGGCAATTCGGGAAGCACGTACCCAGCGTCGGAGTGCTATCCAGGCCAGAAGCAGACGTAACGATCATCTTGGCTCATGCGAGGATCCTGGCGAGGGCAGCGTCCTTCACACGGAATTCATTGCACCAGGACCCCACGGCAAGTCGCGAGATTGTTTTCACTGCAGTGTGAAAGCGAAAGCTCTGGAGTTGACAGCTCAGTGGCACAGGATAACTGAAATCGATTTTTCACAGGACCGCGGTTGGGGATCGGAGCAAATGAGTCGCTTGGGAGGCTGTGGATTCCGAATTCTTTTTTAGACGCTTTAACTACTACACGCAATTGATTTCAGAGCCTAGTCAAATTTTTTATCAGATCTAAATAAGATACCAATCTGCTGATTATCACTTTCGTTTTCGCGGAGTTGGGCGGCCAGTTACCGAGTCCTTTGCAGCAGCAGCGGGCGTCTAAGAAATAAAAAATTAACGGACTGGGACCCGGAATTTATTCAACTGCTTTCGGATTAGCTGCCCTTACACTCGATGGAAAATTCGCCTCGAAGCAGGCACTGGAAGCTTAATCCCTCCACCCCCTATGTATGTACATAAAGCGCTGGCGAAAGCTCCGCTTTGACAGTTGCATCGCAGTAACAACTGTTGCGCTGCTTATTCTATTCGGGGAAAACACGGATTCGAGGAGCAAATCGTGAGTCCGTAAGTCGCCAGCACTCACGTCGTATCAAGTGGACATTGGAATGAAACAAGTTTTTAAAAATTCAATCAAAGCCCAATTAATTAAGGGAGCTCTTTTTTCTGCCTAGTTATGGAATTCAAGTTAAATTAAGTCAAACAACTAATTTTTAATTTTATAGCTTAGCTAACTTGTGAGTCGTACAGCTCCTTTTTTCGGAGAGCTTTTCGGAAGAATTTTATCAAAAGAATTTTTTGAAAAAGGAAAATTTTAAAGGCGTTTTACCTAAAATCCCTCCTTAAAAATGTGTTTGATAAATGTGAAAACGTAATTTGTGGCGAGGCTAACCGCTGTTGTACTCTGTTAAATTTGGAAATGTGTAATACTGAGATTTACGATTTCGATTAGCTGATTAGTCACTCGGCTGTTTAGCTTGCCTTCCAAAATGAAGTTTTAGATTTAGCTTATATATCGCATTTGTTGTAACAACGAACACACATTCACTTGAATTGCGGTTATAAAATATTCGACACCCAAAACATACAGATTTTTAAAAGATATAAATACATTGCAAAATACATTCATATGGTTGTGCATACAAATTAATATTAAGTTTCTTGCATGCGCAGGGCAATAGCTTAATAGTTCTTGTTTTTTATGTTTCGATTTAACTTGAGTTTAAAAATAAATTAGTTTAGATATTTGTTAAAGCTTTCAAATTTCTTTTTATAAGTTAAACTTATGTAATTTATGCCGTTCCATTCAGAAACAAAATTTTCTCTTTTCAGAGAGCTTTAAACATTCCCACCACACCGACCATGTCGTCGGGTCATCTATCATCTGAGGACCCTTAGTACCTCGCTCATTGTAGAGCCCATTTTACCGATTCCTTTATCGAAATAAAGCTCTACTAAAATCGCTCGTCTGCACTACTCCAAATTGCATGCATATTTAGTCGCAGTTTTTCTTATATTTTTATCAACTTTGGTTTGCCAACTTATCTTCGGATGTTGAAGATTCCTTTGTGCGTTTGAATTCTAAGGTACCGATACTTTCCTCATCTTTTTCTGAATATCAAAACTGGAACATGCCTGGCTCTTGATCAAAATACCAAGAGTTAGTTGTGTCAAGGTATGTATAATGTATGCATGACTGTACGTATTGACTACAAATGTTCCTATTTAATTTCTGTTTTCATATTTTTGTATTAAAAAAGTGCTAGTCTTAACAGACTTTGGGCAGCCTATGCCGGGCTTAATATTTAAATATAAGATGCAGAAAGGTTTAATTACAAAAATTCGTCACTCGACCGTAAATTAGTACAGATGCACAAATGTACACAATATCTTCAATATGTACTTTTTTCCGCCTCTCCGGTTATTTATATAGTAAGTATTCTTTATCACAAACAATCATAAAATTTAAATTTTGAGTAGTAATTTAAATACTGGTATGCACTTTACGTGCCATTGCGTATAAAATTTCGATATTCTAGGTTTTTCCCTTTTTAGTTTTTTATATTTTTCACACTTTATGAATAAAATGTGTGCCAAATTGATTCCAAATTACAAATATTTTATCGCCCGTTTTGGGCTAGATTGATGGGATTTATAGCTTAGCTAACTTGTGAGTCGTACAGCTCCTTTTTTCGGAGAGCTTTTCGGAAGAATTTTATCAAAAGAATTTTTTGAAAAAGGGAAATTTTAAAGGCGTTTTACCTAAAATCCCTCCTTAAAAATGTGTTTGATAAATGTGAAAACGGGAAAAAAATATAAATATGTTTATAAGAGAGAGAAAGAAACTATAAGATAGGATTTACTTGGTATAACCGTCCGCAGTAGTAAGTTTTGTAATGCAAAAGCCATTTGAAAAGTTGACATAAATAGCTATGTTTGAGAAAATTAAATAGTTATGGCTAATAAACTTTAAAACCATTCCGTAACGCCTTCTCTTATACCTAGCTCCAAAAGCCAATGTAAATATTTATATAATATAGATAACATAATAATAATAATAATAATAATAATATAAGATAATTTATACAACAAAATAATTAAGTCAATCGAATATCAAAGGATTTATATTAAAAAAAAAACTAATATTACGTAACTAATAAACTTTTGCAGATATAACAAAATTGTAAAAGCAGGGGTCATAATTTCGGTTTTGAATGATTTCAAAAATGCATTACAAAGGCTCTAATGACTTCGCTTATATAATCTAGTAATGCAGATTGCATGTGTGGGGAATTACAAGACTGCCATTCCTAAGGCAAAGTAATCCAGGTTGAAATCCATTTTATAAAGGTATTTTCAAACACATAAATCGGTTAAGATTAACGTTTGCGTTAACAGCGAGCACTTTGATTAACATAAAACATCGATAGTTGCTATTGTAGATGGCTAAGAGAAAAACATCGGTTCAGTGCGCCACCTCTAGTTTTAATGCTGGACGGGCTTGGAGTCGAAACTAACAGTGCGTAAGAACATAGTGGAATGGTTAACAGTGCGCAAAACTGGAGTGAAAGTAACAGATTGTGCGTAAGAAATGGAGTGGAAAGTAACAGAGTGTGTCAGAAGTGGAGTGGAATCGTTAACAGTGCACTAGAGCTCGAGTAGGATTTTCAATACTCGTTAGAGGCGTAGAAGCATCGATAATGCCCTGCCAAACATCGGTACTACCGCTGTTTTGAAACATCGATATCATGGACGCCAACATCGATGTTTCTCCTCCGCTACTCTGCTCCGCTGTGCGGCTAATTATCGGTTGTTGTTCAAACTGCAAATGTCCCCTGACCAGATACGCGAATGCCAAATCGTGACCACACCCCCGCGCTCCCCTAAAATCCAATACAATTCAATCCCAAAGCGTGACGCAAGTAAATTTTAGATGGCCAATGCCGCTGTGCAAGTGTGAGTGCTGTGTGTGCCAAATTGAGATGCTTCTGATAATATAATTAGCGTTCAACCGTCGTAAACCGTGCTCAGTGGCCCCCTCGAATCTGGAATCTCGGAGTGCACATATTTACTTTCGCCAATTGGGCGCTTAAACTGTGCCCTTAAACCTTGAGGAGCTGACTTCCAGCGAAGACAAAGCCATTCGACGACGTCATCTCGAGCCGTTTCGCTTTTCATTTCTCAGCAGACACTTACAATGGAACGCCGGGGCAGGGGGTGAGGATGGGACTGGGAAACTCGATAGGCGTCTTTCCCACACCAAGGCCCTAGACGAAAGTTAAAAACTAGTCACTGCGCTGAAAACTACAACTGCTGTCGCATGAGTGGTTGGGTTACTGTGTGGTGCCGATCCCGCCGCATTCCTCCGAAATTCGCAGACATCTACTTAGGTTGTACAGACCGTGCTAGTGGTCTCCTCATCAATACATCATTACAATCTCGTTAAATTTAAATATCCAAAATCAGGGAGATAAATCCAATTTATCTATCAATCTATAACTTGTCGTTTTTTTTTATAAATCCCTCAAATGGTTTTTCTTCGAGTTGCATCCAATTTCGTACTAAATTTTACAAAGACATAAGAGAAATTATGTGCCTTTTCGTTTATCTGGCTATACTATCTGATAAGCCCCTACTACTTGCCAAATATGTATTTTTAGTATTTTTGTTTGTGCATACGATTGTATTCAGTACATTGAAGTAAATGTTTGGAGTCGGTGAAACCAACGTAACCCTCAGTGCTTCCCGGTCGGGTCAACAAACCAATCGACTCACTCCTCCGGCTCGCAGTTGGCGTGTGCATTTAGTCATTGATCGCGTCCGGGGACCGGGGATGGGGTCGCTTTGCCATCGCCTTCGCCATCTCCACTAACAACGCTGCCTCGCTTTATTGGTGTCATTAAAATTTGTTAAATGGAAAGGTCAATACACAGCCGTGTCTAGTGAGAGACTCGAGTACTGAGTGAAACCGGTTTGCGGCTTCGATTTGGGCGAACTCGACGGCATAGATTCCTCACTTAGTCCGCCCAGGGACTTCGCACATTTCCTGAGTAGCTGCCAGAATTTTGTGCCCATTGTTCCCTCCAACTGATATGCCTCCATCTGCGGCATGTGCCTTCTGCTGGCAGCCCGCCAAGAGCCAAGAACTTGGCCCAAAAATTAATAGTAATGCTGCGCATCTGTTTCTTTTTTAACTTGTTCGACGCTCACCTTGCTTGCCAGATTTCAGGGGCACATAGCATACATAGTTTTAGCGAAACTCTGCGCCCGATGTGTCAATGCCAATGTCGTTCCCATTCTGTTCGAGTGGGAGAGGAGTCACGGACGCCGAAGAGCAGATTTTAGGCGCTGATTGAGCTGGCACAGAGTTTGGGTACACTATGTTTATTCATTTGTTTAATGTTTTTCATTGACTTGGAATATCATACTTTCAACCCGTAAAAGCATTATATTGAAAAGATTTACCTGGACAGTTATGTGTCTGTAATACAGACTCTGTATTTCCACCCTTTTAAAACTCAGTTTAATGAAAAGAAGATTTTACAGTTTACAGTTCGTTACACTTCATGTACAAATCGTTTTTCGTAGATATGTTTAAAACTTTGTCGACAGGCTCTTTTAAAAAATGTTAATAATTTTTTTTTGGTAGGCCAGCACCTTGCAGAAGATCCAATCATAAAGGATAATGTCATAACTTAAACTTTTTATACCCTTGCAGAGGGTATTATAATTTTGGTCAAAAGTGTGCAACGCAGTGAAGGAGACATCTCCGACCATATAAAGTATATATATTCTTGATCAGGATCACCTCCTGAGTTGATATAGCCATGTCCGTCTGTCCGTCTGTCTGTCCGTCTGTCTGTTTCTACGCGAACTAGTCTCTCAGTTTTAAAGATATCGAATTGAAACTTTGCACACACCTTTCTTTCCTTTGCACGCAGTATATAAGTCGGAACGGCCGGGATCGGCCGACTATATCCTATAGCTGCCATATAACTGAACGATCGGAAATGCCATAACTTTGGTGTTTTTAAAGTTAGGAAGTTGGGATTTTCTATGGGTTTTACATTTGGCCAATAAATTTTACGTACCAAATTTTATAAGGATCGGCCGACTATATCCTATAGCTGCCATATAACTGAACGATCGGAAATGCCGCAACTTTGGTGTTTGTAAAGTTAGAAAGTTGGGATTTTCTATGGGTTTTACATTTGGCCAATCAATTTGACGTACCAAATTTTATAAGGATCGGCCGACTATATCCTATAGCTGCCATATAACTGATTGATCGGAAATGACATAACTTTGGTGTTTGTAAAGTTAGGAAGTTGGGATTTTCTATGGGTTTTATTTTTGGCCAATCAATCCGACCTACCAAACTTCATAAGGATCGGCCGACTATATCTTATAGCTGCCATATAACTGAACGATTGGAAATGCCATAACTTTGGTGTTCTTAAAGTTAGGAAGTTGGGATTTTATATGAGTATTTAGAATGCATCATATGAATAATTTTGGAGAATATAATTTACAGAGTATTCTGCAAGGGTATATCAACTTCGGCTCCGCCCGAAGTTAGCTTTCCTTTCTTGTTATAAGTAAGTTCTTATCTTAAAGATATCTAGCAGTTGTTATACTCTTGCAGAAGGTTTTATGAATTTGATCAAAAATTCTTAATCAAGTTTTTCGAGAGTCATTAAACTTTTCATAATTTAATAATTACAGAGTAAGAACAAATTATTACATAATTTTGTATTATTTTTTAGATAAAAAAACACGTCTGTATATAAAATATATAAAAAAAGATATAATACCTTATATTTATCTTATCTAAAGAAATTATAGTAAAACATTGTTTAAAATCTGTTGAATAACATGCGGGAAATGTATGTTTGTGTAACTCAAATAACTCAAAAAAATGGTCAAGATCCACAATTTTTAATTTCGAACATCTATCCTTACATTTAATTTTACCGGCTCAAGTAACACCCACAGCTTAATTTGATGTTCCCAGCAGGTACTCAAAAAACTTTTCATTGCGGAAATTAGTTTTAATTGTAAGAAAGCGTTGTAGCCAAATGTAGGTCAAATTAATATTTACTTACATAGGAAAACGTTTTTGCTTTGTTCAAGAATGTGTTTGTATGGTGTAAAGTGCATTTCCATACAATAAGATTCTGCTTGTTTACTTTTGGTCAATAAAAAGAATTTGCAGTTCCTTCACTTACTCACATACATATGTACATATGTATAAAACGTCTGCAACCACCACAAAGCTTATGAAGGTGAAGAAAACGGACAGGTGTTTTCCGGCTATGCACACGTAACTTGATGACTTTTGTTGCTTTTTCTCTGACCAACGCTCATTCATTCTTCACTCGGGCCCCTAACTGCACGAGGTGCAAACATCAAGTCTTCCCCGGCAGTTTTTCTGTATTTTCACGGTTGACTGCCGAATCGTATGAATGAAAAAGCACGTTAAATAATAGGTTCTTTGTTTTGTTTCTATTACAGAAGCGACCAGAGCGTTTTGCATGAAGAAATGACTACCACAAGTCAGATGGAGATGAACACAAACGGCGGAGGCTTGGATTCCACCGCAGACGTGTCCCCTTTGATTGCTGGCAATGTCCCTGGCTCAACGCCAGGAATCAACTGCGGAAACGGAGTCCAGAAGAATGCCACCCCCGGCACTGGTCTGAGCAGCACACAGCGAGGTGAGCAAGATCTAGATATCAGAGTGAATCGAAGGTAAAAGCCCTAAACGCTGCTAATTCCCACTGCCACTTGAGACTATGTCACGCGATGTGACGCCATTAGAAATATATCTTTTGAACACTGTATAACCAGGAGCAGAAATTTTAGGGTAAGCCAAAGGTAGGTTTTAACAGGAACAGCTCTAGCAGGACCGAATCAAACCAATTTCAAAATAGGGCTTCAAAAATATCTTTAGGGTTAGGAAATTTCCTGTCCCTGTGTCAAACAAGAGTCTTTATCTGTACAAATTGGCTGAGTTCACGGTCAGTGATTGATTTAATTTACTTTTCATTGTCTATACGTGATCTAACCTGGAAATAAGATACGTAAACGAGATTTACTAAACTTTCGGTTTGTATAAGTAAAAGGCACCGTAATGATATACTGATTGTTGAAAATTAGTATTAGTAGTGATTTCCCGTTTGCATAAACAGTTACACAAAATTTGTATTGCTGTGAAACGAATTTTTGAATTATAATAGAACAAGTTTTTGCCATCGAAGTACGGAGATCACTCGAAAATACCAACTATATTGGAAAATTTGAAAAAGAAAATAGGAAAGAACGATGTCTTTTCAAAGGTGATACCTGGTTGCGTTACCATCCAAGTCGATAAAGCCATGTCTAGCAGTATCTTAAAGCGGTCTCGGGATCTAAAAGATTGCCATCTTTAAGCTTTGGTTTGTTGAAGCTGTCCTCTAAGCGCATATTTACGTAAACGTGAGTTTCAAAACAAGTTGTATAAAAAAAATGAAACCGTGGCCCTCTGGATCTTGGGGGACTTGGATATTTTATTTTCCACCCACAGCATGCAGAAAAATAAACAATAATCAAGTTGTATACTAGTCATGAGTAAGACTGCGATTACTTATTTGCTAACCTTAGTGCTCTGCGTACGCGAACTATCGGACCGAGCCGTTATCCAGTGATGGAATAGAAGGATTCTTACCATACCAAACCATTCGTAATTTGGTTCATATGTTCACCAACCACAACTGAAAAAGGGTGGCGATTGACATCCGCTTATAATTCGATAATGGACTATTTTTAGCACCCCAAAGGCTCCCCTTCTGTTTTGGATCGAAGCACTTCGCTTCTCTTTTTTAAGAGCAGCCATCTCCGTCGTACTCTGGTTCTAAATTTAAACTCCCTCGCAGTAAACGAACCTTAAACATTGGCTTGAGGATACGTCAAAAAGAGTATCTTGCAGAGACCTTTTTAAATATGGAAACGACACTGCAGTGGCAGTCCAACTGCATGTAAACTATTTTTATACCCCTGCAGAGGGTATTATAATTTTGGTCAAAAGTGTGCAACGCAGTGAAGAAGACATCTCCGACCCTATAAAGTATATATATTCTTGATCAGGATCACCTCCTGAGTTGATATAGCCATGTCCGTCTGTCCGTCTGTCCGTCTGTCTGTCCGTCTGTCTGTCCGTCTGTCTGTTTCTACGCGAACTAGTCTCTCAGTTTTAAAGATATCGAATTGAAACTTTGCACACACTCTTCTTTCCTTTGCACGCAGTATATAAGTCGGAACGGCCGGGATCGGCCGACTATATCCTATAGCTGCCATATAACTGATTGATCGGAAATGCCATAACCTTGGAGTTTGTAAAGATAGGAAGCTGGGATTTCCTATGGGTTTTATATTTGGCCAATCAATCCGACCTACCAAATTTCATAAGGATCGGCCGACTATATCCTATAGCTGCCATATAACTGATTGATCGGAAATGCCATAACTTTGGTGTTTGTAAAGTTAGGAAGCTGGGATTTCCCATGGGTTTTATATTTGGCCAATCAATCCGACCTACCAAATTGCATAAGGATCGGCCGACTATATCCTACAGCTGCCATATAACTGAACGATTGGAAATGACATAACTTTGGTGTTTTTAAAGTTAGAAAGTTGGGATTTTTTATGACTATTAAGAATGCATCATATGAATAGTCTTGGAAAATATAATTTACAGAATATTCTGCAAGGGTATATCAACTTCGGCTCCGCCCGAAGTTAGCTTTCCTTTCTTGTTTTTCTTGCCCTCGTTACCGGTCGGGAAATGGAAATCGCAATCGAGTGACAAAGCCGTTAATACCAGGTTAAAACAATTTCGCTAAAATTTCAAAAACCAAACATTTACTTGGCAGAAACCAAAACAAAACTGGCAACTGGAAAACCAACGCGAGTGAACCCGAGAAACTCGTTTTAAGACCGCGACATTTTTGTGGGCTGAAATAACTTTACAAACCCGAGACAACTCGAGTTGAGCTGAACGCAGCGCAGTGGTTGAGCTTGGGCTGTGAGTCATTTGCGTTTTTGCAACGCCAGTTTGCAGTTCGTCAATGCTAGGAATGGAAAGCTGTGGGGCCTATCCATGCGTGGGTCTTAAACGTCGATAATGTCTAATCCCAACACTCTATTGTGTCCTTCAGCCGTGGATGCCACCAAGCGGAAGAAACTGAAGTCGCGCAACGCAGCAGCTTCCTGTTCGGCCCCGAAAAACGAAGCAACAGCGGCTTCTTTAAATCAAAACAACCCCAGTAAAACGAACAGAACCGATCTAAACTATTCCAAGGATCATCTCGATGCCTGGCTGGAGAATTGCTTGCGCGATGCCACTAACGCCCAATTGTCATCTTCGTCTGAGTTTTTGGACTTCATTCCGCCCACGGCACCAGCTCATAAACAAATGTTTGTGAGTCAACAGCAGCAACAACAGCAGCAGCAGCAGCAGCAACAGCTAAAACAGCAACTACAGCTCCAGAAGCAACAGGAATTTCCGAAGCGTTCCCAGCCATATGGAATGGGCCCTGGCACTCCCTTCAGCTTGGGGATTCAGCGCGTGAGTAAATGCCATTAGGAAGCCCACCTTTCGTGAGCAATGCTAACCCTACGCCATTTTTTTTGTACAGCATTCGCACTCCCTAAGTCATCGATATCCGATGCTATACCCACCCCAGAGCCTTAATGGCTATGCTATGGGCTACGGAGGCGATGGTGGCCAGGAGTTTGCCAGCTTGCCACCACTGGTCAATATGATGGGCGGGGCTGGAGCCGGTGGCTCCGAGCACGAACCAAACTCCACAGATGTGCTGGATGGAAGTGGAAGCAACCCAAACTTCAGCAGAGGGTGAGTCAAGACATTCAATCCTCAATCAATTCAAATCTAATAGTCGCCCTGCCTTCTTAATTTCAGGTTTCGATTCAGCGATCCGTGCCTTCTGAACCCCTCCGATAACGACTCCAAGCTGAGTGGTCAGAATACACCAGAGTGTCGAAACGGCAACCACACTGGCAGTGGATGCGATCTGGCACAACAAAACAAATTCTTCGCGGCACTAATGGAACAAATAAACATACTGCACGACACGAATTCCAAGATCTGCCGGAATTTGCACGAAACAAAAGGTTTGTTGTTTGAGGGATCAAAAGCAGCACTGGAATCTGTGTATATTACAGGCCTTGTAAAATGACTCATTGGTCACCATGTTTCCTTATAAACTTGTCTTCTCGAATTGCTAAATGGCTTTAGTTACACAAATTTCTCGTATGATTGAACCTACTTGCTATTACCTATTAATTTAGTATCTGTTGCCACCCATTACCTCTTTCTATGTACTTCTTGCACTCGTAATCACAATCACAGTCGATATCGAAGCTTTAAAGCACGCTCCCAATGGCCAGCCTTGGGCCGGGGTTGGCTCTGGGGGCATGCGGCACCGTAGAGATAGCTTGAGTGGATTAAGCACACAAAGTCAGCCTTTGGTTTTTGGCGGTGGAATGGGCGGGACCCACAGCCCGGCGCCCACCTTTCATTCAGGTACAAACTAGTCGGCACCCCTAATTTGGTCGTCCAACGAAATCGGCTATCGCTAACAACCGATTCTCTTCTTACAGGCGCCTACACACCAGGAATGATGACTGATGTGGTGCGAGAAGTGAAGGAGGCGGCGCGCGTTCGTGAAGATGCCCTACTCAGTCGGTAAGAAATAAAACTATAAATATATGTGTTTAAATCTTAATCCCAATTTTTTTTCCAGAGTAAAATCAATGGTTGAGGAGCGACAGTGGTCCTTGAACGAGGGAAATGTCCGAATTCTGCGCGATATTGATGACCTGAAGGTTCGTGCGGTTTTAAATGTCTGTTTCGCGGGTTTAACATTGCTGACCCTTTTCTTGCAGGCCCATGTTATGCAGTTGCGTCTGGAAAAAAAAGAGACAAATAAACGCCTGTCACACCTGGAGGCTGAAAACAAATGCCTGCGCCAAGCCCTAGCAGGTTGCTATAACCAGCGGCAATCTTATCACGATATTATCTATGAAAACGACCGTGCCCGCGGAACCCGAAAGCCATTTCCGAACGGAGGAGGCGGCGGCTTGGTGGCTGCCGGAGCTCTCGGAGTCCGACGGGCGCAGTCCTTCAACCTGCATTACGGAACGATGCACCAAACCCCGGCCCAAACCACACACTCTCTGGAAGAGGATGATGAAATAGAAGAGGAACAGTTGCAGGAGCAGGACGAGATGGATGGCGCAGACCAGTTGGTAACGGCCAACAAACGGCTGTCCTGCTCGAGCAACGAATCACGAAACAACGGGCTGCAGACAACCTTAACCTCAACCCATCACCTGACGCCTAAATCACCCCAACAATCAGTTCCGAGCCCTCCCACATTTGCGCTTATTACGGACCAGGTCAACCCGGGACTGCCCCCGCCACTGCTGCCGCGAAAAAAGGAGCACGCTCAGCTGAAACGGGAGCTCAGCGAAGTGTCCGCCGCACGTAAGGAGGCAAATCAACGTATAATTGCGTGGGTGTAGTCTATGCTCTGTTCTATATTCCAAACTAACCCAGCACTGTTTTAATTCCCATGCAAGAATGTTTTCAAAAGCACACACATTACTCTTCACCACACATATCCTCACAAAACAATTTAAAACGGGTAACTAATCACAATAACTTACATATTTTGCATTTCTGTTCTTCTCTTTCGACGGGTTCGTGTGGCAATGTACTGTGACAATATTTAGCCTTGAAAAATTGGTTAAAGACCTAAGTGCCCAGGTGGCCAGCCAGCCAAATTGGAACCCGACCGTATCTGGCACAGCATCTGACGCAGCAATGGCAACGAAATTCAGCGTGGCTGACGGACCTATTACAGACTTATAGTTTTAGCTATCAGCCTCCGGCTCGAAACCAAAAGGGCAGCGACAGACTATGCGTGTCACTCAATTATAGCAGCGGGATCGACGGCACTGCACCTTTTCTTTCAAAATTATTTATTACTCAATAACCTGTGCATAAGCTCCAATTTCTTAGCTTTAATGTTTTTACCACGGCTGAACTAATTATTTCATTCGAACCTTTTTTCAAACTCGAGCCCATGGTATCTTTCTAATTGGCTCGGGCAAAACGCATTTGTTTTGAATTTACTAAAAACAAATCTGTAACTAAATTTCTTTGTGGTTAAGGCTATTATTTATCAGATTATTAATTTCTTTCAATATCGTGTATCAATGTGTATCGATATCTACTGGAGTGATTTCGTTATATATGGATGACCTCTAAGAATTATTATACTAACTGAAAAAACGTGTACCTATTGCAATGAACAAAAATCAAAAGCTACCATATAGAAAAAATTATATTTTAGTCGGATGTTGATCCTCTTAAATAAGTGGATAAGGAGTTAATTTAAAATGTGTAGTTGTTAACCATATTTATTAAGTGCCATTTGATTAAACAGAAAATATAGTATATTTGTATATATAAATTACTTCATTCTGCGTTATTTGTGTTTATATATATAAATATAAACTTATACTTTTATACCAAATTAAGCCGTTACTCAATTTCTAGTATCCCTCATACATATATTAGATACATATATGCGCATTTATTTAAAACATTCCTTCAAATAAGCACTCGTACATTGGTGTCAAACTAAATTTTAAAACTGTTCCACTTCTTATGGGTCAACCCGACGTGTCATTCGATCCGTGCATCCATGTAGGTGGCGTCACTGATGCCGTTTGGTGCGGTCAAGTCAATGCAACCTCACAACGCATCTATGAGTGTGGATATATAAATTAATAATTTAAAATCGATTTATAACCAAAATAGAAGAGCTACTAAGTTATGGTTGATAAAATGTTCGATTAAAAGCCGTCTACATACATTGTGCCGCCATGTCACTGCTGTCGATCCCCAGCATGGCCAACTCATCGAGCTCCGCCTGACGCCGAAGCTTCTCACTGTCTGAAGGCGATGCCGGCGGCTGTGGTATGTCAGAGATGTCCGCCTGCTTATTGATGGCCTTGCCCTTCGCGTCATCGTCGGCTGGCGTAGATGTTGGAGGGGAACTGGGCATTGGGATATCCTCCGCGTCAATCTGTTTTAAGTTCCCTCCGGCTTCAGATTTTCCATTCATAATCCGCAACTCTTCGTCCTTCTTCGATGTTGGCATTGGTGAATTTTTGGACGCCTCAGTCTCGTCAATGGTCACGAGGTGAATACCTTGCTTGGCCAGGTCTTGAAGATTATGCTCACTGAGCACTGCATCGTCTTCAACGATAGTGGTGATGGTCTTAGGCTCACTTTGCTTTTCATTTGTAGCCTCCGGTACCGCTCCCTCGCTGGGGAATATTATGTTAAGGGCCTCGGCCAAGTCTTTTGGCAGTTCCCCGTCGCGTGGTTGTGCCGCAGCGTCCAAAGGCTGCGTTGCCAGATCAGATTCGGCTTCGTCAATGCCAGGCGGCAGGACGTCCTTCTCATGGTTTTCGTTTTCATTCTGTTCGTTGTCTTCTGGATCATGGGTTTCCCCGTCAGAGCCCTCTCCCGGCGGTGGAGGAGGCGGACAACTGGTCATCAAATTGGCGAACTGGACGGGATCTGGCATCAGCTCGTCGTAATCTACCATCATACCCGCATCAGGATGAAACGGAGGAGCATTGCCGAAGGCATCTTCCATCATGGCCATCTGAATCTGTGCCGCTGTCGGTGCGGGCTGACGCACAGCCACCTGCCCAGTTGTTCCCCCCATCGGCGGAGGCGGCGGCGGAGGTGCCTCTAAACAGCCGTTGGTGTAGACTACAGCAGCTGGGTCGTAGTTAACAGCGGCAACCGGCTGCTTCTTGAATACTGGCATCTTGCCGATGAAGGGCAGTTTCTTGCCTCCAGGCAAAGAGTTGCTATTGGGCTTCGACTTTAACTTGATGTCTGGATCCTTTTTGTCGCGCTTACTTTCCGCCTGCTTGCGTTCGGGCACCGTACGGGGCCGGAACTCGGAATGCTTGATCACTGGACGCTCTACCCGCTCTTCAGAGCGACTGCGGCTGCGTCGGCTTCGACCCTCCCGGGAACGACTTCTTCGGCTGGATCTTATGGGCGAACGGGAGAAGTGTCTGCCACGGCTGCGGGACCGACGACGCCGGGCACGGTCTCTGTCCCGCTCGCGATCCCTCCGATCTCGATCTCGCCCGCGACTAATGCTACGAGAGTGAGTGCGTCGCTTAGAACGGGATCGAGAACGGCGCCCTCCTCCCCGCTTCAACTTTTCATCAGCTGCGAATGCTGCATGCGGTACTATTTTACGGTCCTCCGATTCACGGGGTCCCTTGTTCTTCAGCCTGCCTTTAAGATGTTCCAACAGTTTTTTTTCACTCTCACTTATTACAGGCTGCACAGTATTCCACTGCTTCATCATCACATCGTCCCGTTTCTTTTGCTCCTCTTTCTGTTCTTCGGCGGTGGCAGAAGTCCATTTTCCTCGGCTTGAAGAATTTATAGAATCTTTTATGATTGGAGGCGGCGGCGGCGCAGGCGACTGGAAAGGCACTTCCGATTTCAAAGATTGTGTCAGGGGAGTGTCCTGCTTGCGCATGGCCACGCGTACCGAGGGGGCATTAGTTGATTTATCTGTCTGACCACTTGATGGTTCTTCGGTACGTCCTTTCTTTGGTTGCTGCGCCTTTTCCTCTTCCGACGAAGAACTATCGGAGGATGAAGATGAGCTGTTGGCGTCGATTGTATTTCGCTTGCTCTTCTTCCCATGTTTACGTTTCTTTTTCTTCTTTTCACTGCTGTGCGAGAAAACAAAGCCGAATGAATAATATTCTTATTGGTATACAAATTATAATGATCTTTACCTCTTTTTCTTGCGCTTTTTAGACGTCTTGTCATCGTCCTTCTTGGTCTTTTTATTTTTAGAGTCATCCTGCTCCTTCTGTTGATTCATGGCCCGTTCACGGTTTGATTGCCATTCGATTTCATAGTTTGGATTTTGGTTTATATATAGCTGTAACAAAATTGTGTTGAAAGGAAACATGGAAGTTAAAATACAACAAAAACCAAGAAAATTGGAACCCGTGGGATGTCACACATATTTTGTTTCACGAACGTATTTGGTTACTAAACATGTTAAATGCTGTTTACCAAACTTACCACTTTTACCACAAAAACCGTAGTAATTAAAGCCGTATTTTAAACGAATAGGCTTTTGATATTCGTTTAAACTACTTAAATGGTGTAGTGTTACATCAAAACAGATTTGTTAATGCTGAATTTCTAAGCGAGGAAGCTGACGGAAAAGGTTGGGTTTATTGATCAGCATCAATCACTTCTTTTTCTGGATATAATGAGTACTTTTGTATTTTTTGAACTGAAGGACTTGCGTTCTAGTGGTTTCCATAAAAAGGTGGCTTTAAAAATATTTATTCATTTTTTACTATTTACCATTTATTTTTAAATTCTAAAGATTTTCAGCTTAGGCATGGATGGCTAATAACTGAAATACCCAAAATTATATCACAACTCACCTCATATTTGTTTGAGTGTAGCCTAGACTTGAGATGAGCGGAAGCGCAGTGCAAGTCCCCGATCCAAACACTGCAGAGCTTGCAGAACCAAGCGTTGGCCGGGACCAGAAACTGCATGCCTCGAACAGGGACGCGCTTTACAGGCGCGTTTTCAAACGTGGGAAAGGGATCGTGGTCGATGCCGACATGCCAGGGAGTTTCTATGGTCTCGCGATTCATGTGTTCTTCGGCATGTAAGTGCTTTAAATAGTCTCGCGCGGACTTTGGAAAAACGCCACAACTCTCGCACCAATGCTGTTCGGGATCGAAAAACACAAAATTGTAGTTTTGTGCTGGAGCTGGTGCAGGCTTCGTTTCACCATGTCGCTGTTTTGACTTCATAGACTTGATAGCGCGGTGCTTGAGCCGATTGGTGGGACTGCCCTCGGCGCCGCCGGTCTCCTCCTCGTCCTCGCCATCGGATGACGAGTCCGTCGAACTACTGGACGAAGCGCTGGAGTCCGAGCTGTCGGCAGAGCTCTCACTGGAGGAGTGGGAGCGACTACCCTGTTGCTCTGGCTGAGGCTTTCCATGGGCCTTTGACTTCAGAGGCTCATCATCGGGATCCTCGTAGCCAATTATGCCGTTCAGCATGTCTATAACGTTTTCGATTGTATCCAGTTTCTTCTTAATTTGCACCTGCTCCGCAAAAATTATATATATATATTATAATGTCCAATTCGAATTAAGTTGGGGATTAAGCTCACCTGCAAGCGATCGTTTTCCTCAATAAAATTCTTGGTGGTTGGAGAAGGTGGCGCTTCGCCTGCGGTCAAGTCCTCACGCTGGTCCCTCAGCACTTTCATTTCCTTCTTAAGCAGCGTAACCTTCTTGACGTAGTTTGCCCGTTGTTTCTTGAGCTCATCCTTCTGCTTCTCCGCCTCTTGTGCCACAGCTGCCGTTGGACGGTATATAGATGGGGGATAAACAGAGAGGCACTCATTAAAAAACATCCTTGTCGGAGAAATAAAAGTTCAAATTTCATTTACAAATGCATTCTCGAGTGCATTTCACCGGCTAGTTACACACGGATGCAGTCGCCAGTTCTGCCAGTCCTCGTTGGGGATGAAGTGCCAGTTGGGGTGACGACGGCGGGCGTCCAGGTTGGCGTAAGTGCGTCTTTCGACTACCGCCACACAAGAATGGCAAAACTGCGTTTTCTATTCGAAACAGAATGACAAATTCGAGACCCTCGCTCGGGTCGGTCTTTGTTAGTTCTTGCTGCGCGTATACGGCTAGATTCTGATTGATCTGATCTTTATTACCCTATACTTTTGGTAATTTCTGGTATGCGGGCCTTTAGCGCGCATTTAAGTTACAAGTACAAGTAATCATGACAACAGTAATAAAACATAATGTGAGAGGTTTGCATGTGAATGTTCGTAGTGACCACATTGTAATTCATTTCCACACTTACCGTCCTGAGGCGGCAAACCTGCGCCGTCGAGCGCTGGTACCTTCTGCTCCACCTCCACCTGCTTGTCCGGCGGAGCTTCCCGGGTCTGCTGTGGTTGGACCAGTCCGTCCGGAGCAGACGTCTGCACTGCGGTCATGGGCTGAGTCATCCACACCTGCTGGCCATACTCTGCCAAGATCGAAGATCGAGCCCATTTAACACATAGTTCCGGAGGCCTGAGTCCCGTACTTACCATTAACGCCCCAAGCGCCAGTGGGCGGTGGTCCATAGCCAGTGCCGAAAGATGTCTGCTCCGGAGGTCCTGGCATGCCGTATCCCGAAGGAGGTCCCTGGGGCGGAAAGGCGTTCGGCGGCATTCCGTACTGGTGGCCATAGACATCGGGTGGAGCGCCATAGGGAGCATACATCTGAGGGGCCATGACGCCGTAACCTGGGGCCATTTGCTGGGGGGGCAATGGCGGCGATGCAGGTTTCTTTTTCGGCGACCAACGACCGCCACGTCGGGGCGAGATGCTGCGAGAGCGGGAGCGTCCGTAGCGACGACTCCGTCGGGGAGGAGAGCGTCGGCGGTCAAAGCGGCGACGGGGATACCGCCCGTAGTCGGGGAGTCGTAGCGCCCACGGCGGGGGGTGACGGCGAGCGGGAGACGGAGCGCCTTCGCCGCGTGGTTGGTGGCGAGGGAGCGTTGCGGGAATCGGAGCGCCCACGGGAATTCGATCGGCGCCTGGAACTGGACTTGCCGCCCTTTCCCGACGTGCTGCTCTTGGCCTCGCTCTTCCCGTTTCCGCTTTTCTCTTCGACGCCGGGTGGACCCAGGGGCAGATCGACCGCGTTGCCCTGACGCCTGTCCGATGGCTGCTTCGGAGCCGAGTCTTCGTCCATCTCAAAGCCGTGGATGTGTTCCACGGGCTTCAACGCACTTTTTTGCGATTAGTTGATGACAGAGACGCGTTTCTTGCTAGAAAATTCCGAAATTACGTGTGGGTAGCGAGATAGAATAGTGCAATATCCAATCGCCTTCGAAAATCGGTGAAATCCCAAACGCGTTCGTTGCCTGCCGATTAATTCCCGTCAAAATAGCGAAGTTCGGTTAGTGACAAATTTGGAACGTTGGAATTTAAAACATGAATTTTTTGGCTTATATTTTAAAATTTTTTGCATCTACGAAAACAGGTTAAACGGAAGCGCTGTTGCTAAAAAAAAATTATTTTTAATGCAATTGACTATTATAGCCAATTCACACAGAGCAGGATGTCAAAATCAAAAATTTCCCAATTGGTTGTAGATAATTCTATTCGATATTTAACCGATAAAATCCAAATCATGGCGCGAAACAATTTGAATTTACATATCTGCCTCAGTCAGAGGCGTAGTAGGAAGGGAAGTGGGGCTCCCGCTCCCCGAGGTAGCAAATTGTATAAGGAATTGTTGAAAGCTTTTATTTAAAAGCCCAGATAGGCTTCTAAATTTAATATCTTAGCATTTAATAAAATAATAAAAGCAAGAAAAAATTGTTCAATAGTTATATTGCCTCAATAAATTTAGATGACGGACGGTTATTTGCCACTTGTGCTGGTCATTAAGTATTTTAATGTTTTTGATTAAATCAATATTGCAAGAGTCAATTGATATGATACAAATTAATGTTCAACATTTTTAAATTTTCGATGATTCCAAGTTTATTTGAAATCGTTTCCCCCTACCATTAGAGTACACTAATATTAAACATGTACTATTCTAATAAACGGTGATTTAAAATTAACCATAGTATTAAAAAATAAAACCAAAACACTTTTATCTGTTTTTGATATAAAGTTTTGCATGGAAAAAATGCTATGAATACATGAAAATGTACAAAATTTTTCGTCAAAAACTTGCTTCTAATCTAAGCCTACCCAAGGACAACTAATATTTTTAAGTTTGAAAAAAAAGAATCCTTAAATACAGGAAATCTATTTGATTCTTGATAATTATGAAAACTTTGACTCATTGACACTTGTTTAGCTTTATTTTACGAAGATTGCAGCCAAGGGCAAGCACTGTTATCTAGCCTTTACTTTTGGAGTGTTTACTTAGATGCCAATTTATAAAAGCATTTTCTGGTAGTAACTGCACTTTATCGTTGCAACAATGTAGCTATAAAAGGCATTGAATGCCCCAGTTGCTCATCAGTTTGTCCAAAGATGAAGCTTCAGCTCGCCCTCAGTGCACTCCTCGTGATTTCGTGTGGGCTTGTCCAGGCCTACAACGGTGATGGGCAACCGGGTTGCAAGACTCAAGCAGAGATCGAGATTTCCGTTTTCCGTAACGATTGGGATCCCACATCCTACTGGAAGTGTGAGTCACTCAACAAGCCGGCCAGTGAAATGAAGTGCCCCAGCGACACGGGATTCATGGATAGTCTCAAGAACTGCGTTAGCTGGGAGGAGTGGGAGTGGGAGAAACCCGTGGCCCCGCTCAGCGAGGCCGATCAGTGACCAATTTCACAAATCAGGAAAATTAGAACAGCAGAATGTGATTATTTATGTTGTTGAATTGAGAATAAAAAAAACCGCGTTAAGGGTGGCATACGCAGCAAAACAGATTCGGATGGTATCGGAAGCAGCAGAATCGGGATTAGTCCCGCGTGCGAAGTCCCCAAATCGAGGTGCGACGAGTGCCCACAGTTGGACGGGAAACCGAACTGTGTATGAACTTGTTGATGCCCATTTTGGGCATTTGCTTCTCAAGGACTTCCATGGCGGCGTCCGACAGCATTCCAAATATGTCCAAATAGGTCAGAGACGGCATACCCTTCAGCTCGCTGCAATCAAAATGGCAGGCTAGAAACCAGTCAGACGTGGGAAAGTATGAACTTACATGAATCTGGAAGCAGGAATAAGATAACAACGGGAAACGGACAAATATTCCAACATTTTAAACTTCATGATTGCCGTAATAGCTGCCGGGGTGAGGCTATTGCAGTCCGATAGATCAAGCTCCAGCAGCTGAGGGCAACGTTTCTGGAGCGATGCAACATCTACAGAAAATAAATTAAACTAATAAGAAAAGGGATTTGTACTCCCTGATGAGGCTCCACTTACGAGAGTCAAAAAGTACGCGGCGGCAACCTGCAATATTCAGCCGAATAACATTGGGGGAGATGTGAGTGACCAACGCCGTAACAGCATCTGCACTTAGGTCAGTCCACGATATGTTTAGGCTGCTCAGATTGGTCAGGGACTCCATCATTAGACGCACACTGCTGGCTGTTAGGCCGCTCGCCATGCTCAGATTGACTGCCTCCAAGGCTTTATTTTTGGCGATCTCCGTGCAGATGCTATCATCAAGCTCAGTGTTCTCTAGACTTATTTTCTTCAACTGGCGGCAGTGGGAGAGAAGTGTGCGAAGTGAGCTTCGACTAATGGAGGCCATGCTTAAGTCGAGATATTGCAGTCGCGCTCTAAAGCCGGCCGATGATGGTGCGAAAGCGGGCTCCTGTACCTGTTTTACAGGAAAGAAAGATTTAAATTGCCGAATACTCCAATAACAACTGGAAATGTTACTTACACTAGCCTGGGCCAGACGTATTACCAGGACTCCTCGACGAACAATTTGCTCGAGGGCGCCTGGTCGAATGGTCCGCAGACCCAGATCCAGCCTTGTCCACAAGGTCTCGTCCCGAGAGCAGCGGTTAAAGCGACGACAAACGGTCGCCATGCGCAGGAGCGTCTTTTTCGGGAGCCACTTAAAGATGTCTAGGACAATTTCGTCAGACAGTCGGTCGAAGTAGTTTATCCCGCTGCTGATGTGGGCACTCATGGCCGGGGTGCGGTACACAAAAAAGCTGTCCGTGGGCACCAGCCGGGCGGAGTTCTGAGTCGATGAGGACTTTTTTGCCTGGCGGACTTGCGCCAGCCTACTGGTGGAAGGCTGAAAGTTGAGCGGGGACGCCGTCTCACTCTGGTTGTTGCAGGTGACTGCAGCCAAAGGGTTTCGCAAGCGTTTGCTGGGCGAGTTTGAGTTGCTGCCGCCTTCAGTGCCCACTGCCGAGCGCTTGGACTGCGACAGCAACTGCAGCTTCTCGGTCGACTGGCGGGAAAGGGCATCCTCGACGGCGGTGCTGTCCTGTGTGGTGTCAGCCGAAGAGCCCAAGCTTAGGCGCTGCGGGTGCTGGAGCTGGTGTGCCATGCGAGGAACACTGGCGTAGGGAGTGGTCTCGTTGGAATTATCGTCGCTGGTGGCGCTTGCACTGACCGCCAACGCAATGGCCGAGAGGGCTGAGGAACTGCTCTCCTCGGAGTCCAGCATTCCGATGCCCATCTCCTCCAGGGCTTCAAAAGTAAGTGCCGAGGGCGAGGAAGGGTGCTCGTAGTGCGAAGACTTCGTGGCGGAAACTAGAGCGCCCACCGCAGAGGCGGGGTTCTTACTTGTTGAGCGTTTTCTGCAATAGTCGGGGATTAATTAAAAGTGCAGAGCTGGACAGTGCCTCATCAGCATGGGCGTTCGGGTCAAGCACCGAGCAATTCAATAAGTCACTTTCTTGACCTCGTTTGGTCATCTTGTGAAACGTGTGACGTCACGGGAGCTGTTTGTTATCTACTTTTTGGCTGCCAGGGGAAAAGCAATGTATTACCTGGTGACAGGGCATAGATTTTCCATATTCTCAAAGCCTCTGTGCTTACGGCCGCTCATATTTACGCAAAATTAACTATTGTTTCTCCGCCGTACAGACAAAATCTTCGCGCTATTTTTACAGGGTGGCAGGGTTGTCGCCGCTCTGGTAGTTTGTTATTTTAATTATATCGTTATCGAAATATCCACGACCAATCCGTGTTGCCAGACCGGTGCTCCAATAAGTGATACCGTTTTGGTTAGGGTAAAAAATCCGTCGTCGAGGCTTCCTACCCCGAGTCAAATAACAAAGGCAAAACTGTTTCGTTCAATTGTACAATAATAAATTGTTCGAAAAACAAAGAGACTGGTTGTAATTACTCTCGTCGGCTGAATAAGAAAAGGGTGAGAAACACACTAAAAGGGGCCACTGGCCTTACGCTCCCACACGTACTGACCCGACTTTCTTTGTTGCAGGTGGAGTCTGTTACTGGATTGGAGATTTCTAAATGGTGAAAACAGCACCGCTCCTGCCCCTTCCACCGGTCTTTCGCGAGCACTATCAAGATGAGCATGCGCACACGTGCCTTGGTCTTCTCCACCTTCTTCGGCAGCTGCCTGGCCATCGGCCTCCTGCTGGTCAGCATGACCACTAACCACTGGGTTCGCGCCGATCCGCGCCGCAAAAACTCGACTGAGGCCAAGGGCGAGGTCAACTTCGGGCTCTTCTACGGCAGCCAGCACCTGAATATCGGATATGGCGTGCGCCCCTATCCAATTGACGGTGAGCCCCACAAAGTAGTCGTCGAAAAATTGAGTAACTCTGGTGATCAGAATTCAGTACCAGAATGCCGGAGCCACTCAAGTATTTTATTTCCTTGGAAAGTTTGTCAAGCGATTCCTATTAATTTATATATCATTGGAGAGGGTATTATTAAGATACCACATTTTTGTTCAGCTTGGCAGGACCAAAACCGTCTGTCCGGTTTAACTCAAACTTCTAACTCAGCGTTAAAGCTATCAAGAACTTTGGGAAACTTTCAATCGTAGGCAGTATTATTTGTGAGTCAGAATTGGTGGATCGGATGATTTTATCAAATAGCTCACATAAAATATATTAAACAAGAAAGAAAGCAAACTTCGCAAGCTGAAGTTTATATACCCTTGCAATTGTTACATATCTACTACATTTCGTTTTCTATGCCTATATTACTGAAAACAATGAAGCAATGTCGATTTTGCGCTGCATTTTGCCATCGTTTCTATGGCAGCTATATGATATTGTTATCCGATCTTAATTTAGTTAAAACAGTAATTCCATAATATTTAAATATTACCAAATCCGAAAAAACAGAAAAAAAATTAAAAACCAAGTTATAATTTTTTAGAATTTTTTTATATGATATCGTCGCCTGATCTGGCTCGTTCCGACTTATATACTACCTGCAATAGAAAGACAACTTTTGGGAAAGTTATAAGCAGATACCTTTAAAACTGAGGGACTAGTTTGCGTAGAAACGGATGGACAGACAGGCGAACGGACAGACTGACATGGCTAGATCGACTCTCCTGGTGATGCTGATCAAGAATATATATACTTTATAGGGTCGGAATTGTCCCCTTAACTGCGTTGCAAACTTTTGACTGAAATTATAATACCCTCTGCAAGGGTATATAAATACATAGGAAAATAAAAGTAACATCATATTATTAAATGTTAAGCCGTTTTACTTTACTTTACTTTACTTTCTGGCATACAATACATTAAAATAGTGGCAAATATTATTATTAAATAAGAAAATAGCAACTATTTCAACTTTGACCCTTTTACGTGTTAAAGACTCTCCTAATAATAGTAGCTTTAAACAAGAAAGAAAAGCTAACTTCGGGCGGAGCCGAAGTTGATATACCCTTGCAGAATATTCTGTAAATTATATTCTCCAAAACTATTCATATGATGCATTCTTAATACTCATAAAAAATCCCAACTTCCTAACTTTAAAAACACCAAAGTTATGGCATTTCCAATCGTTCATTTATATGGCAGCTGTAGGATATAGTCGTCCGATCCTTATTAAATTTCATAGGTCGGATTGATTGGCCAAAAATAAAACCCATAGAAAATTCCAACTTCCTAACTTAACAAACACCAAAGTTATGGCATTTCCGATCAATCAGTTATATGGCGGCTATAGGATATAGACGGCCGATCCTTATAAAATTTGGTAGGTCGGATTGATTGGCCAAAAATAAAACTCTTAGAAAATCCCAACTTCCTAACTTTACAAACACCAAAGTTATGGCATTTCCAATCAATCAGTTGTATGGCAGCTATATGATATAGTCGGCCGATCCCGGCCGTTCCGACATATATACTGCGTGCAAAGGAAAGAAGGGTGTGTGCAAAGTTTCAATTCGATATCTTTAAAACTGAGAGACTAGTTTGCGTAGAAACAGACAGACGGACAGACAGACAGACAGACGGACATGCTCATATCAACTCAGGAGGCGATCCTGATCAAGAATATATATACTTTGTTGGGTCAGAGATGTCTCCTTCACTGCGTTGCACACTTTTGTCCAAAATTATAATACCCTCTGCAAGGGTATAAAAAGAGGATACTTTTAAAAATACGAACCAACTATCTTGTCTTGCAGTTTACACATTTGTCCGCACAGAGAACGGCGACTCCAGCTTCTGGCTTTGGCTCCTCACCACCTTGGGCACCGGTTTCGGCCTCCTGGCTTGCGCAATAGCCGCCATCGCCGCAGTCCTGAAGTCCGCCTCTGCGGCCAAGAGGGGCGGCACGATGGTGCTGCTCCTGGCCGCCAATATATCCGCTGCGGGGGCCCAAGTAGTAGCATTTTTGGCCTGGTTGATGCAGTTCTACAACTACTTCAGCCTCAACGTCCTTCTGGCCGAGCAACAGCAGCAGCACTGGTACAGCACGGGGCTGGCCTACCTTGGCTACAGCTTCTACTTGGTCGTGATCTCCACCATAGTGGTACTACTGAACATCGCTGTTTTGCTGTACGCCAAGCGCCGCGACCTCCGCGACCGCCGACGCCTGGAGCCGCCAAGTGAGGACAAAAACAAGGCCGCCATAATGCTGTACTAGAAGGGAGAGGAGACGAAATCCCAAATGAACCTCAACGCATCTGCTCGGAAAGCGGACGAGCAGCGACAACAATAAATCTCAGTGGCTCAAATGATTGTGCCTTACTTAAGGATGCCTTTTGCTTGCCAACAATAAGGCCCAATTATATACTCACTTAAATTGATGGTACATTCGCTTAGATTAGAAAATGTTTGACTGAAGCCGAACTTTTAGCGGAAAAAGAAAACTACACTGCCCGCACCTACCAATATTTATATAACTTTTACATATACATATACTCGAATGACATTTTTCTATACATTGTATTTACTGCCACCGGCAGCCAAGTATTTTTATGTGCATATTTACAAATACAACAACAGTCATTGTTAAAAAATAGAGGACACAAGCGCTTTGTTTACTAATTGATCTATCAGATCAGAGCAACCTCCCGGGGGAAGTGGGAATAACCAGAAGCGCACGCTACACTTCCGCATAGTAAAACCCGGAATCTCCAAGAACGAGTCAATTAAAAAAGGTGTGTCTGACAGTGCCTTGATGAATTGACCAAGAATCTCGCCTTTTCCTAAATGTCACAACATCTCCAGCGTTCCAGCTAACTTATCTACATTGCAAAGGAAATAGCAGGGACCACACGGCGAGCGAAAAATCCAAGTGTCATTGCATTCAATTTCGCAAAGAAATCAATTATCTAGTTTCTCTGTTTCTTTTCCGGGTCTTGGGACGGCTTGTGTGGCTTGGTCCTGGGAGGACTTCCTATTGCGTCTCGGGACCCACACAGGACTCGGCACCTTCGGCTGCCGATGCTGTGGCCAGATAGAGCCAATTATGTCATCATTAGGTTTGATTAGTTTTCAGGGCTCATGTTGATGGGAAAACTGGCCGGCACTTCCGGCACCACCTACTGTTTGCCTTTCGGGCTCGCTGCCCCGCAGCGCGACTCTCGGGTGCTGTTTTGGTTGGTTTTCGGTTTGATTTCAATGACATTGCGCAATATTGATGGACGTGTTTTTGATTGAGGCTGATCGATACCACCTTTCGTTGCGACTTGCAGCAGGCTCGCGAAGAAAGCGGATACGACCTCTATGCCGTCGCAGATCTTTCTGGCCTGTGGCTTATCTCGGCAAACAGCTTAGAGCCATGTGTGAGGATCTGGGCAAACCACTGCCCTTATCCTATCTGTGCTTCGGCAGCATTATGCAAGACGCGGCGTCAGGATTAGACCAGAAATTGCGTATATGTATATTCGTGCAGACACATCGCAAAGACGGGCTCATTAGGTCCCGGGCTCGGGCGAGATTACGAAGCGGACAATCGACTTATTAAGAGTGTTTATGCAGATAAACGAATCGTTTAGCGGGTGTCGGGACATACCCACTTTTCCGCCTAGGATCTGCGAACAGACCCTGGAAAATACGATCGCAAACCGCTAAAGCCGGAGTAAGGGCCTCGGAGCTGGGATTCTCGAGGATGCTGCCGAGGACGGTCTGTGCAAACATAATTAACTGGAAAGTCTCGTAATCGAATGCCGAGACTATCAATAGAAACACCAATTCGGCCACCACCCACGATGAAACCGAGGCATCAACTACTTGGAACTCATCCCGCTTGTTTACGTCAACTTGTCCTTGGTTTTTTATAGAGCAGATTGCTCTATTCATCGGGAAAGCATGGCGAGAACCGCAGAACACACTGTCCAAGAGAAAGCCAACAAGAGGCCAGACAAACTGTCTCCTATTCTTGCGAGGCTGTTGCTCCTGTCGGCCAATAAATTTCCCAATTAAATGGATCCTCTGACACTTCGCATAAAACGCTACTACCCCCTGCCTACCCTGCCCTCGGGTGGGCCCTGTCTCGCTTCCTCCCATTCATCCCTATCCGCGTTAATAAGGGATGAGGGTTGCTCAGCGAGGGCCAGGGGTTGATACGGGCATCATCGCACTGGCTTGGCCGAGAACTGGCGCTGTGAAAGGTAGCCAGACCCTTTGGGTGCGACCGAGCCATCAGGGCAGTCGACGGCGACTCCATTTTTTATTCGGGCTCACTCGCCGCTCGTTCGATCCTGGTTTTCGCACTGCTCCTCATTCAATTGCTCTGGGCCCGGCTATTGTGGCATTGCGAAATTATGGCCCGTATATTTCTCTATTAGTGGCACAAAAGACATTTCAATTTCTCACTCTGGCGCTCTGGGTGGGCAGGAGAGATAGAGATGCTGCTAAGATTCTGGTACTGGTAGTGCTGCCAATTACCTCGCTGCGAACTTTTTGCGGACCACCCGAGGAATCGTGTTTGGCCTTTTTGTGGTCATGAATGGCCATGCAATTGTTCCTGATTGTCAGAAGGTTATTGATAGCCAAACTACTTTCTTGTTAGGAAGTAACTTCTTTCTATTGCATGACTTTGTCTGCGGAACAATGGACATTTATACCCACAATCTGGTGCAATTTTGATTTGGATTCTTATGTTTAAATTATAAATTCTGGGAACTGTTCTATATCTTGGTTAAAAAATATTGTCGAGTTCCATACTTGAAGAGTGTCATACCGTCATTGGAAAAAATACACACTCTTGATAAATTTACATGTTTTGCATATATGTATATCGTATATATTTATCAGTCCACTGCTTACAATGCTTGCCTTTCTTCAGAAAAATAATTTCACGATAAACTTGTTTATATAAAGAGGGATGTTTTCTTAAAATAGTAATCTTACGAAGTTTTAAAAACTGGAATGTTTTCTTCAATGCCATTTTCCCTAAAAGACCTTTCCAGATTGATTATACCCCAGCCAAGGCTAATTATATTTTCGTAAGTTTTTTAATAAACAAAAAACATTTATCGTTGTTTTGAAACCATATATTATTCTCTTTCTTAGTTTTTGTACACGATTTCCGTTTTAAAATAAAATAATAAGTATATCCTAAAATGGCAATGCATATGTAATGATCTAAATAGCGTCGAGTGTCATACCGTCATTTTATACCAGAAACCAATAGAAGAAAATTGTAATCGTGCAAAAGTAGGTAACAGGAAATTAATTTAAGATGTGATCATATGAACATCGAGAAATATAGAAGAGCTTGTTTGTATTGTCCTTAAAATTTGATTGGCTTTCTTCAAATCCCACAAGGCGAGAAATATTGTGAAAGTAAATAAAAAATTAATTAATTAACTTAATTTTTTAAGTTTTTAAATGGGTTGAATTGGGCCTGATTTCCTGTTTTGTAAAGTATATTCTAAGGGTATAGTAGATGCGCCACAACGGGTCAGTTTATATTAGGAGGTCACTCGGGTGGTGATGACCCGGCTGTCCTCAGCGGAAATCCCGCCGATCCACTGGACTAATTTTTTATGTTTTTTTTTATGACTATTCAAGAAGCAAGTTTGATAAAGGGGCCGTGCAGCTGTCATTATTCATTCAATTTTTAAACTTTGTGTGTTCTAATTTTAATTTTTATTTTATGTCGAAATGATCAATATCAGACGACTTTATTATAATTTTCCGGTGGTTTGCACCATCTATAAGATATTTTTAGCTTTAGCTCGAGCTGCTTGTTTATACATACGCTTAAAACAAGAAAGTTCTGTTAATCGGAGAATGAATAGAAAAATCATTAAAAATATGTATAGGCATACAACACAAGTTATAGTTATTTTATAGGATTTCAGAAATTAAATTTTAATTTTATAAATAGTTGTACTAAAAATTCGACTATTCGTATAGCTTTGAATCGGTCAATTTATATAACATCTTCAAAAATCTGTTTTTAAATTAAAGTAACATGTAGATATTTTTTCAATTTGAATTCGAAATTTTTAATTTCAATATTATCATATATATCTGTTTTAAGAAAGAAACATGTAAAACATTAATGCTTAGTAATTGTTGGAATTAGAGTACAAACTTATATAGTCTTATCGAAGTTAATTTGCTTTCTTGCTTAGAAAAAGTCGGCTATTGACCATTGGATTGATTTGTGAGGATAATTAAGTTATTTTTTTAATATTAGATTTATTTTTATAGAGTATTTATGAATTTCACTTTAATTTTACAGTGCAAAACGGAAAATGTAACTCCATCTCTTAAAGTCGCAGAAGACCCAAAGAGCTGAATTAACAAATCGAAATTAAAAATGTAAAAAAAATAGAATTTGGTATAATTACCATTTGGTTGTTGCACAATGATTGTTTTGTTATTAATAAATTTGTTCAACAATCCGCAATAAGGCCATCGGGTGCGGTAACTTAAATATTACTAAATCATTACGGTGGTAAAGGTCAGCCAGATAATTTCTGCCAAGTGCTTATTTTAATTTTTTGCTTGCCGATTTTATTACATCGGGGGAAGGGGGGTTGAAAGTACCCAAAACTATGATGCATAGTAGACCTCACAGCCAAGTAAAATCGGAAAATTACAAAATAAAGCATATGCAAGGATAAATTAGTTTTCAACCTCGTTTAGAGCTGCTTTTGTTTGTGGCCATAGGGCCTATAAATAAATAATAATAAATAAACAGTTTTATTTAATTAAAACAGCTTTTGTATAAAAGTGATAAATATCAATATCTTAAGGATGGAAAGAAAACTATACGATTATAGGAACTGCGGCCAATAAACCATTAAACCAAAGACCAATATAATCTATTATATATATTATTTTATATTATATTGGTCTTTGATTAAACCTTTAGCATTTACTTGTAAGTCTTTCTTTGAACTAATTAGTATTTATTTATTTATTGCACTTTTGATTAGAATTTAGGAAGTAGCGCAACAAAATTTTACATCTGGATCTGCATGAATACAGAACGATCAGCGCATAGTGTAAGGTATTGAGAAAATTATTGCATCTAATCTTTTGGCCTTGAGTATATTTTACGTTAAATTTAAAATACAAAATAAGTACATATATATTTAATTTCTGGATTTGTAAATGATCCTTATTAAAAATAATTCCTTTAAATCTTGGCTTATATGTATATATAAGATGTTAAATAGGAATGATAAGCAAAACTATGTCCTCATGTCCGAACTTAAAAAATCGATAGAGAAATGCAAACATTGGAAATTGGGATTATCGAATGCCGTTGTCAATCAAACGAAATGGTCTTTTTATTAATTGCCAGCAATTACACTTGGACTCGGGGCAATATATAATAATTTGAGAAATGAGTGTTTGAACTTTGTTGCAGCAAGTGGGTCTCGAGTGTTCGCCCAAGTAGTTAAAGTGTAGCCCCTGTGTCTGGAGCAAACGACGAAATTGTAAAGGCTGGAATGGAAGGGACACAATATAGATCATTGTGTCACTTGTGCGATGTGAACGACGACGCACTGTCTGGCAGATAGGAACATTTTCTCAGGCCCTGAGGAACAACAGGCAGGTAGGAGACAGGTAATGTAAGAACTGCACGCCCCTATCAAGCGGACGAATTTTCCATTGTCCTGGAAGCTGGTCGAAAAACGGCCCACCGCCCAACTACCTTCATAAATTGCCTCTATTGTCCGCTCGTAGAAGTCACAATGATATTGACCAGGGATCGATCGCCCGTTCGCATAACCAATTCCACAATACTCATGGGTAATTTTTCGACTTCTCGCAGACTTTGTGTCTCGGTCGCTTTGCTCAGGTGGACCACTGCCACTCCATTGTCCTTATGAATGACGCAAGCTGTCAGGTGAGTAATGGCGAGGCGACGTGGAGGGATCCGAATCCGAATCTGAGGGACTCTGACTGTGGGAAATTATTGCCAAACCGATGTCGTTTTGATATGCAGTTAGAGTACAACTTCTACTTATTGTCGTGGGTTCTCGTTCTCCCTTTTCCAGCTTGTGGGCCCCTGTCTGCGTTGTTGTCTTATTTTTGCTCATTTGTGAATAGAATTTGGATAGATTCCGCCCAAATGACTTGTGCATTTTAACCCTTTGATGGCAGCGGCACGCATAAATGCCATTTTCATTTGCCTTTGATAATGTCGGCATGACGAGCTATTTGCCAAATGATCTGGTTAGCGGGAAGTGACACTGCCACGGATAGTCATTAATATGCACGCAAAATGGTTTCCGGTCTTTTGCTATTAATAATGCAACTAATGCACTAAATTACAGGATTCGCCTTGAAGATGAATAAATAAATAGATTAGCATTTAATAATTCTATTTATCACTTGTCTGTTTGCGGTCCACCCTTCTATGTGTCAACTTGATTTAATAGCCCCCATGTGAAGATGAAAACTTCATTCCTTACAAAAAATGATCTTAGACTTCGAAAAATTCAGAATAAAGGTTTGGCTTTTTATAGTATTTGTATTTTTTCTGGTGTAAACATAAATCGTATAATGCAACTCTCAATATTTAACTATGATCGTATAGTATTTAGGTATAAATCGTATATTTCTAGTAACCGCGTTCAGCTTATAAAACTGGTAAAATATCAGCTTACTTATAATATAGACTGTTTGTATGCGTACATACGTACAAATCTGGTATCTCTTAAATCTCTTAATCGCTTAGCATATGAGAAAGGATCACTTAAGGAGGTATTTACACATGTGCGGGGTTTTTGTGCGCTCATAACTAGTCACGTAGCTGGAAGTGTAAATATGCGTTAAAAAATAAATATCTCAATATTTGCATATATCGTCGAGGGTCTCAGGGATTGCTAGCGTTGATTGAGGTTGCTGAGTGCGCCATATTGCGCCAGGTACGGCTGAGGTAGTTCTGTCCAAGATTGGCTATAGAGTATTGGCCGGCATTGAGTTTCGTTGCAGGACTCGCAGGTGAGCTCGTTTAAAGCGTGCAAGCGCTTCACAGATCGCTGGAGGACGGGACGGCGAGGATTCGCCTTCACCCGCTCAGTACCCATACAGATAGGGGTACATGGGCACGAAGATGGCCGGGCCCAGCTGGCGCTCCTGCGGCATATGCGTCTTCATGTGCTTCTTGAGGTGGTCGCGACGGCCGAACTTCTTCCCGCAGGCGCTGCAAGGATACGGCCGCAGTCCGGTGTGGATGCGCTTGTGGCGCGTCAGCTCCTCGTTGCGCGTGAAGGTCTTGCCACAGGTGTCCACGTCGCACTTGAAGGGGCGTTCGCCTGTTAGGAGGGAGAGAAGGGGAACCGTGAGCATGACTGCCAGGGGTGGACCTCAGCTGATCGACTTACCGGTGTGGATGCGGATGTGGCCCTTCAGTTGGCCGTTGTTGGAGAAGGCCACGTCGCAGTGGGGACACTTGAACTTCTTGGGGCGTTGCTTGCGCGCGTTGAGCGCCTTTAGCTGGGCATCCTCGGCCATGACGCGGGCGTACTCCTGCTCCATCAGGCCCAGCGTGAAGGGGTCCATGCCGAAGCCGGGGGCGGAGGTGGGCGTGCCGGCGGCAGCGGCGGCTGCTGCGGCGGCATAGTAGAGCTCGCTGGCGGCCGGCAGGAACGGAGCGTGCTGCTGCGGCGGGGCCAAGGACACGCAGCTGGGGGTGGGCAGGTCCGAGGGCGACGGGAGGGGCTGGTTGAAGACGGGGTGGGGCGTGGAGGTGCGGATGTAGCTGCTGTGGTTTAGGGCGTCCTCGTAGCAGGACTTGCTGCTGTTGCTGCTGCTCGACGAGGAGGAGGATGCGGACGAGAAGTCCCGGTCGGAGTCGTGGGCAAAACCGTTGCTGGTCAACTCCGTCTTGATTGTGATGCTCTCGGGCTCCCGCTCCCGCTCCTGCTCCTTCTCCTGCTTGACCGTCCTGGGCGCTGAGGCGGCTGACTGGCGCTGTGAGTCCCAGGGACGGAACAGCCGCGAGTAGGTTTGCGGGGGGTGCAGGTTAATAGTCGACATTTCGTTGGTTCTTTCGATGTTTCGGTGGACTGGGTACAAGGCTCTCTCGCGACACTAAAGCACTTGCTTGGAACACTGGCGGATTCGCTGGACGTGGACGTTATGCTGGGCGGCGGTGTGTGTGCGCTGCGAGGTCTCAACTCGAACTGAGCTCTCCTGCCCCGGAGGCGCTCAATTTAAGCCAGGACTCGGCCTACCTACGGCTACCTACACACAGGCACCCGCCATTCATCGATTTGTTGTCTGTCTGGCGAGTGCGAGCGAGAGGAGTGCTCCGGGGTTGTTTTTCGGCGTTCGCCTGCTCAACAATGGCGGTCGCTCACGCTCACGCACACGCACACACACGCAGAGGAAGTACATAAGGTCCTGCGTAGTTTTCCCTGTCGGAAAATCGAATTCCTCTGGCAGCTTCCTTAACTTGCGCTTTTACACTCGACCCACCACTTATGTATTGCGATCCCTGCGGGGTGGCTTTTGATTTGGGTTTGGGCGCAGCTTTAAGTAAAGCATTCTCGATTATGAATTTTACGCTTACCCACCGACAAACCCCCAGCGCCTCCAGGTTGGCCTCCTTCCCCGCTCCCCGCTCCCGTCCCCGTCCCCGTCCCCGTTCCCATCCTGGTCCGTCCTCCTCCTCCAGATGCAGATACTCTGCCAAATGCGTAACTCGGTTATCTCTGGCTTGGCTATCCCGGCCTCGCCGTGGCGGCAATTTATTATTGAATTAAGTGCTTTGCCGAGGGTTGCTCCGCGCCATCCCGAATATGCAAAGTGTGGGCCAAGAAAACGGGCAGTACACGCAGCGATTTCCAAAGGGGCCTGACACTCGAGGGCTGGCGATAAGGGTTTGAGCCTGTAGTTCAGATGGTACAGTTGGCCTTAACTTTATCGATGGGGGATGCTCGAGGAAAACTTTACTGCCTTCGGTGGGCGTTTGCCTTAACGCGATTCGGGCGCCAGATAAGGAGAAGAGATACAAAGCACAATGGATAAGGAATGGATGTGAGTGTGCGTTGCTTGTTTAATGTTCTAATTTAGTATACAATTTTCATTTGATTGTGGGTCGCTTCGCATTCGCCTTTTTTAGATATTTAATACAAGGTGGAAGCTTTTGTTTTTGGTTAAATCACCCAGTGACTACATTTACTACGAATGCTAGCAGTGTTACCTGAAACTCATTACGTTGCCTTTTTCAAACTTTAAAATATTTAATTAATTTATATCTCTTTATCATTAACTTGTTCAGGTTGGTTAGTAGTTTGTATTTGCTAAAAAAGAATATAATGTGTGTATTGTGTACGTTAATAACAAAGTTACGAGAAAGTCAGTATCGGGTCTAGAGTTTACAAGTGGGTCGGGTTTTTGTTCCTTTTATATTAACACAAGATTTTGTTTAACTTTTGAATTAACAATGATTGTAAAAAGTTTTCAATTTAAAGTTAATGAAAATGTAACGGAAGACGACTACCAAAGTTTACTTTATTTGATAGTTATTAAGTAAATATATAGAAACCTGGTATGTTTACTTTATTTAACAGTTATTATGTAAATATATAGAAACCTGGTACTGAAAAGGTCTTAAAACCAACAACTTTTCGTTCTGAAAATATATTAGGTCGTTGAAAGCAAAGTTTCTGGAGTACCAGGAGCCTGGATTTACTGACACATAATATACAAGTTAAGATAAAGGAAATTTAAAGGAGGCTTCTTTAAAAAATCTGAATGCAATAACTATAACATATTCACGTATTCTCTTCCACTTTATGTAAAACGGCTTAAATTAAATAAAAAAGAAATAAGAGAAATATTTGGAAACGTTACTATTTGTATAATATATTTGTTGTAGACAAACTATGCATATACATTTAAGTATTATGTACAGTCCTAATTATTGCGCAAAATTCGATTAAATGCGCTAAATTTTCATAAAATAATGACCTCTTATTCCTTAATTCAAAATCAGTAATTTCGTATGGATATTAACCAATATTTGTCAATGTCAACCGATAAACTTAAAAGTAATAAATTGAGGAACAGGGAATATACATGATATTTCATAGTAGCCAAACAAATCAGAAAACTAGCATAGTTGATATCAAGGGGATATAAACACATTCAAAAGAGTTTATATGGCAGGGTTACATGATAGAAATGACTAAGCAATTGAAAGCCTAAAAGTTTAGTGCTCAATGCAGTTAGTCACACAATACTCTCGATAAGCCAAAGCGCTATCCACTTCCTATAAGATGGTTTCTTGGGAAGCTGCATTCCCCAATCCTTGCACCTTCAGCCTTCTGTCCTGTCATTTAAAACAAAAGGGAAATCATTTGGATTAGGTCCTCCTCCATTGTTCTGGCGATGCTAATGAATGCAACGGCTTGGGATGGGTTGCGGTGGGTTAGGGATGCCTCACCGTTCGCAGTACCTGCCATAAATCGCAGGCCGCGCGGAATACTTCATTCACTACTCTGCGCTCTCCAAAGGATTCATTCATAAACAAGGATTGCCGCTAGAAGTGGCCTGCGATCGGCCAGTGGTGTCAGGTAGGTGCTTCTCTGGGTTGGTTTGAGGGGTGGTGAGGCTATAAAATCCACGAGCTTATTTGCGTAGGCTGGGACTTGGGCTTGCAGCCGCCTGGGTATTTCCCCAGTATATTCTTTAAGTAATGAGCGCCGGTATTTCCACGCAATCGTCGTTCAGACCGACTGGTCGTAAACTGCAACCTACCTAGGACAATGCGGCACCCATAAATGGTAAGAAAGGAAGTTATAAAATAATTAGATATAGCAAACCGCTCGGCCAGTGCCTGTGATTTCATTCATGGAATGTCTGAGGCCGCGAGCTGCATGGCCCAATACCTGACCGCTCGTAATTATAAGACACATATGAGATAAGCACAGGACGTGATATTCATATTTAAATTAATTAGGGAATTTTACATACGATTGTACATCAGTTGTACCTCGCCACATATGGGGAAAGTACGGTGACTGTTGGTATAGGATGGACGTGGACCCAGACGGCGACATGATCGGGGAAACTTCCATCCTAACTAAACTTCAGTTCAGCGTGGAATCATACCGAATCATTCAATCAGTGGCAGCCACAGATAAGCCCCGAGTTCGATTTTCAAGAGCTAGCAAGATTATGCTACAAAGATCCGGATATGCAAGGTTTTGTAAGCTGGACCCGATCCCCGCTAATAGTAGTGATCACTCTAGGCGATGGTGTGATCTTAAAGATTTTCCTCGATCACGTAGATTACGAGCGGACTAAATTAAGGTGGTTTCACTGATCCACGGACGCACTTCATAGTAAAAATATTTAGGGAGAAGGAGCTTGCAAAACAAATGTGACAAAGCTTACATTTTTCCAATAGTTGGTGCCTTACGGTGGTTATTGTGAGGTAACCCTTACATTTTTCTGTTCAAGGAAAAAGTAAAATTTATATATAAAATGATCTTTTGTTCTTTAATTAAATTGATCTAAAACATATCTTATCTTTTAATTCGAATTTAAAGCAAATAAATGTATAATGGACTGTATTAACATACTTTTGAATGGATATACATATTTTAAAAAGTTTTTCGGAATATGTATTTATATTTATTTAAATTATATTTTTTTATGTAAATAATTTTATCTCTTGATTTTATCTACAAATCGGGTCAGCTTTATTCACTTAACCGAACTTTGAATTAGTTAAGGGTGTTTTTTCGTTTTTTTCAAAAGACTTTAAAAAATTGTTAATGGCGGGCTCTACAGATGTAACAAGCAGATATCACAGAAATTCCTAAAGTTTCATTTAGTTATCGAAACAGAGGAAGCATCAATTTACTATTAATAAAAAATATTTCGAATTTGTTAAGTCATTCCCAAGTAAATAAAAGACGAGGTAAAAGCTGACAAAAAATCTAAATACCTGCCAACATAAAAAAATGTCACTGAGCAAGCTAAAGGCCTTAGTCGAAGTTAAGCTTAAGTTTAAGACTACACAGCTAACTTGCCTCAATAAATAATATGTTTCATAATGTACAGCTATGTGAAAACACTATACGATATTCCGTACATCTCCGGCAAATCTCGTTTACTCTAAAAGTTCGGCCAGAACAAGCGCCAAGAGGCGCTTGATTGGGCGTTCCAAGGGCAGCTCGCAGCCTTGTTTTGGTGTCAATGGCTGTGCGAATGGCGGCAGGATACAGAACCAGGAGACTGAAATGCGAAAACATAAATCAAATTAGTTTTTCGGGCGAATGCACTCGACTAATTCCTGCGGCGAGCTCTTGAGCGGCAATCGTGGTTGCTCTTTTCAGCGAGTTGGTGTCGCAGGACAGAGTCCCAACGGTTGTGGCGGGCTATTCAGACCGCCAAGTACCGATGAGCATTATCCCGTGACACAATGCCGCAGAAGCCGCGAGCTGTGGCCGTGTCGTCCATTGAAAGGCTCGTCACAAAAGCCACCCCCCGACCCGAGCCTTTCCACAGGATACGCGTGATGGCGTTATGATCAATTCTATGAGTGCCCCGACTCCTCATCTCCTCATCTCGCGTCGAAACGTCGAATGCTCCTTGGCGTACGCCGCCGGTCCGCTCCTCCCTCTACTTTTCCTTGGGGCTGCCACGGCAGCTGAGCGGTGCTCTCGCCCGAGCCCAAGATCGATCCGCAGGACATCTGCGAGCGTGAGAACAGCTGCCGGCGAAGCAATGGCGTCCTTGGATGGCTCCGCCTCCCGCGTGCGTTTTTGAGGCCCGCCTGCCTGCCTCAGCTCGCGGCCGAGTCAAAACATTTGTGAGAATCCCCGGCAGAAACCCAATTCATCCTCCGCATCACTGAAAAAGCACTTAACCTCAAATCCAATAATCCGCTTGTAATGCAGACCATTCAGGCGACGGAAACTGGACGGTGGCTAGTGCTCTAGTCTTTGTGCCGACGGAACTGCGGCGGTTTTCCATTTGAATATCCATACGGGCGGGCTGTATGGACTGGTGAGCCAAGTGTTGACCTCGTCGGGTAATCGTTCTATTATTAACAGATATTTGCATTCAAACAATGTCACAGTTGTGCTGGCCCGTCTGTAGCGATATTTTATTTACCTGCCAGGGATAGCTCGGATTGTCGGCTTACGACGGGAC